ACCAGCCTTTCACATTCTGAAACTCGGATGTTGGTCAAAGTAATGGATGTAAAAAGGAAAGAGAGACATGGCCCGATATGATAGGAATTAGGAGTTGTGAGTAGTTGGCCACCACTCTAACTACTACTACTAGTACACTGTAGTTACAATACCTGATGTACTTCTTTTGGAAGTAGTACGGTGAGAAAGTCAGAACGTGAGACAACTAACTAGGCACAAAAGTGAGAGGGTACTGACTCACTACTACTGAGACATTCAACAACATGACACCTACAATGTACATGTACATTGTACAAACAAAGCTGGTCTAGGTAGCTCCAGGTACAGACTACAGTAGGTGTGGTGTGTGTGTGTGGCACATTGTACAATACATGTACATTGTACATGTACATGTCAATACAAGTCATGTACATGTACATGTACATGTAGATCTAAGTCTAACACATCTCCAAAGTGCAAACCGGAAACAGAGTCAGGTCGTTGAATGTCTCAGTACTCTGTCAGTTTTGTGCCTGGTTGTCTCACTCAGTACTCTGTCAGTTTTGTGCCTGGTTGTCTCACTCAGTACTCTGTCAGTTTTGTGCCTGGTTGTCTCACTTTCGGACAGTATTGTATCTAGTTTCAGTGGTGGACATTTATTCATAACTCGTATCCGTAATGTGTCCCTTCCTTTTTACTAATTTCACATCCCCATTCGAATTTCCCTTTCTGGGGGAAAGCATGCCGGCTTTCGTTGGCATCAATGTGGTATTGTGGCTACTTCTTTATCAGAACATCTGCAGTTTTGTCTAGCGTTATTCCTACATTTACATTTACATGACATTGTTGTACAAGTACAATTTTAATGTACTACATGCGGTTCAGTCATGTATACATTGACTTTGTACATGACTGTATGTCTGCAGATGCGGTGTGCCCATTCCGCTCTAGCAAGTAACTATGGCTGCATTTCTAGCAAGTAGCATACGTCGTCACTATCCTGGACCCTGTCTAGACCAAGCATGTGTAAGTGTCATTGTAGACATGGTCTGTACCAGGCAGTACCAGGTGCCGCAACTCAATCTGAGCTGAATGATTATGTAGTACCAGGTACTGATGTGTTCAGGAAGTAGACTAGAATGCCAAAGCAAAGGCAAAGGTCAGGACATAGGTGGAAAAGTAGACGTGTTTATGCAGTTTTGTACCCAGTGTGGTTGCAGGCTGATCAAAATGTCAAAGCGTGACAAACATGTACTGTAGTACAGAGTACAGTAAGAAGCTGTAGTGTTGTAAGACCCAAGCAAGATTATCTCCTATCCCATCTCCTATCCAGCCGGTGGTTTCCGTGTCACATGTGCACAGCTGCAAGTTAGTTACTTAGTCAATACAATTGTTTCGTGTAATTAGTGCAAACGTAAGTGGAGTTCCCAAGCGGCCAAGGTAACCATCCTCATCCAAGCCATATCCCCCCACTATGCTACGGTAACAATAAGTGGTTATGATGGCCATCTGAAAGCCTCTTCACTGCTACTTCAAACTAGCAAGATGTTGACCTGACCTGGGAATGATTCCCTTATACATGTACATGTACATGCCTTTGTAATGTGTACAGCACAGGGCCTAGGGACACAATATCCAGCTGAAGAATGTCCGATGGTCAATGATGTACCTTCCTGGCACTCCAGTCTACACCTTGCTGCACTCGATCGGTATCATAGAGTATAATGTCATGATTGTATGATGGGTCCCAAATCAAAATGTCACAACGCAATGCCCAGAATGTCACGCTGCTGTAGTGTTTGTAATCTCCGGAAATGAGACTCCGCACTCCATAAACCGGCGGTATGGTCTACGGCCGTAGCGGTTTACGGCCGTATACCTTCTACGGCGGTAGTCTGCGTAGACCGTCTACAGCCTAGCCCGGGCATGCATAGCGTGGACGTGGTGATAAACCGTTCAACGCGCGTGGTGTCACGTACACAAATGTACATACCCCATGCCCACTCGACGATCGACTCATGCACCATGTCACGGCATGTGCACGGCGATGACCGATGTGCAGGCTCCCCGTCGCCGGCACATCGGTCACCGAAGCTGCAGATCTGCACTACAAGTACAAGTAGGACTCGGCTGTACATGGTCTGGGTCTCTGAAGACGACCAAGTGAGTTTGACCGCGGAGTGTGGGTCTACAGGCAAGGTTAGGTACAGGTCGCAGCTGCTAGCTGGTGCACTTCAATCTCCAGAATCAGAATAGAGAATGCCGATGTTCCTGATTGAAGTTCTGTGCCCGCGGCAAGAATGTAGTCATTTTTTAGAGCTCAAGAATCGCGCTAATCATGGCCATCATTGCGTTCGTCGTATTCAGGGCCAGCACAGTTCGTCTCTCTCGTGGAATTTCTGCTAGATGAAAAATTTCAACTGACGCTGTGGCCCGGTGTCATGCCGAAATCGAGGAGTTGCTGTTGCAAGCCGTACCTCCTTTCTTGGAAGCATTTCGATTCCTCGTGACCATTGGACAAGTAGAGAGCGCAAGGTATGACGGAAGTGGCAGCATTGTGTGCAGTTGTTGTCACACACTGCCACTGGCATGCACTAGGCCGAATAGTGTCATCATCGCCAAGCCACAATAATTATTTTCCACTGCCACACTACGGCAATTCAGTGCATGGGGCGCTAGCAGTTATGTACGCAGCACTCCTCCTGTCCGCCGAGCTACTTGATACCGGTATTTGTAGTAGAAAAGCTGGAGTGGCGCTGTCGCTGAACGCGGACTATCCTAGTCTGAGCTTCCTCGGCCAGAGTGGGTATCCTGCTGAGGAGCTGCAGCATGCTAACACTAACCAACACTCACAGATACAGCCAGGGAGGCGGCAAGTCATGGACCGTCTCCATCTTGATAGTTCAAGTACTGGCGAACAAGCTCATCCAAGAGTATCATATCCACATCCATACGACCATGGAAGAGAAGAGGCTGCCCCCACTACTAACCATGTCCAAGGAAGTATGGCTGATAGGTTTAGGGTGACGACGGCCTCTACAGATCCTGCTGGCAGTGTGACGGCAGATGCGGGACAAGGCGATGGATCAATGACTGGTGAAAGCTATGATCAACCACGCTTTGCAGGTCAACCTGGGTACCATCCAGAAGTTTCTTTCTTTGGTTTGGATGACCCTGATGACCCTGATGGCACATCAGAATCAAACACGGGTGAGTGGCTAAGTACATGATTGTCTAAAGGCACACAAAGGCATACATGCATGTAACAAAGAACAGAGTTTCGCCGGGCAATCATGTAATCACGTCGTCATGCTTTCATTGTTTAGGTACAATGAACCCAATGGAAAGAAGTGATAGGTGCCTCAAAGTAGCAGACTGACACACAATTCACCTACCTTGACGCTTAGAGTAGAGAACTGAGGGCTGCCACTAACCATTACTGGCATTAGGCAAGCCAATGAGTGCACAGTCGGCTAGCACCTATGAAATGGGACTAACTGCGATATTAGTCACACAGCTAATTTGCATGTGCGCTTTTCCGGAGTTGTGGCGAAGTGTTTTCATGATCCCCTAGGTCACCTAGCACAGGTACTGATGTTTTACTAACCTTGTCGGCCAGGATGGAATAGATGTCAGCTGACACTGTATGTGTGATCACTGCTGCATGGAACTGAAGCAGCCAGCAATTATAGCCAGATTGGATAGCTGGAGCTCCCACTTGTTGGACATTCCTTATATGAAGTGCTGCTGATGGGCCAACATGCAGTGCCAGAGTTTCCTAAGGGCTCTGGAGAGCTGGTGATAGAGAAAACAAAATGATTGGATTATTGAGTGACAGACCTACTGCATGTCTGTGTTGAGGTCAAGGGCTGGCTGACTGTGCCTCCTTTTACTTTTTAGGCCAACTACATTACATTATCTGCATGGCTTTGAAATTTCAATCTAAACTTTGCCTAATACTAGTAGTGCACAGAGAGCAAACCAACTTAGGTGTTACCCCTAACATAACGAACCATTTTCGAAACAAAATTGTTCAACTGGGGGCTTCAGCTGCTATTCTTTTCATCATTGAGTTGAAAGGTACTGTGGAAAAAGGAAATACGTAATGGTCTGCATGCATGTACATGTATGTTTGTTAGGGGAGTGTGTATGTGTGTGTGTGGGGGGGGGGGGGGGGAGGGATTCACTGCCCAGAAAAAGCCACTTCAATCAGCTGTGTGGTATAGACCAGGACTGATGCTAGTTCTCACTGGCAAAAGAGGCACTGGGTACTGGTATCTAGTTCATACTTGAATATAGTAACTCATTCCAGTACAGTACTGTCTGTGCTCTAGCGGCATTTAGTCTCCGCACCAGTACACCTATACACAATAATGTTCTGCGCATTGTTTGTACAATCCATGGATAAACACAGGGTCACTTGATTGAATCATATCTGCCATGGAGACTGCTATAATTATGCCTGTCACGGCAAGTGTAAAGTGTGTCGTATTGTCAGCTATTGCCTTGGAGTGGCCTCTGAGCCGCAAGTTGTATTCAATTCATTGTATATTCACCTACTTGAAGTTAAAGAGCCATGTTTATTACGCACACAGGGTTACATCATGCTTGATAGAAGAATCCATCATTATCTATTTTATGGGACCTGATTAGTACTGTAGGCATTGGAGGGTACATGTGTGATTATTCCCTGGAGTACTACTACTACTACAAGTAGTACTAGTATATCAGCCAGTCAAGTGCACATAGCAATGCGTCTGACTACCTACTACCCATGTACCCAGTCCTATCTCCTCAATGACCTTGCCCTTGGTACCAGCACTGAAATTCCAGTCTCCTGACACTCTATCAGATTCCTGGCTGGAGTTTTCCTGAGAGTGAAAGCCCCGGCAAGCATGCAATCACTCCTCAGAACGTGTCAAGGCCAGCAAAATCATGACAACAATAATTGTACCGACTACTTCACGTGCACGTTTTGTTGAAAATGGCTCAAACAAGAGAGCAGGGGCAGCAAAAGGGTGTTAGCAATAATATCAAGTGTGTCGGTATTGTGTAACGATTCTGTGCTTTGGCAATGTGATCTAATCATGCTTGATACTGGCCAGGGGTCACAGCATGGGGTCAGCATCTTGACTTATTTGTAGATGGGTGACTCTTTTATGACTGGGTCAAAATTACTATATTCGAGGTGTAGCAGGAAGTGGAGATAAATTATTTGATGACATATACCTATGTAGCATTGTCTATTGTTACTAGCCATCTAGAACGTCTTTGTTCGATTTATCCCGAAGAAGAGTGAGCAATTACTTGGAGTGGTATGAGTACAAACTTGAACATGTTGCCCTAGCCCCGCAATCTTGTTACAGAAATACCCAGTCCAATTTTTGTTCTCCCTTTCTTTCACTCCTTCTATACTCCCGTCTCTCTCAGTGGTACCACCAGGAAATTTCAGCTTGTCAGATTTTCACTGCTGGAAAGGGAAACACGGTGCCTGATCAATCCTTTTTCATGGATGACATTTGATCTAGAAGCCTCTTGCTGGACAGGTTTTCAGTTTTTAGTTGGACAACGTCTATGTAGAAAAGCATAGAGAACGCATTGAGCCAGCTACAGAAAGCACACATCATGCCTGTTTGTTCACTGTGTATCAGTGCAGGCGAGGTGACAACTTGTTGTGCTAGACCAGTTGCTCCAGTGTTCATTGTTCACCTATACTTAGCAGGGGCAGCAGGAGCAGTAGGGGCCGGAGGGACATAGTTGGTCTCCAGTATAAAAGCAGCTTCTATGTGTGGATGCTGAGCACGTATCCAGTCACAGCGTTAAGCAAGTCTGCTGCTGGATTACCTGGAGAATCTGAGTGGAGATCCATTGCTGCAGTTGTGGATAAGCTCTGCATACAGCAGCCAGGCTCCTAATCCCAGCAATGGCGCGTCTCTTCACCATGTGCTTCATTGGTTGCATATCCATCAGCCTACATCTAATAAAAGGTACTAGCCTGATTTCTCCAGCCTCTTGCCTCGGGAATTGCAGGAAGAAAACCATTTTTTAGGATGTACGACTCGCACTCAGATATGTAGAGTAAGTTGGCTGTTACTAACATGCGAAATGTCTGATGAATATCTTTGGTCTTTCTTGCTGTAGCTGGCCAAGCATCTCCTCCGACACGGAGAAACGTGGGTGGTGGAGGGACAGGTGCAGATACTGACGAGCGGCAAACAACGCCACAGCCGCGGGAAGATGGTGTCAACGCGGGAATCAGCACACCAGCAGACTCGCCATCGTCTACCAGCACCACACGTATTCCTACAGCCCAGGCCCCAGTCAGGCCAGTCAGTACTACCAGGGCTAAGTCTCTGAGATATGAACTAACAGTCAAAGCTCCAACGGGTACACGCCTCATCACCGGAACTCAGGCAGATATTATTTGCGAGGTGAGTTGATGATAATTCTGGAGTAGCAGCTATACAACATACCATATTTTCTGCAGTATAAGTCGCACTGGAGTATAAGTCGCACTGGAGTATAAGTCGCACTGGAGTATAAGTCGCACTGGAGTATAAGTCGCACCCAGACTTTTTGACACGAAATACAGACATTTACGCTATTTATCACCGTTAAATTGACCATCGAAGTATAAGCTGCACCCCTTTGGGGGGGGGGTGAGTTAGTGGTGTTTAAACTTGGAAGTGTGCCTTATACTCTGGAAAATATGGTACCTGAGCTGCATTGCTGTTATCTTTGCTGCTATGGCTGACTATCGCCCCCACCCCCCCCCCCCCCCCCCAACCCCACCACACACACACATTGGGTACTATTTCCTGGCCATGAGAAGGCGGAATAAATATATTATACCAACACAGTGCGAAAGGCGAAGCTTTGTCCAGATGTTACCCGCTTTAGCATGGCTGTTCCTGCCGGACATGTCTAGGTTGGATGGAGGATAGTTTACTACGGTGTGTGCACTTCGAATAGACTTCTGAAAAACGGTCATGATCATACATGACACACGGTGTACTGTACTACAGTAAAACCTGGCAAGGCGACCACCTGTACAAGAAGACCACCTGTACAAGAAGACCAAAGGATGCTATTTCCAGTCAAATGACCCTGGATAAGGAGACCACCTAGTAACATAGACCACGTTTTGAAGGTCCCTTGAGCGGTCGTCTTAGACAGGTTTGACTGTACTTGAAATACAAAACAAGAGACATGACTGGAGAAACAAGAGACCAGACTGCATGTTGTAGACAACACACCACTGGACTGAACTAGACTGGATTTTACTAGACAGAACTGAGCTAGACAGAACTGAGCTAGACAGAACTAGACTAGACTGGACTAGACTGAACTAGACTGGACTAGACTAGGCTACAATGAACTAGACTAGACTGGACTGAACTAGACTGGACAAGACTGAACTAGACTGAACTGGACTGAACTAGACTGAGCTAGACTGAACTAGACTGGACAAGACTGGACTAGACTAGGCTACAATGAACAAGACTGGACAAGACTAGACTGAACTGATTACAAGAATGAAAGCAGACTGACCGATGTACACATGCTCACCAATCACAGATATACACATAACAAACATGTACCCCTTTCTAACACAAGCCACGGTTCCAGGGTTCCAGGGTTCTAGCCAAAGGGGGGGGGGGGGGGTAGGGGGCGCAGCACCCTCCTACTTTGTTTGTGCCCCCCCCCCCCCCCCGTGAAAAAGTGCCGCCCCCTACTCATTTTCCGATTTTCGTGTTTTTCATGCCACGAAAATGCAGTCGAAAGTCGCTATTAGATGGTTCATAAAGGCACATTTGTCTGGGGCGAAGTCGGAGATTCGCCCCATACGTTGCATTTAGCGTGGCAAGACAATATTGGAAAGTGGAAAATGGGATACGGGGTAACTGTTTCCCATGCCCCCCCCCCCCCCCTACTATTTTGACCTGGCTAGAACCCTGCAAGCTAAACACAGACAACTCCCAATCACACTGGCTGCTATCCACATGCCCTCACACATGTCAATATAGCTCAGGCGCGTAGCACCGCCGTTGGAGGTGGTCCGGCCGGAGGGGGTCCGGAGGCTCTTGCCCGGGAAATTTTGAAATTAGAGTGCAAAATCCTGCCGCATGATTCTGGGCACTTTTAGCATTGTGTTAAAAAAAAGGTGGTCCGGCCAAAGCCGGACCGGCCGGACCGGCTGCTACGCCCCTGTAGCTATTATCCGCGTATAATGCCTTCACACATTACATACTTACTTACTTGCTTACACTTACACACAGTGATAACCATCGCTGAAGCAATGATAGCAAACAACATAATTATGCTCAGGGAGTTAGAAATAGCAACATGTGCGGGGTTAGACCAGTACAGCATGAATATAATAATATAGTTTAGTTGCCTGGATTTTCTCAACAACATGACTTATAATACTAGAGCAACATATTCGGCAACTACATCCATGATGTTGCCTGTGTAGGGTGCCACGTTATGTATAGGAAGCCATGTTATGTATAGAGAACCATGTTATGTATTGGGAGAATAGGTGCCGGGATTGGTAAGCCAAATGAATATTATGTATACACCGTGTACAGAGAGTAGACAAGAGCCTGGAATACCTGCCAAGTACCATGTACAGTTTGCCACCAGATGTTGTTTAGGTGTGGGGATGAGATGTTTACGATATGTGCGTACACTACGTAGAAATTCCATTTCCCTACAATCCTTATCTTAAATGGGGACTGTCTAATCCTTGACTTTGATTTTGCGTTTCTCATTTTGTTGCAATCACCATGCCGGTTCCTTTTTTCTTCTCCTCCCCTTCTCCCTTCCTTGCCGTGGTTGGCTAACACCCTCTCTCTTTGTATTGGCCGGTGTTCTCACTGTGCTATGAGATGCTGCAATAAATAAATAAATAAATAAATAAATAAATCCCCAGCATGTGTGTAGCCCGAGATAGGCATGCAGGCATGTGTACCTCTAAAATTCAATTCCAATTAAAAAAAATTGTTTCAAGAATATTTCAACCGCATACCGGTACACCCCAGGACCAGCTACGGCCGTACTCAGATGGCTTCCGCTGCTTAGCCAGTGTAGCCGCTGCTTAGCCAGTGTAGCCGCTGCTTAGCCAGTGTAGCCGATGGACTGGTTCTGTTGAACACGGCATAGTTAGTGTATTATGAGCCAGACATTATAACAGCTTGTCAACTGAAGTGGTGATGTCAGAATAATGTCAGAACTGAAGTAGTGGTGTCATGTGATTATGATGTGCAGGTGGAACTGCAAGAAAGTATGGGACTACTGGGCTTCCAGTGGACGCATCACCAAACAGGAGAGGAACCCGGTGTGCATGGTGACGTAAGACCCATCGAGGAGCATCACATTCACGATCCCACACCAGTCACAAGACCACCCAACAATACACTTGTCTTCCTTCAATCTAAGGTACAGATAATTAGTATCAACTCTGGAATTCTTTGGTCTTGGCATTGCTTTTAATTTAGTCTTGTGTTGTGCCAGTTGCAAATGAGTATCAGTGTTTTGTCTTATAAAAGACACTGGTTTCCACGGAAAGGGTGGGTCGACTTTTTGAATTTTACTTGAAATATCAACCCACCGAATTCATGTTTCTTTTACGACACGAAAATCTTGTGGATGCACATGCGCACAGAACAGAATATGAAAGAACTACGTTTTGATGGCTTGCATGAAAGTCAGTCCGGCTGATTTTTCTGCATTCGTAGAACCCCCTAACCTCGTGGATTTCGGTGCAAACATCGTTCCTGAGGTGGTGGAAGGTTCGTAGATCAGACCAACTTCAGAGTGGTTTCAAAGACCGAAAAATCCTTACTTTGCCGACACGTGAGCAGGATACATGTGATATGAGCGCATTTGTTTTTTTCATTTTATTTTATTTTGTAGCAACCAAACGAGCAGAGCATGAAATATGAACAGTTGTTTGTGTTGGTCCATTCCTTGGCTGCAGATTCAAATAGTGAATGTTCAACGCCACAACGCTGGTCACTACATATGTCAGATGCACATGGTGGAGAACCACACAGAAATTGTTGTCGGTGAGCGTTCCATCGACTTGCATGTGGAAGGTAAGGTACCGGCTCTGTACCTTTCAGGAGTGTTTGTAAATTTTGTATTTTTTTGTCTCCTCTTTTCTTTTGATGTGCACAGAGGTAATGCACTATTTTGTTGTGGTGTGCACGGGTAGTCGGGTACCCGTGCTACCCGTGAGGACCTTGGGTAGACGGGTACAGAATAGTACCCAAGAACCCGAAGTCGCAGGTGACATCATGTGCAGTACACGTGAACAAATTCATGTGATACTCCGCATGTCTACCCAGTATGTAAGGGAAGGGGTGCATTATGGTGTTACCATGGAAACATTACCCGATCGGGTACCCATGCTACCCGTGGAAAACTACCCGAACCCGATACCCGAAGAAAATGCTACCCGACCCAGCACTACTAGTATTTTGTGACGAGTGGAGTGTTTCATAGAAAGATGCGTACATTTGTTTTTGTATAAGCTGGTGGGATGTGTATGTGTTTTGTACTAGCTGGTGGAAGTCTAAAACAAGATATTACGATGGTGATTGACAAATGTGTTCCTGGCTTTTTTTTGACTGCTGTGCCGCCACCTAAATTTTGTGAATTCAATTTCACTTCACTGCAACAGTAAAGGAAATTTGTTGAACAGAACAAGACTTAATTAGGGTTGCTTGTTCCTTGTCTGCATTTTGTTTGTTGATCCTGTGCCGTGTGTATGTTATGGCTACAGATCACTGGCTTAGGCAGCCTGTATTCTGGCGCAAGCTGAAGAACACGACTGTACTCGAGGGATCGCGCATCAATCTAGTCTGCGATGTATTGGGAGGTCTGCTGTTGAAAACCAGAATGCGCTTTCCCAGTGGTGACCGGATCAGAAAGGAACATGGCCTCACTCAGGTAACGTCATATTTCTCAAAGGAAAATGTTTGCTCCTCACTTTCCTTCGGAATTATCGCCAAAGTCGTTATCACCATTTCTCAGCATTGTTAGTTTTAGCAACAAGCTCATCCATCTGTGGTTTTTGCGGACATGTAAATTGTATGTAGTTTGTGCATGTCGAATATCGAAGCTTTTGTCCCTCAATCCACTCGATCAAATCTGACTGTAACTTAGTGTAGACGATCCAGTCATTTTTCCGCGCCGTCATCTTGGCCTCTGTGGCAAATGAGTCTGATGAGCACCTCTGACGGAAACTTCTGCCGAGGTGGCAAAGCTGGTGCTGTTTCAGGACTACGTACTTGTATATGTAGTCTAGGGCCGATTGCGGATCGGAGATGATTGAAGATGAAATGACGGCCAAACTCCAAAGTCGTCACCATCCTGTCATTTGGCTGATAGCCAGGTCGATGTCTGGACCTGTGTTGAAAATTGATCCCAATCCGCGGATCAGGAATGATCTGCTCTAATACTTCTTCAAGAGTTACATGTACCATAGTCACGGTCTGGGAGTTTCGACACAAAATGCCCTGCCGTCGTATTGACAGAAAGTTTTGTCCCGCCCAGCACGGACGCACACACCGCTGGCATTGTTAGAACATGTTCTATTTCGTCCATGGTTGGTCTGAGCAAGGCTCAGTCGAAGCAAAATTGAGATGTGAGAATGTTTGCAGCCTATGCCTGAGATCTGTGTTCCTTGCTGTTTCCATGCGCGGGGCACCGGTGGGAATCATGATGACATAAGGATCGCTGAATCATGATGACATAAGGATCGCTGAGTCATGACGACATAAGGATCGCTGAGTCATGACGACATAAGGATCGCTGAATCATTATGACATAAGGATCGCTGAATCATTATGACATAAGGATCGCTGAATCATTATGACATAAGGATCGCTGAATCATTATGACATAAGGATCGCTGAATCATTAAGACATAAGGATCGCTGAATCATGACGACATAAGGATCGCTGAATCATGACGACATAAGGATCGCTGAATCATGACGACATAAGGATCGCTGAATCATGACGACATAAGGATCGCTGAATCATGACGACATAAGGATCGCTGAATCATGACGACATAAGGATCGCTGAATCATGACGACATAAGGATCGCTGAATCATGACGACATAAGGATCGCTGAATCATGACGACATAAGGATCGCTGAATCATGACGACATAAGGATCGCTGAATCATGACGACATAAGGATCGCTGAATCATGACGACATAAGGATCGCTTGTGTACACAGCCATGTATAGTACATGCACACAAAAATTTGCGGTCGGGTGAAAAAAGACAGTCGGTCGGGTGAAAAAAGACAGTCGGTCGGGTGAAAAAAGACAGTCGGTCGGGTGAAAAAAGACAGTCGGTCGGGTGAAAAAAGACAGTCGGTCGGGTGAAAAAAGACAGTCGGTCGGGTGAAAAAAGACAGTCGGTCGGGTGAAAAAAGACAGTCGGTCGGGTGAAAAAGACAGTCGGTTGGGTGACCCGAAACAACGAATTAATTCTGGGTGGCCTAATAGTGAAGAGTTATAGAGGTTATGAAAATGTTGTCATTGTGGCAAAGTAGCGGAACCGCTTATGGGCGCTAAGTATACCGCTTGTAGGAGCCAAGTATACAATGAGAATCGGCGGTTTTGCTTCATCTAGTTCATCGCTGTGCCTCGGCTCTGCCAAAGCTCCGCTAAACTAATAACTTATTTCCATAACCTCTAATGCCCAGTACAGTGTACTGAACCTCCCTGGGTAACAGATACCTCTCGACTAAGGACACCTTACCAACCAGAACGTATGTGTGTTCAATCTCGATTGGTTCCATTCAAGTTGTTGTGCATTGTGCAAACAGGTTTCGACTGACTGATAGACGGTGTCTACTGTTCACTCTGTGTGTGTGTGTGTGGGGGGGGGGGGGGGGTGTATATGTGTGTGTGTGTATGTGTGTGTGCGTGTGTACGCTGCGGCGTGTCTATGTGAGTATGTGCATGCATGCACGGTCCGTGTGTTTATGTACGTGTGTGAGTGTGAGGTCTCCCGCATGTGTCGATGCATCTGTGCTTGCCTGTGTGTGTGTGTGTGCACGCACATGTGTGCATGTGGGTGTTTCAGGCAGTTTTTGTAGGTATTCACGGTGGAGTATTCCGGGCCATACATCGTCTGACCTACAGTATCCAAGAGGTATCGCAGAGCCGTGATGCCGGAGTGTACACATGTCAAGCGAGTAACAAGCACCCAGCAGCTCCTGGCAGAGTCTTTAGTAGTGCGTTGCTCACAGTTGAAGGTGAAGAGAGAAGTTTGCATGCTTACTCAATAATCCACCTCCAATTTAAATGGCCATGGGCTCCAAGTTATGTTCAGCCATCTAAACAGTATTGTTTTTATCGTAGTGAATGCAGGGACGCCATGCTGAATAGGGAAAGTGCACACAACTCTTTGCGTACATCTGGAAGTCTTTAAAAGGATGCAAACAGAGGCTACACCATCAACTGGTTGCACATCAAGTGATAGGCCGTTTTTTTTAAAGACTTAAATATGTTGATAGTGAGTTGCGAAGTGGGGGTGGGGGGGGGGGGGGGGGGTGGCGGGCTATAGTTCAGCTTAGTAATACCTTCCCCTACCCCTCCCCTACCCCTTCCCACCCCCTGCCCCTCCCCTACCTCTCCCCTTCCCCTTGCAACTACCACTCGCCATCCCCTTCCCCGTGCTTTGTTCTGTGAGAAATTGTATTTTATTTAATACTTTTGTATGCACAGTATCAGTTTAAATTAGACTGGTGTCTACATCACAAAATCTCCATCCAGGCCATGGGTTTGTTATTGGTCATGTATTGCAGAGAGGATCATACCAAACCTAGTTTTGGCTCACAATGCCGCTATGGAAGAGAGGTCGGTGCTTCTGGGAACTAACACAAGCCTACTGTGCAAGTCATATTACACACGGTAAGTCACCGTGCAGTGATGTGTGTGTGTGTGTGTGTGTGTGTGTGTGTGTGTGTGTGTATGCGTAGATGTGTATGTGTGTGTGTGTGTGTGTGTGTGTGTGTGTGTGTGTGTGTATGTGTGTGTGTGTGTGTGGAGGGGGGGGGGGAGGGTGCGAGCGTGTGTGCAAATGTGTGCGTGTGTGGACGTATGTATTTGTGTGTATGTGTTTGTGTGTGTTTGTGTATGTGTGTGTATGTGTTTGTGTGTGTATTATTATGTATTCTAATAAAAGCCATAGGAAAAGATAAACCTGTTCATCTGTTTCACTCCTGGACTAACCCTAAATGCAACAATTTACATGGAATGCTACCTTGCTAAAATTAAAATCAGTCGTATGAGTCCGGCATTCGGCAATTGTTCATAGGAAGCACAGTTTGGAAGCACAGTGTCCAAAATGCTATAATTTGCAAGTTGCATTTGAATGTATCGGCGCACGACACCATCGCCAATTTTCATGTGAAGTGCACCCGCTTTGCATGCTTGTGTTCTCGCGTACGATAATTATGGAATGTTGAACCAATTCACGTCTTCCGCAACTTCCCGATTTGTAAGGTAGTATATGCAGGACCGCCGGAAGCAGTTTTCAATTGGTCCGGTCGTACGGTCTCCTACCGTAGTCTTTCATACTCTGTGTGCAATATGGCGGGTACATGCCCTCGTCAGCAGTAAACATTCGTTTATAGCTACACAGTACACTCATACCTCGGTTATCCGGACTCCGAAGTTACGGGCACTTCGGTCTACCGGGCACTATTTGGGCGAGTTTCAGGGGAAATATTACTACTCTTTTGTCACTTTTCGTAGAAATATTGACGTCATATGCCATATCGATGGCCTTTTCCCCATCAAGATGTATATGATTCGGAGTTACGAACATTTCAAAGTTACGGGCAGTGCAAGGTCCCGGACTGCCCGGATAAACGAGGTATGAGTGTATACTGACCAACCGGACCGGTTCCGGCTGGCCTGACATGTACATGTACTGTTGTGTTCCTGTTCGTGGCATTCACAATTTATCGACGTCAATCGGCGTCATGCATGTCCCGCCCCGTCCCGCCATGCCCCAGCGAAAGTGAACTAGAAAAAATCCACGGTTTGCACGAGACTCGGCTAGAAACCGAGTTTCCGCATCCGTAGGAACACCACCACCCTTCAAGGATCAAGGCGCGTATGCAGCTCCTAAAGAGGTGGGAGGTGAGTACAGCAGACACACCAAAGTGAACTAGGCGTTAGTGTTAATATACTACTTTAGTGTTAATATACTACTTTAGTGTTAATATACTACTTTAGTGTTAATATACTACTTTAGTGTTAACATACTACTTTAGTGTTAATATACTACTTTAGTGTTAATATACTACTTTAGTGTTAATATACTACTTTAGTGTTAATATACTACTTTAGTGTTAATATACTACTTTAGTGTTAATATACTACTTTAGTGTTAATATACTACTTTAGTGTTAACATACTACTTTTTTTAATTGATGCCCTTCTGTTATGTTGGTAGCTCCTTCCATTAGAGACCATTATCCCGCTGACAACTCAATTGACTTGCTCTCTCTCTCTCTCTCTCTTTACAACTACAGCTGGCAACCACGTGTCAATATCTCTTGGCTACGTGATGGCAAGTATCTTCCATCCAACATGCATGTGTTGTTGTCGCGACAGCGTCATCACGCCTTCGATGGAACGGGACAATATTCGTACACGGAGCTGAGAAGCGAACTATCAATTGAACAGTTCTCCGGCACTGATGCTGGTTCATACACGTGCATGGTTTCGTCAGCTCAGGGTTCCATGCAAGAGACGGTCAAGATCCGAGCCAAAAGTAAGCTACAGTTGTCACATCTATTTGTATCTTAGTTTCCACTAATATTGCATTGGTGTTTATTTAGCCATTAAGGTTTATTGGAGATGAGATGGGAAATAGTGTGGCTAGTGCTACAGGTCATTAATTAACACCTCTGTGCATCTCTGTATGCTGGATGCATAGGGCAGATACAGTTCAGAAGTAGCTACTACACGAAAGCCAACATTTTTGAATTGGCACGGGATTGATTGCCCTATCTCCTCTGCTAAGCTATATACCTGTTCTGCACCAAATATCCTTCCCTGTTGTTACGGAATCATGGCCATTCCGTTCCTCGGGACGCAGGAGACAAAGGACAGGTACTCGCTTGTTTACAATTATTATTATCCTAGTTACGACATGACGGGAAAACAGGGGGCAGCAACTGTGACTCCAAGGCATGAACAAGAAGAGCGAAAAGACAAGACTGAAGACTCACAAATCACACATGCTCATATCACACATGCGCGTGAGACAAGAGACAGTGTGGGGGAATGTTATCATGCAGGAGAAAAATACATTGTTCTACAACATTGTTGTCTGATGATGTTGGTTGTCAAACCATGAAACTCCTAGTTACAATGAATAAGCCCTTACTTCCTTTGTGTACCTCTTGTGTACTGTGCTCGGCCCAGCACAAGCATTGAGCACTCTAGCAGGTTAAGGTGCACTGCCTCTATGTATTGTAATGATTATGAATTTTGAGGGTGGTAAAAAGGGGAAAGGTCTGAAGACAAAATGGCTGTCACCACCAGGACTCGAACCAGGGACCTTCGCTAAATGCCAGCGATGCTCAACCACTCAGCTATGGTTAGCCGTCATCCCAGCAAAAACCGTTTAGCATTTCCTTCAGACTTCGAAACTCGTGCTTCTTGTTACGCTACTCGTACACATTTTGAGTCTAAAAATTTACTTATCAATTTTTCAAGAGACCATCATCAGGAAAATCCGTCTAAGCAAAGATACCTAGCTATGGATAATAATGAACTACTGGTTATTTACATGTACGGGCCGTGATTGGGAATCATGACTGAGGTGATGTGTGTATAATAAGATGAAGTGCGAGAGCTTCAAGGAAGTGTTAAAACTGATAACAGGGATGGGTAAAGCCACTAAAGGGAACCATCGAAATAAAGAGGCAAGTGACATCAAACGTGGAGGTTTGGTGGATTTGGAATTTTAACGGTATTTCTGTCCAACCGAATCACTCCATTGACTTTTGAATACAATGCCTAACCTTTAACAGTATTGTTATAATGATAATACCCCTATAACGATATAAATGGGCTGACCACTCAACATTTTCTTATTTACAGCAATATCTAGCTGGGAATATGTAGAGTCCACTATCCAGGTAGGGCAAGTTTAACTTGATAAGTCGCTGAGACATGGCAACAACTTGAAAAAGCACTGGCGGCACCAGCAAGGCCTTGCTGTGTACATAATGTGTTGACGCTATGAAGAGTGTAACAAATGGATAACAATCGTGCTTAATGATGTACATGCATGAAATGAACCAGTTGCCCTTATAACGCTATCATCCTGTTAACGATATTTCGTGGTCTTAAGCAAATATCGCAATACGGGTAGGTCGACTGTAAAAGCCTTGCTGCACAATCCAACTTTGTATGCCGATAGAGCCACCTCACAAAAAGGTTTCTTCATGCGACTATGATTTACCCTTATTTTTTGTCCCTTTAGCTGTGCCATCAATTCAATTTGAGCAGACGAGAGATGTTCAGCTGAGTGCAGAGAATGAACCCTTGTTCAACCTCACTTTCACAGCCGGGCCATCGGTTAGTATCATCGGTGTATTTGTGAACGGCAGTCAGCTGGCCTGCCAACAGCCTGCTGACAATTGCATATTTTCGGCAGAGAATTTGTCTGATCCTGCAAATCATATTCACATAAGCTTGCAGTTGAAGCGAGTGCGTGTCAACAGCAGTGGAAAGTATGAACTACAGATCAGTACAAGCCTGGGACTGATCCGCTATATTGTCTTTATACGGATTTTTACATAGTTACTAAGCTGTTGAGAGATTTTTGAGGATTTCAAGAGGCTTTGTTCATTTTTGTTTGCCATGCTTGTGTTGAGTTGTGGGATGATCCATGACAGCATCAAAATGAACCCACCAAGACGACCTCTGGTCAGGATATGTTCTAAGTTACCTTGGTGATATCAGCACTATAATTAAAACCGAGAACGGTGCAAAGCCTACAAACAAATTATCAAAAAGAAGCGCTGATGTTGGTCGCCCATGTGCAGTGATTATGGCTGTAACTTGGGTCTGTTATCGCTGCTTCGCATCATGGACTTGATACTTGATGATATAATTATCATGCTTGTGAACAGATAATATTATTCCAAGCCTGAATGTCACGTGATTTCCAATGACTGTGGGTTAGTACTGAGCAGGAAAGACACTGTGAAAGTGTGACTGCTGAGTTCAACGCAGGGGAAATGTTTGAAATGCTGAATCCATGCGGTTGGATTGCATGAGATTGCATGAGCTGATTTCTTAAAACAACCTACTCAGTGCGGATGGATTTTCAAGTTGTCTATTGGCAGAATGTACATATACATGTACACGCAGAGCCGTTATCAGTGACTGATATATGCGGTCCTTTCAGGCATGACCTGAACAAACCAACAGCATTTTGAAAGCGGCAGGACATGGATTTTTGGGGCACAGCATTAAAAGTACCTATGGTCAAATAGCCTCGGTTAGGTTCTGTTAGATGAGGTTAGATGAGGTTAGATGAGGTTAGGTTCTGTTAGATGAGGTTAGATGAGGTTAGATGAGGTTAGGTTCTGTTAGATGAGGTTAGGTTCTGTTAGATGAGGTTAGATGAGGTTAGATGAGGTTATATGAGGTTAGATGAGGTTAGATGAGGTTAGATGAGGCTGCATCCATTCCATTTGAGCCATGTTTCGGAGTTGGAATAGCGTATGCCCAAGCTGATAGCTCTACATACAGTTTTGCTGCTTTCCTCCCCCAATCGTTGAACAAATTGAATGGACTTATGTTTCCGTGCCGCATGTAATTTCAAGCAAAGCTTCCCCGACAGCGACAATGATAACACCGGTTTTCTGATCCTATTTGCATGAACCTCCGTGCAATTCCCTTCCGAAACGTGCAAATTTACACTGTGTGGGTGCAACATCACCAACTCAAAATGAACAATCCCACAAGCAGCGCAAAGGGCACCCGCATATTCACCTATCCAGCATACCCTTAACGTCTGTAAATTAGTTAGTACTTATTTTCGAAGCCGTCTGGAAATTTGGGCTTTGGGCTTTGGGTAATGGGCTTTGGGTAATGAAACAAGTGCGTAGGTGTTCCCGAAACTATGCAAAATATGTTATTTTAGTAGCGTCTGGCCTGGCACTAGCCATGGTCCACACCGCTTTATTTCGTATCTGTGTGTGTGTGTGTGTGTGTGTGTGTGTGTGTGTGTGTGTGTGTGTGTGTAACGTTAGGCGGGCACGGCGGGTGATCACGAGCCACAGGACTAGTTACCAGACTATTGCGGTGGTGTCCCCTCTTTATTGGATTTTCAGAACATGTACTTACGGGGCTGCTCTGTCGAATTGTTGTACAATGCTGCTGCTGCTGCTGCTGCTGCGTTTGTGTCACTCCCTTGTCCGTGCTGCTGCTGCACCGTCGTACAGGTCTGTGAGCACTGTAACCTAACATTCTCCTATCGGACAGGGTCCGAACTCCGGACTGTCCTTATTACACCCACAGCTCACATGCCCATTGCGTCGGCACAATTGGGCCATCTTGGTTTTGATTAGGAAGAGTTGAACAAATTGATTGTGAAGTTATAGGAAAGTTGGTCTCTCCCCGCACTGGGGCTTGCATCAGCTGACTTCAATTGATTGACTCACCACCACCATCCAGAGCACATGAGAAGTCCATCGTATCTTCTACTCGGCAAAACTGGAAGAAAGCACCATTCCCTGCTCAATACACAGTGCTTCGGGGAATTCACTGCTCATCAGCTGAGCTTGAGTAAGCTGAGGAAGATTGTGCCTGAAGAGTTGATTAAGCTGAGGAAGATTGTGCCTAGCAAGAACCACTTATATACGGTAGTGCTCGTTAGGCCAAACTGCTCGCTAGGCCAAACTGCCACCAGAGATACAAAAATTACAGAGCGCTCCGTTTGCAGCACAACAATCACCTCGTGAACACCAGATAGCAGCATGAATTAGTGTCGCTCATGGATAGGTAGAAGAGACGTTGAGGACCCTTGGTCATTCGCAACACTTTCACCTCTCCCAAACAGCTAGTCGCAAGCCCGCGCGCTGGGCACAACAATGGGAAATAGTGGTAGAGACTTCAGTGACAAATTTACAGGAAAGTTGATTGAGTGAACTTTCCTACGAAATTATCACCAAAGTTTCTACCACTATTTTTAGTAGATTAGGGAGTTGTTCTGAAATTCCCAGCATGCCGTTAAAAACGAACCCAAGACTGATTTTGCAGTGCTGCATTCATACCATCCACACTTAATTTGCTGGTCCTCAAATTTGCTTTCTCTCTGTAGCACACACTCTTAGCCATTCCATGCACATACATGCACGCATACCCGCACATACGCATGCATCATCGTGACCCATGCACAGACACATACACCATAGAAAGTATCTAGCTGAGCTGTAGAGCAACACACATCAGTTTGGTTTGCTCAAGAATAATCCTGAATACAATCAGAGATGACATTTCCAACGACAGTTACATAACCATAAGACACTAAGAAGACAACAATACAGATTGAGACTGCAGCTAAAGTCAGCACATAATAATTCTAGCTAGCAATTTGAACATAGCCTATGCTAAACCGCAACATGGTGAACAATCTGCGGCTATAACATTACCAGCAATTATATGACATCCCACAGAGTCCGAAATTCCGTGAAATATTTGCGCATTTACTGCAGAGAGTGATCTTGGAAGGAAGAAAATTGCTCTGAACTATGGCCATGATCGAAATGTAAGGCATCAAACCAGTGAACCACGCCAACAAGACAAACAGTTACACAACGAAAAAAACGAAAGTGAAAAACATTGAACAACCGATGCGATCTCAACTCCTAAGAATCATGATTTTCTTCTCCACTGAAAAGTATCTGTTACCTTGGTGATCTTGAGGAAATAGCAAGAATTGACCTTCTTCATGGTCATTTCTGAAGCTTCCTCCAAATATTGTCAGCCAACAAACCACAGCATTGTCACCTGGCTAGTCTGATCTCTGTCCTCAAGAAGGACCAGTTCCAAAAGATTGCAGGTCCAGTGCGCTTTCTAGCTTCAAAGATCTGGGAAATCGCCTCATTCTGCACATTTCAAGCAGCTTCTCAATTGTTTCTGGCTTGACATTGAACAGCAAGAAGATGAAAAGCACTTCTTTCTCAGTTTTTTCGAGTAAACTACCTCTCCAACCGCGTGGCTTTCTCTGAAGGCCATTTTGTAGGGGCTTTCCCATGGCCATGTGCTGGATGCATGCCATGTCGCGTCGATGTACTGACATGACATGATGCATGCTGTACAAGGACGTAGACTACTCAGTGACTACAGTCAGGGAGTCGAATTTTATGACTTCCTGTTGACAAATAGCAACTTGTTTGGTGTAAATTTCGTTTAGAGTGGCTGCCAGCTTTGCCAGCTTGATACTTGGTTTCATTCTGCAGCTCACTGGTTTGAGAATACAGTGTTTTTTGCAGCTTCTTCAACGGATATTGTGCACCATCATCAAGGTGGTTACCTATTTGTGATGCAGCTTCAACTAAAAGTACAACAACAAAAGCAACAGCCTACATTCAACAGCCACAGCCCATGACAACCAGAACAAGAACAACAACGACTACAACAACAACAACAACAACAACAACAACAACAATAACACCAATTCTCGTTCCGCATATACTGGCACACACAGAGACATAGACAGCAATAGCGGCAACACACAAATTAAAGGGTAGTTGGCCGCAGCCAGATGTGACACTTGCGCAGCTAGTGGGGAAGCACTAGCCATCGGTATTCGGTATGAAAAGATAGAATCTTGCGGCCTACGTATATTGAATGCCTTGAAAAACGTGTCAACATGTTGAAGGCATGACCAGCATCAGCCAAGGACTGATGGTCAAAGCAAATACCAAAATACACTGCTATAATATTAAAACACACGATCCTTGAAGGGTGGTGGCGTTCCTACGGATGCGGAAAACTCGGCCTTTAGCCGAGTTTGACGCGAACAGTGAAATATACAAGTAATAATAAACAGAACTACAAGGACACATTATGTCACCATAATGTCGGCTGCGCAACCAGTCACTCATCTGACGTAAGAATTTTTGAAGCAGCTAGTTGTCTGGAAACTGGGCATGCTTCCAGTTTGTGTCGGTACTTTCAAACTCTGGTTGCTGCAGGTGAAAAGAGATTCTCGCAAACCTATTAAAATGCACGGTTGCAGGCAGCGGTGTACAAGAATAAAAATAACAAGGGTGCTTCAACGTTGACTGGGTTCGATCACTGAACACTAGACAAGAACGTTTGTTTGCAAAACAAAGGTAGAAGAACTGGTCAGCCTCAAATGCTACCTCAAGGACACGCAGCGTATCCAAAAAGTAAAGAAAAAATGGAAAATGGTGAGCTGGAGGCAACTGTCGCAGACATCACTGAGCAGTGCAAATGGTATGGGCAGACAAAAACCAATAGGAGAAGACCTACACAGTACTGAAGGAGATGTCAAGCATGAATGCCAAACCTACAAGTGAACCTGAAGGAGAGGAGGATGTGGGTGATGCCATCTTGGCTACCCTGGCCAAAGATTTCTCTGAGCTACGGCAGCACATACCTGCACAGGAAAACCAGCAGAAGCATAACGGAGAGCCTCATCATATCGTTGGGAAACGGCAACAGCAGCGCAACATGAAGAAATAGAAAATGTGTGCTGAAGCTGCATTCTCGTTTACAAGAATGTTTGGGAGGAACGTACATGGACTACGGCGAATCATAGGCTTGAAGGTAATCAGGTAGTGAGCCCGTGGGCCTTGTCCATGTACGTTCATGCAAGCATCCCAACCTGGAGGAAAGAACTTCACAGGGAAATTCTTCGGTCCCAACCCCCTTTGTCCAGTTTCTGATTCGAAAGTCAGAAATAGACTATTTCATTTCAAGGAGGAAAACTTCCTTCTGCCAGCGGAGAGGGCTCGACACAATAATGTGGAGCACTATTACACGTAAAACTCCTTTGTGCCTTTTGTGACTATTTCACTTCTATTTTTCACTGCACAGCAGTGCAAGCTCCATCAGCAGCCTCAAACATTCGTCATCTGAGAAAGGGCCCAACATTCCCCGAACCATCAAAAGATCTACAGCAAACAAAGGGAGATTTTCAAATTCATGCAAGAATACATTCAATAAATTCACCCAAAATGAAATGAAATCACCTGATAGATCGCCACTGATATCTGATATCTTCATACTCCCAAGTTCATAGAGGATAAAGTCTCTCCATTTCACAAGGTACTGCACGCTGCCACCCTAAAGCAACAAAATTCACAGTGCAACGAACAGCTCAATTGTGTCGACCTCGCGACCTGATTTATTACAATAAAATAAACGTACCTTCTTTCCCACTGTCGATCCAGTAAGAAGCAGCGAAAACTTCAGGCCCCTAAGACTGCTTGAATTTTCTCCACAGCGGACTGCTGCTGAAAACATCAGCTTGGCGTAAAAACCAGGCTCATTCTGTCTATGAGATACCTAGCGTAAATGAGAGCCTTCTCGTCGCCAGCCACAACAATAACAACAACAAAAATCACCTCCACCGAAAAAGACATGCAGATCAGAGAGCTTGTTGTGTACAGCGTGAGTTCAAAAAAATCCTTTTTCATTGAGATCACAAAAAAAAACTTCACACTCGATCGCGCGATCGCGAGCTCAGCACCAGCAGTGACGTTTGGGTGGAAATATTTTATTTGAAAAACTTTTGTCAGGCGCGATGTCGCTGATTGCTGGTGATGAGTATGTGTGCGGTAGGTGTGAGAATGAAAGGATGAGTATTGTGGCCGTGTGTGTGTGTGTGTGTGTGTGTGTGTGTGAGAGAGAGAGAGAGAGACAGAATGTTTGTGTGAGATTTGGAGAATGTGTGTGTGTGTATGTAAGATTTAGAGAATGTGTGTGTGAGATTTGGAGAATGCGTGTGTGTGTGTGTGTGTGTGTGTGTGTGTGTGTGTGATATAGAGAATGAATGTGTGTGTGCGTGTGCATGTGTGAGATATAGAGAATGAATGTGTGTGTGTGTGAGAGAGAGAGAGAGAGAGAGAGAGAGAGAGAGAGAGAGAGAGATTTAGAGAATGTGTGTGCGGACGCGCGTGTGAGTGTATGTGTACCGTATTTTTCCGGTTGTAAGTCGACCTTTTACGACTTAAAATAGAAGGAGAAAGGGTGGGGGTCGACTTACAACCGGGATTCGACTTATAACCGGGAACTATCAGAATCTTACAAAAAATGACCTGCGTCTGCATGCACGAGTGCACAATGTTTACACATTTTGCCAGTTTATTGGCCTTTTCCAAGGATTGGGACGTTATATCCTCCAATAAGGAATGTTTACATGATTTGTTAATGTGTTAGTAGCAGGAGGTGGTTAGTAGTGCTTCTTTGGGTGACAACTTTTTAAAAACGCAGAATTGAGACCTCCAGATAGAAGGGTCGACTTATAACCGGGGTCGACTTACAACCAGTGAAATACGGTATGTGAGAAAAGGGAGAGAGTGTGGGTGTATGTTTGTGTTGTGGTGTGGGCATGTGTGGATTTGGCATTTGCCCCCAGCTCTATTCTATATCATTCATGCCGGAACTACAGCTGCATAGCCCCAAGTCTGAAGACTTGGCAACTTCACGCCTGCACCTGACTCTTGCGCTATGATACGCGTCGCCTATGACACCCCTCGGAATTTCCCACCTTGCTCCCCCTTATGTTCTGGCTGCCCGTTTTGGATCCATGAGTTGCCTGATGATCGTAGAGATACGTGAAACTCGGAGTTGTGACAAAGCTTCCAAACTCTCTCTTGTGTAGATTCTATTTCTTATTTCACACTCACCACCATCAGTTGACACCACACGAATACAGTGAGGGGCCGTCCATTGATAGAGATATTTATTTAGAAATGAAAACTAGTCGTTTAGGGGGAGGAGGTTGAGCGCCTGTTCGTTTCTCGAAAAATATCGCGGGCACATTTTGTATGTGTCGGAATTTCCAAAAAAACCGAAAAAAATATCGACACTATGTACCGTTTGTATGAGTTCGTTTAGCGGGGGGGGGGGGGGGGGGGGGGTGAATGAGAGTACTAGTCTTCGTTTCTAAGTAAATATCGGTATTTACGGATGTTCTCTAAAGCATGTGTTGATTCAGTTTTTCCTGTTTATAGCGATTCTGACACTGGAGTTGTCCTCGAAACGCTGCTATTGAAGAGCAAGCCCGTGATCTTGCTCTGGGCATACTTTTTGAGCGTGAAAAAAGCAATGGCATGGCCAGGAAGGGTGACGTCAGTTACGTAGCTGGACACTAGATCAGGTTTTCAAATGAACCTGCTATCTTGAATCTGAAGTAATCAGTGCCCTAAGTGTGCCAAGCAGAGATATGAAGGTCAACAAAAACAAGTAGCTGGTCACCATCATTATAGTGAGGTAATGAGCACCCCAACATTTCTCAACAAATGTGATTGGGAGTTTTGCTTAGTTTGCGGATTATCCTGCTTGTCACGTTCCATTATCAGAACCTGGCCGGAAATGCTTCGCGTTTCGTTCCTTCAAAGTCCACTCTTTCAATTGTAAGAAACTTGTAGAACCAAGAGAAGTGCTACAACACGGGTGACCGTTGCTTACACTGCTACTGTCACAAACACTAGAATGTGTTCTCATGAAGGTTGTTTCACAGAAACTTAGCAATGTCACCAAGCATTCAGCAGGTCTTGCGGGGTAGGGTACCATACATGTCAGATGGTTCCTGAAGAGGCTCTTCGATTTCGGATATCCTGACAGCACGGCGAGGCGTGCACCACAAAGACAGTTCTTGAAGGTGCATTTCAATTTCGGAAGTCGTGGAAGCAAGAGGAGGATTCCCACACTGTTCGTAGGTACATGCACCACAGTCAGTTCTTGAAGGTGCATTTCGATTTTGGAAGTCTTGGAAGCAAGACGAGGATTCCTGCATTGTTCGTACAGCTAATGCACGTACTAGCCACCTAAACCACCAGCATCAGCAGCATCCCCAGGGATGACCCAAGCAAGAGAAGCACGAACGGCACCCCAAGCAGCAGCATCAGCACCAAGAATAGCGGCAATGGGAGCAGCCCAAGCAGAAGTACCACCTCCAAATGCAGTTCTGTCGATAGCAGTACCACCAACGGCCGGTACCAATAGCAGCGGCAACACCAGCATCACCGCCATCACCACCGCCTCTAGCTTCAGCAGAAGAGCCAAAGACCAAGAGAGGGGGACAGGGCCCTGCGTAAAGGAGGTCGTGCAGCAAGTCTTGCAGCAAGTTCGAGTTTTTGATACGGATTGCTACGCACACGTGCGCACAATCCCGCCTCCATGAGGTGAAGCGTATCAGCACATCCAGAAGTCTTGCTAACTGAAGATAAAGTGCATAACCACATCCAGCAGTCTTGCTAACTCAAGATAAAGTGCATAACCACATCCAGCAGCCTTGCTAACTCAAGATAAAGTGCATGATCGTCTGATGGACAATCCCATCACAAAAGGCAAGGTTCGGCATAAAAAAGCGCTTTCCTGCATTCCTGAGTCAAAAGGCTTCATTGGATTAATCCAGTTGTACCAAGTGCCTTTGTGCGTTCGTGAATCACAATCGGAGAATGTTAGTGCATCATGATGAAGACTACGGTCTTATGCGAAGGGAAAGGCCGGATATCCCTACCAGCACATAGCAATGCCCACATGCCGTGCTTGTGCGTATGTGTGTCCACCATTATACCTGGGCCTTTGACCAGTGGGGCAGATCTAGTCCGCCCAGTGTTGCCCTCAATCCTGACTGAGGCACGACCGCCGGCAAGTGCGGTTGCGGTACAGTCGCCCGGATAAGTATTTGATATTGTCTTAGCTGCGCCGTCCACTCTCCGTCATTCGCAAAGGACTCGCGACTATCTGCACGAGTATTTCTTGTGCTACGACACGGCCAGAGTCTTCTGTCAGGGGTAGACATGGAGCAAAGTCAACGGATATTCGCTTGGCATGGAACGCACGAACGCAAGTCAGTACTAAGGACTCTGTCGATACTGCCGCTGGGGGGGGGGGGGGGGGGCAAGTCATCGAGGATAGGAAAGTGAGTTAAGTAGTCTACAAGGCCGAGCGCTTGGGACCGGAGGCTAGTGGGCTTCAAGAGACCAAATGGCTCGGCGCTGCATCACACTGTATTGGTGATGCGCTGACTGCTCGTCCCGCTACAACACGAGTGACCGGTGCTTACACTGCTACTGTCACAAACACTAGAACGTGTTCTCATGAAGGATGTTTCACAGGAACTTAGCAATGTCACCAAGCATTCAGCAGATCTTGCGGGGTAGGGTACCATGCATGTCAGACGGTTCCTGAAGAGGCTCTTCGATTTCGGATATCCTGACAGCACGGCGAGGCGTGCACCACAAAGACAGTTCTTGAAGGTGCATTTCAATATCGGAAGTCGTGGAAGCAAGACGAGGATTCCCACACTGTTCGTAGGTACAGGCACCACAGTCAGTTCTTGAAGGTGCATTTCGATTTTGGAAGTCTTGGAAGCAAGACGAGGATTCCTGCATTGTTCGTACAGCTAATGCACGTACTAGCCACCTAAACCACCAGCATCAGCAGCATCCCCAGGGATGACCCAAGCAAGAGAAGCACGAACGGCACCCCAAGCAGCAGCATCAGCACCAAGAATAGCGGCAATGGGAGCAGCCCAAGCAGAAGTACCACCTCCAGATGCAGTTCTGTCGATAGCAGTACCACCAACGACCGGTACCAATAGCAGCGGCAACACCAGCATCACCGCCACCACCACCGCCTCTAGCTTCAGCAGAAGAGCCAAAGACCAAGAGAGGGGGACAGGGCCCTGCGTAAAGGAGGTCGTGCAGCAAGTCTTGCAGCAAGTTCGAGTTTTTGATACGGATTGCTACGCACACGTGCGCACAATCCCGCCTCCATGAGGTGAAGCGTATCAGCACATCCAGAAGTCTTGCTAACTGAAGATAAAGTGCATAACCACATCCAGCAGTCTTGCTAGCTCAAGATAAAGTGCATAACCACATCCAGCAGCCTTGCTAACTCAAGATAAAGTGCATGATCGTCTGATGGACAATCCCATCACAAAAGGCAAGGTTCGGCATAAAAAAGCGCTTTCCTGCATTCCTGAGTCAAAAGGCTCCATTGGATTAATCCAGTTGTACCAAGTGCCTTTGTGCGTTCGTGAATCACAATCGGAGAATGTTTGTGCATCATGATGAAGACTTCGGTCTTATGCGAAGGGAAAGGCCGGATATCCCTACCAGCACATAGCAATGCCCACATGCCGTGCTTGTGCGTATGTGTGTCCACCATTATACCTGGGCCTTTGACCAGTTGGGCAGATCTAGTCCGCCCAGTGTTGCCCTCAATCCTGACTGAGGCACGACTGCCGGCAAGTGCGGTTGCGGTACAGTCGCCAGGATAAGTTATTTGATATCGTCTTAGCTGTGCCGTCCACTCTCCGTCATTCGCAATGAACTCGCGACTATTTGCACGAGTATTTCGCGTGCTACGACACGGCCAGAGTCTTCTGTCAGGGGTAGAAATAGAACCAAATCAACGGATATTCGCTTGGCATGGAACGCACGAACACAAGTCAGTACTAAGGGCTCTGTCGATACTGCCGCTTGATGGGGGGGGGGGGGGGGCAAATCATCGAGAATAGGAAAGTGAGTTAAGTAGTCTACAAGGCCGAGCGCTTGGGACCGGAGGCTAGCGGGCTTCAAGAGACGCTCGTCGCTGCGTCGTTCTGCGTTGGTGATGCATTGACTGCTCGTCGCGGCAGACCCCTATCAACTGGTAAGTTCACCCGTGGTGGCGGAGTCACAGCCTTAGTGGGACAGAACATCATTCCATTGCGACGTCTCACAAAGTAGCGTCATCTCGTTAAAAGGTATGACCTGTAAGATGAAACTCCCCGCAGTACTGATATCCCGCAACAGCTCTCCACGAGGGATGATCACTTCGGGTACATTTGTGCGTTTGCTGTTCATTTTCTTTTCTCTTCATTTACCATTTTTGCTGTCACCTTTGATTTTGGGAGATTGAAGTTGAAGACGCCAATGCAGCTGAACTTATGGTGGTAAATACACACCCGGCAATATGGCAGTAAATACACGCCTGCCCACACACGCTCTGCAGGCTGCAAAGTTATTTTGGCACAGAGCTCTCCTTATCACCGCCACCACACGTGTGTGGGCAGGCGTGTATTTACCGCCATTTGAGTCAACCTTTGATTTTCATTCTTTTTCTTGTCATTTATCATTTTCACTGTTTGGTTGATACAGAGACTCTGGGTTGGTTAAGCTACTCCAGCTCCGCCTCTATTGCTTTGGCTGCCATCGCAAATTGCCTCCCGCTATAGCTTGCTAGTGTATGCACCGTTATGGTTTGTGACTCGTTTTAATTTCTACAATTCTTTGGGATTTCAATGCTTGTGTGGAGTATATCACGAATGATATAATTTCGACGTATGCTTCAGACATTATGGCACGTACCTGCGACTACATGTTTCGTCGTCCAGCGCTAGAGCTTCCATGGCGAACCAGGCACCGTATGTGAAGCACACACCCCAGGACCTGCACACGGTGGGCCACAAGACAAACATCACATATCACACAGGCCGTAGAGGAATACATATGTTAGATCCCGGCTAAACGCAGTCCCCTCGCACTTGCAGAAAACAGGGGTTTTATAGTATTGAATATGGAAGACGTATCGAGACCAGAGAGTAGACAAGAGGGAGACGAACGGAGACGAAGACTAGAATAGAGAACCACTGGGCCATGCACTCTTCTGTACTTGATGGCATCGCATTGCTATGGTGAAGGATCGGGAAATACGAATAGTGAGTATAGTCTTCTTATAAATACACCTGATACACATGCCAACAGTTCACTCGTCACTTATCTTCCTGCAGTATGGGAAGGAGTGGGTTTCTAGTTTGGAGGGGACAGGAAGAACACCTGTCGCATTGTCTACCCTGGAATATTTTCGAGCATCCAATCAGGACTTAGAGGTCAAAGAGCAGGACCTTACATGCAGACGACTCCATGGGAGCTAGTATAATAACACGAATGTTTTGGGAGCAGGCTATAATTTTCTGTGTATCAGAACTTCGGGTTGGAGCAAACCTGTCCAGAATAGGACGCAATCAGAGCCACTCTGGGCAGGTGGCAAGTGTGCTCAGTAGGCACCACTGTGCCTACTGAGCACGAGGCGGTTTCTGCTACTGTGGTGGACATTGAAATCTGACTGGATGACCGGAGACGACACCCTTACTGCTGTTAGCACATACAGTCAACTTTGCGTGTAACGACACTCGGCGCGGCATCAGAAAAGTGTCCTTATACCCGAAGTCTCATTATAATGTATTAGATGGGACTTTGCTCTGGGCATGGAAATGCTGTCGTCATTCGCGAATTGCCGTTACGACCGCAATCGTTAGTAGCGAAGTTGACTGTACATGACCTGCAGTACACATACACAGTGTGAAATAGACCAGCCATGCAGCGGTGCTTGCGGCTGCAAGTCCAGCGCCCCGCGGCCACTCGACTTCCCAATGGATTTCATTGTCCGCTACAGCAGTACATGGAGGTTGCACACTGCCGTGCGTCAACAAATACTCGGCGCATATATTTATTTTCGGCTATTTTCCGCATGGTCCTGTTTGGCCGAAAATTTAGTTTTGCAAGGTTCAGTGCGACAGTGTATACAAGCGGCAGCAGTACACGCCGGAAAATTTGATGCGGCCGAAATGGATTTCAGCCCTGGGAGGCCGAAATTTGAATGTGCCGAAAAGTTTGTAGACTTACTGTATGTAGAATCATGCGTACATGTAAGCGACCTACAACTGTGACTCACCCTTCCCAGGAACCGTCGAAGCGCTGCTCACGTCGGATATAGTCAAAGCCACGGAGAATGGTAGATCTGCAGAGACGTGCACGCACAAAGACGAACGCCCTCGTGATTATGAAGAATGTGCACGAGTAGCAACAGACAAAGGGTAGAAGCGGGTAAGATATGGAGAACAAAGTGATTAGATGTGCATGCAAACACACACACACACACCACACACACAGAAACACACACACACACACACACAGATGCATGCGTACACACCTGCTAGGACAGAGCAGAATTATTTAAACACCAACAAAAATACGATCTCAAGATTCGATGCTCTCTGCACATTGGAGTGACTGCGGCTGTTACCACGCCGGTAGTGCTTCATTGGATTCCGGAATCAGGAACAGATTGATGATCGGATTCAGGAATCAGGAATAGATTGATGATCGGATTCAGGAATGAGAACCAAAGTGATCATGCCCACAATGAAGCAGAACCATCACCGAAAATACAATCAGTTTGAGAGAGTCACATGCGAACAGGATGTATTTATCTATTTTTTTCATTCTGGATAGGTTCTATGTATTGTGGTGGGGCATATCACTCATCTGATCCCAATGAACACCGACTTCCATGGATGACGGCAACGTCAGAAATGTATAGTTCTCTTCTCCGGCTTGCTGATCTCTCTCTCTCTCTATCTATCTATTTCTCTCTCTCTCTCCCTCTCTCTCTCTCTCTCTCTCTCTCTCTCTCTCTCTCTCTCTCTCTCACACACACACACACACACACACACACACACACGCACACTCCCCCCTCCCCCCTGCCCTCCCTCCTTCCCCCTCTCTCCATCCATTTACCGCTGTCTTCATGCTGATGATGACAATCTTGGAAGCTCTACGAAAAGAAACCTGCCACTCACAGCACTTCTTCGGAGCGGTACTGATGGTCTCTCTCCTGAAAGTGGTGCAGGGCCTGGACAACGGCCGACGTACACTCCACATAGGTGTAATCGATCATGATGTCGCCAAACACCTCCGATGGATTCAGCAGCTCCAGCAGCAGTCCGCCGCGTTTCGTCTCGTACGTCGCCACTCCGCCGTCAGAGTTGCGGAAGCTAAGCAGCTGCAACGACATGTCACACACAACACACACACACACAGTACCAGGACGTTACGAGGACGTTGGAACTATTCTAGAACACGAACCGTATTCTCCGCAGTACAAGCTGGCATTGTCAAAACAATACATACGTTCATTCAACAGTGGAATGAGTGTAGGGCCGTGAACCCCGGTTCTCAAACTTCACGACCACAGCTGAAAGACACTAGTCAAGTTGTTGAATGGGAAATTGTACCACACCTCTCCAACATGCTTGGTCGACTTCGTCCAAGTCTTTCAAACCCCACTCAAGCACTAAGGTAAGATTCATGTGGTCAAAGCCTTTTTTAATTTATTTTTTACTGAAGTGCACAGTCCAGCAGAGAACGTAAGGAAAGACAGAACCAGGGGGGTGGGGTGGGGGGGGGGGGGGGGGGAGAGAGATGACAATACAGCAGGGAGCCGGAGCAGAGTGCAGATGAAATGGGCATACCTCCCTCGACCATGGGGCCCGGGTTCAGCCTTACCGAGTCCACCGCATCTCTCAGTCGTTCGATGGTGCAGTGATGTTCAAGCCAGCTGCAGATGGACGAGAGACGCACAGATATCCGATAGGCCATGGTCCGACTAGGAAGCTGGAGGCAGCCGCAAACCCAAGTACTTGACGCTGGCGTGGATCACACTGCATTTTTGCTTTTGCTTGCCCTCTTCTTCAGTCTTTGTACCAGCTTCGAGCAACTGCACCCGGTCACCATGCATGCACCCGGGGCAAGGCGCAAAGAGCCTTAGTTCTCCCACTTGTTTTTACGCAGTGTGGCATGCGCTCTATTTCTTTTCTGGCGGCAGGCAGATGGAACTCTCTTCCAGCTGACTGTCGCCAGGGCCACTCTCTTGCTCTGTTGATTAACATGGTTAAACTTCAGGTAGGGTTCCCAGTAAAAAGCCAGTAGCCTGTTGGGTCTCCCCTAGTAAAATAATTTTAAACAAATACCACTACAAGGGTTCTAACGGCGCGAGTACGGTATGTTTCCCTAACACTAAGTCTCTATTTAAATACAAAAACAAACACGCACTGTACCCGCATTTGTCTGAGAGAAGCAGCAGCGACTTCAGACCCTCGGCCGTGCAGTCCGCCACGATCCAGCCGCACTCGGCGGTGCTGAACGGAAACCCACCCTGGCATACAGGAACACAGTGCAGACACAGAACAACACACATTGAGTGCGCTTGATTAAGCCCGCGAATCGATGTTGAATCAATTCATGTATCGCCCCTGGCTGTGCACATCACCCTATGTAATTAGGTTGAATGGATTCCAAACCGATTCCAGTGCTCATGACATGACATCGAGCGACGATATTCCATTCATGAATTGATTCACGGCAGTAATCGAAGGCACCAAGTGTACATGGCTGGTACCGATTCTAAAGTACGGTATGAAAACCATCCAAGTGGCTGGCGAGAATCCACAATGCAAGTGGCTTCTGCTGAAAGGCATTACCACACGTACCGCACGAACTAGCTTGCAAAGCATGTACGCTGATATCATGCGCAAAGTTCTCTACCTACAAGCAAAGTATATCACTGCGATCACCCAAACAAGACGATCAGCATTTCCAGACGATTTCCACAGTCAAGCTCGAAGCATGCCATTTCCTAACAATCACTCATGGATAAGAGGGCTATTTTGTGTAAAAGTACGAGGACATTTTGGGATCCCTGGGGCTGGAAATTGTCATGCATACACTTCAATACAAGGTCCTGGGATCAAGCATAAGGTTTCAGAACAACCACTACAGATCCTGAACAACGCCGGCTTGGATTCTTTGTGACACTCCCGCTATTCATCCCCTCCCCCCCCCCCCCTCCCCGCCCTAACATGCCCCCCCCCCCCGCCCTTACACTTACATGCCCCCCCCCCCTACCAAACCATATCCCCATAACGTTAAATGTATCTGTAAAGAATTACTCCGCCACGATTGGCAAGTCATAGTTACCTTGTTCGGGTGACGATAATACGTCTCATACTTGTCTGGGTTTTCTCGCATCTGACAACAAAGAACAAAAAACGGGCTTAGGTTGAATTCTGAAGTTTTTTCTTGCTCTCTGAAATGAATGCATTATAGCCACTGTTTATGATACCGATATGCTGCATCTCCTGGTTCGGCATTCCAGACTACAGTACAACTTGTAAGTAAAGACCATCGTGACTAGCGACCAGCCTGGTGCTACAGACCACTTCGCCAGGCACGGACGGTCTCACATTCTTAATTATATGGTTGTGCGGAGCGGACCTCTAACTAAGGACCACCTGCCACTAACGACCGCTTTCGCGCTTTCTTTGACCCCAAGGGGTGGTCGTTAGTCCCAGGTTCTACTGTACATGCATTGCCATTAATGCAGAGTTGTTCTTATTCAGGTCGTTGACTGTATATGCCATACACCTACCTGCGTAGTTTCCAGGAAGTTGTGCGCCCTTAGGAGACAGTCTTGCAGATCTCGCTTTTGCCCAGCACCAGCCTATTACAGAACACACAGCGGGCACTCAGTCCTAAAACCGAGCTCAATGAAATCCAAAATGTAAAAACAAGAAAGGACACAGGGGTTACGAGTTATGAGTGACTGCCCACTACGGTTACAAGATAACAAGCAGTAAGAAAGCAAGATAACTCAGCACAAAACTGTCGGACCTCTGAGACATTCTGTTGTCAAGTAGTCCTACCCGACAACAGAGCCTGCTGCTATTCACGGTTGCTTGAATTTCAAGCACTGACTCACCTCAAGAAATGCCTGCACCGCAAAGCAAGCATCCCACAACTGCGAACCATTGGTTCCCTTCATGTACACACGCATGCACGCACGCACACCCACGCACGCATACCCACGCACGCACACCCACGCACGCACACCCACACAAGCACACACACACGCACACACACACACACACACACACACGAGAGAGAGATGCACACAGCAGCTGAGCACACAACTCACTAAGTCTAATTCACTCACAGTCATGTAAATCAATTATAGAGCGAGAGCGGCGAAGTGAAACAAAAATCCAGTCTAAGAGGAACGTTCCACACAGCTGTGATAAAGGACATTTGAGGGGGCTCACAAGTATATCAGCAGAATAGTCACACAGAAGCACACTGTAAACAGTGACGCTTTGTGATTGGTTTCTAACTTATCAAATAAATACTGTGAAAAGGGCTTACCTGCATCCGCATTCCGTCAACTCCCATCCTACGAACAGTCAGGACAACAAGCAGACTTTCTTAGTTTGTCGTGTGCAAGCCAGAGCGTTTGTGTGCGTGTGTGTGTGATGTGGGGGGGGGGGGGGGGGGTGCAGGCATGTGCTTGTGTCAATGTTCTTTGTCATAGCTCTTCGAGAAAGAACATTGACCCAAGCACATGAATGCACCCCCCCCCCCCCACACACACACACACAAACGCTCTGGCTTGCACACGGCAAACTAAGAAAAGTCAGCTACGTGCCAAATGGCAGCACGGGGCAACAAAGAGAGGCAGAGACAGTTCACTAAGACATTGAAGTAGATATTTTACACTTCCAATCATCAACACCATCATTGGTCAATACTCATTCGACTCTTCACACTTCAAAGTTCGAATGGAGCGGTAGACCAACATGAATTACTCTCCAGGACAAACGTGACTTTACCATAGATAGTCTGGAATGCGCTTGACATGGCGTTGAAACCTGTCCGACTCCGGACCTTCTCTGTAGTAGACGACAAGCATTTGAATCACCTTGGAGATCTGAACAGTGAGGGCAAAAGTGAGAACGGAGAAGGACCTGAGGGAGTCAAAGGTTGGATTTCACCTTGGTCAGTGACGTATTTCCCCCCGATTTAACGTCGCACTTGATTATAAGTCGCAAACTCATTTTCAGGTCTGAGCCAAACTGTTGGAATACATTGTCGGAAGTCACACTGGATGGTAAGGCGCACCCCCGTCTTTGCTCTTGACGTGTGAAAAGAAGTACACCCTCCGAACAACCGCACCCTGCAAACAAGAACACCCTGCGAACAAGCACGTCCTCCGAGCACGTCCACCCTGCAAACACACACGTCCTCCGAACAAGCACACCTACGGAACAAGCACAACGTCCCGGACCAGAGCACCCACCGGTCCTATACTGATACCGTCCGTGGCCGAATCATCAAACAGGATATGGTCATAGCATAGGTCCAGCGCCATCTTGCGTAGATAGGAAACATGACACCACTCGTACATGTTCAGAAGTCCTGCAAAGAGAATACAATAGAATAATAAACTCTATATCAAAGGCTTTAGAGAAATGACAGAACACTTGCATGGGATTACGGCTTCTTCGCCACTCCTCAAACTTTGCACACACACCTCCAAAACCCACACCCAATACCAGAACCAGAACACTGGCAAGCCAGAGAGTGCACATACACAAATGCACCCCCCCCCCCCCCAACACATGCACACCCATAAACACAAACACGAGTGTACACACACATATACAAGAAAATACACACACACATACACATATATAAAGACATCATACCATGAACACCCTTCAACAGCCAGGAGTGCGGAGTGTACAGATCACCAGCGGCAACATTGGAGCGCTGCGACGGCCAGTCAATATCATCATACTTAGTCACGTAAAGTTCCTAGCATGGCAAAAATCAGTAAAACAAGCACCGCGAAAACTGGTAAAAGTCACAAATGCCATGAGAGAGAGAAAAAGAAAGAGACAAAGAGAGAGAGAGAGAGGGAGAGAGAGAGAGAGAGAGAGAGAGAGAGAGAGAGAGAGAGAGAGAGAGAGAGAGAGAGAGAGAGAGAGAGACAGAGAGAGAGAGAGAGAGAGAGAGAGAGAGAGAGAAGAGAGAGAGAGAGAAGAGAGAGCGAGAGAAGAGAGAGCGAGAGAAGAGAGAGCGAGAGAAGAGAGAGAGAGAGTGCTTCTCTTGTGACGGGCGTATACATGGTACATGGTGAGTGCTTGCAGGTTGAGACAAATGACACGCTTGGAGGGTTTGTCTGTGCCGAGTACCGTGCTCTACAGTGCGAACAGTGAAGCTAGCCATTCGTAAGCAATGCAAACCGGACATTGCAAGCGGCCTCCAGTACTGTCGGGCGCCGAAGAACGGAGCACCGAAGAACGAACAGCCCAGGATTTCAACAAGCACAGCACACCCATGTATACACGGTGGCTCAACAGTGCACACATTGTACATGCAGTACATGACGATAAGAACGGTTTACGCTACGAGGTGGACTGCCAATTTCTTCGCCGACAACCAGCACTGTAGTAGTACGGCGAGTGAAAGACTCGCTGTAACGCCGTCATAAAAAAAACACCATGCGGCATGGATGCGCCAGTCTCACCTGCCTTAGCTCCATGATAAGAGGAGTAGCTGTGGCTGTCACGGGCGCACCGTAACAGAATGCCATGGGGAGATAGACCTATGGTGCACATAGGCAGGCACAGAGAAGATAAAGAATACAGCCAGTCATGGGTATGAGAGTTGGTAAGTTAAACCACATATCTTGAACGTGGAACAGTGCGTGTGTGCGTGTGTGGGGGGGGGGGGGGGTGTGCGCACACGCACACGCACATACAAACACACACACACACGCACACATGCATGCATCACCGTGTGGTGTCCGCATACACTGGTTGCGTCGAAACAAGACATAACAAGCACACACACAAGAAACACACACGACCAGCAATCTCATACCCTGGGATCTCATACCCTGGGATCTCATACCCTGGGATCTCATACCCTGGGATCTCATACCCTGGGATTTCATACCCTGGGATCTCATACCCTGGGATCTCATACCCTGGGATCTCATACCCTGGGATCTCATACCCTGGGATCTCATACCCTGGGATCTCATACCCTGGGATCTCATACCCTGGGATCTCATACCCTGGGATCTCATAGCCTGGGATCTCATACCCTGGGATCTCATACCCTGGGATCTCATAGCCTGGGATCTCATACCCTGGGATCTCATACCCTGGGACCGGGAACTAACCTGTCTACAGTGACACCAGAGTGTGCTGGGGTGAGCAGGAAACCAAGACGGCAGCAGCCTACACAAACACAAAGAACAGTTTCAAGCGTACATGAAGATGGAATTCAAAAGGATGCATATTTCACTGCAATTCATTCATGGAAAACTGGCACCCAAAGTCTTTGATGTCCAGCACGTGCAGTGGTTGATGTAGTGTAAACATGTGCACTGTGATCTTGGACTGTGTGACTCGTGTATTCAAGGCCGGGAATGTCCAAGAAAAGGGAGTTGGAAGTTTGACCAGTTATTCAAAAGTAGAATAGATACACCGTGCAAAAGGTTATGGAGAACCAGGTCCAAAAACCAGACTTTTCGAATATAAAGTGGTATTCGAACATTTAATTATGTAATTCGGCCAAAATTGGGGTTTCGAAAGCCAGCAGGAGTACCATCTGAAGTAACCGAACAGTTATCTCCGGATGGAGGTCTGGGATTCTCTAACCTGATCTACTGTTGTGCGGATTCTTATCCAAACATTTGATCACACTTTATCCAATACTCAGCACGTTTGTATACTGATCAAAGTTATTCTCCTTGGACAAGAAAAGGACCCTGCAGTGGCCCGCTTGTCGGAAAACAGACTTTGATGACAAAATTGGATACTGGTATTCCTTTCTCAGAGAGGGTTGCATAAGAGAATAATGAAAACAACAATAATTATACTGTAAATCTACAAATATTCGGCGCATATTTATTTTCAGTTATTTTCGCTCTGGTCATGTTTGGCCCAAAATTTGTTTTGCAAGGTTCAGTGTGACTACAGGCGGCAGCAGTGCAGGGCGAAAACTTGATGCGGCCGAAATGGGTTATAGCCCTGGGAGGCCGAAATTTGAATGGGCCGAAAATTAGTCGGCTCACGGTAGAAGTTACTCAGCCTGAGCAAAATCCTTAGATAACTCATAGTGAATGGTACTGTCTAATTGTACGCAGCTACAGACATCTCGCCTTCCACATTCTGTTGCGTATGCATTACCGTATCTACGTAGGTACTGTTATGGGCTGGATTGTCCATGTATGATGCTCTAGTGGTCTGCGCTGCATCTACTGCGCTCTGCTTACGTACCGCAAATGTCTTATAAAGTGTTGCTCATTGAAATCCAGTCGCGTCACTGAAGTACACGAGGGGCGTTGCGCAGCCCTAGATCTGCGAACACTGGGCGGCGAGATTGTGCAAGGCGTAAACTTGAGCGACGCGACTGGATTTCATTGAGCAGGACTGTATTTAATGCATTCCTGTTGTACCCTGCTCGCCCTACATGTGATTATGCGTGCCCTTCGCACGGGGATGGTGGTGGCACGTGGCGGCTTACCAGATTTCCGGCATCAGCGAGTGAAGACCTTTCCAACTGTACAGGTTGAGCACGGCCAACCAGAACTTGCCCCAGGACGGGATTCCTACGGCACCGCCTGTCCAGCACAGCACACGGAAAGAACAGTCCTGTTGCGTGTCACGTGACAGTTGCCATGTAGATAGCCAATCAATGGTATTGGGAGATGTCTACATTTCTTGTTGTTTAAAATTCAACACCGACATGTTCAGTTGGAGTGAGTTCATTATTGGCATGTCCAGCCTGCCCTACTACAAATTAGGTAGCTTTATTTTTACGCCCCACATACATGCACAACCACACAGACGCACACACACACGCACGTATGCATACACACATACACACACCCACACCCCCACACACACACACACACACACACACACACACACACACACGCGAGCCCATATTGAGACTTGAATCCTGCCACGGAGTCAGATCATGGCTCGAAGGACCAGGCAAGGATAGAGCGAAACAACTTACCAAGTTGATGAAGACGTGTCCTGGCTGCGACGGCTGAAGGGTCATCCCGTGGTACGCCGAGCAGTCGAAGACTGACGTAATTCATTGCAGTGCCAAACACGGTTGACTTGCCTGCCGTGTGTCTACAGGTACATGGCCAGACAAAACACGCATACACGTGAACGTACGTGCGTACACGCACACATTCACATATACACACAACCACATGCACACACACACGCACGCTCGCACACACACTCACTCACACACGCACGTGCACGAACACACACACACACATGCACACGCACACACACACGCACCCACACAGGCACGCACGCACACACACACACACACGAACACACACACACATGCACACACACAGCAAGCAAGAAGGCATGGAGAGACCACTACACTGTCAACGTGTACATTTTGAGAAAGCAAACGATAAAAAAGTGGACTCGACCAAAATGGATTCCTGTTCAGTTCCAAAAGAATAGAAAACACTCCGGAAAGTCACTACTCGGTACTTTCCCGAATATAAGTAGCACTCGATTATAAGTCGCATCCCCACTTTCAGGCTAGAGCAATATTGCTGCAGTAATATTACACAAGTAGGTCGTCACACTCGGTTTTAAGTCTCATCTTCTTCTTTCCTCAAGCGATTTAGTGCAGAAAGGTGCGACTTTTAATCGGGGAAATGCGGTACGGGGCGGACAGGTCGGACGGATGGGAAACGTGCTTGTATCTACCTGTGGTTCTGCCTATACAAGGATACACAAGTTCACACGTACACATACACACACACACATACACACACGCACGCACACGCACACACACACACACACACACACATACACACACGCACATACACACACACACACACACACACACACACACACACACACACACACACACACACACAGAGTGAACCTTACAAGCCCCAGCCGCCATCGTCCAATTGAACTGAACGGAGATATCGGATCATTTCGACTTTCGTTGGCTCGCCTAAATCCACCCGCGTGATGTAGCAGACTATGATCAGACCTGAAATGAAACACACGTCACCCAGACAAATACAACCTGGTCACTTCATGGCTTGCACTGGAATGGCGAGACAATAATTATTAGTCATAGAGTTTTAAAAATTGGTACAGTAACACGTGTAACTAAAGACCACAGTGACTAGCGACCAGCCTGGTACTACAGAGCACTTCGCCAGGCACAGACGGTCTCACATTCTGATAATGGTTGTGCGGTGCAAACCTCTAACTAAGGATCACCTGCCACTAAAGACCGCTTTCTCTGGCCCCAAGGGGTGCATGTGTGCCGGGGGAGAGGGGGGGGGGGGCATATCATCCGTCCCGCCATACCGCACATAAGGAAGAGGGGTCCACCGTAGTCGCCTGCCCAGTGACCATCTTCACTTTGTAACTGTGAGTAGAACTGCATGGCCTTGTCGATGGCCTCTCCTAACTCAGGGGACTGTGCGGGTTTCTGAAAGTGACACAGACAGACAGACAGACAGAAAGACAGACACACACACACACACACACACACACACACACGGAAGAAGTAATACCAAACAGTATTATTTATACATTATTATGGAATCCAATACACCACACCACCACATTGCGCTCTTGGCCGATCCAAACTCTACACTCACATCACCATCACCACAGCGAGGACAATTCCGGTATATAGACTGATATTGACAATGACCCTCTAGACAGCTGTTTTCAGCTGAGCTCAACATTTAGCAGCATCGGACGCAGCAAAGCCCTGACTGGAGTGAATTCCCCATGGGCCTCTCGGTGTGTCAAGTGGCTGTTTTGCGGCGGAAGATGCTGACTGAAGGCACAGGCAACATCAGTGTACGTGTTCAATGGGTATGGCAGCGTGGTGTGGCTGTGGGCGACGGGCTGGCAGGACAGTGATTGCCTCAGGGGCCTCTGGGTCTGCCGCGTTGGCCAGTTCAATTCATCATTTGTTCCCCCGTCACGTCACTACGGGACAAGTACGCACATACGCACACACGCACACGTACCTGGCTGGCTTCGGTCAGGCCGAGAAAGTAGCGCTCGGCAAACGACTGCTTGGGAGTGTCTGCCACTTCCCCCTGGCTGACATAGCGCCACACCTGTCTGCCCTCTACGCAGGACAGTCTCCATTGTTCTAGAGCAGTGGCTGGCCGCGGTACTTCCATATCATACGTACATCAATAGCAGATCTGTACAGGCACAGGAAGGCACAGTCCTGCTCAATAAAATCCAGCCGCGCCGCTCAAGTTTGCACCTTGCATCATTCCGCTATCCAGTGCTCGCAGGTCTAAGGCTGTGCAAGGCCCATCGCCTACTTGAGTAACGCGACTGGAGTCGCGTACCTGAGTGACGCGACTGGAGTCGCGTACCTGAGTGACGCGACTGGAGTCGCGTGCCTGAGTGACGCGACTGGAGTCGCGTACCTGAGTGACGCGACTGGATTTCATCAAGCAGTACTGTAGACACAAAAGCCAATACACGCATACCTCGCTTATCCGGGCGGTCCCGTAACTCTTAAATGTCCGTTACTCCGAATCACACACACACTGTGATGGGGAAAGTCCAAAGATACGGTATATGACGTCACTATTTCCACAGAAAGTGACCAAAATGTAGTAACATTTCCATTGAAACTCTCCCAAAGGGCGCCCGGCAGACCGAAGTGCCCGAAACTTTGGTGTCCGCATAACAGAGGTACGAGTGTACTGTGAGAGAATGCTGCTGATTATTCTGTTTGTTTTTTACACACATCGGGTGAACCAGCATGCATTTCTGATGCGTGAGTGCGGTGCTGTCTTCTCTTAGTGGCAATCTTCGTTCTGTGTCAACTTCGCCTCACCACCGCGTTGCCTGACGACCAATCACTGCCGTGACATGCGCTGCAATGTAACTGAGACTTAGGATGCTTGCAGCACTCAATGCTCAAATCCTGTGCCGTATTCCTCGCTAAATATGTGCCCCCCCCCCCCCCCCCCATCTCTCTCTCTCTTTCTTTTTTCGAGACAAACTGTCCCCACGTCCCAGTTTATGGCCGTCTATTTTGTAAAAGGTCTGGTAGGGTGTTCAACCCCATGACATAGATATTTTTCCACTCTTGCTCGGTCAAATATGTACTCTATGAGTCGCGAAATGGTCTTTAGTTCCTGCACTATAGACCTTATTCGATACACGTCACGGGTCACGTGGACCCCAGTCACGAACCTACGAAAAACTGGACGAGTGGCAAGAAGTGTTTTGTTTTGAAAGTGCGTGTTGATAGTTGTGGGCAAGTGTGTTTGGAGGAGAGCTTTGGAATTGTTCTGGGTAGCTGTCACTGTCGTTGGTCAGGGAGACGTGGGTAGGGAGTGTAGTAGTATGGTGAAGAGTTGCTGTGCAGTTGGTTGCGCTAACCGTTTCGCGAAAGGCGGTGGAAAGAGCTTTTATAAGTTCCCAACTAATCAGCTCAGGAGAGCAAAGTGGATTGCTGCGCTGAAGCGCAAGAACTGGCAGCCCAACGCTTCCAGTTGGGTGTGCTGCGATCACTTTGTAAGGTTCAAGAAGAGCGACGATCCACTATCCCCTGATTTCGTCCCGTCTGTTTTTTCAGACGAGGGTCGAGTAAATGGTGAGAAAGCTTACGTAAAATTTGATCGCCACAAGGCCCGACGTCGACGGCATGCAGCTTCAAAGCCAACAGCTCAGCCTGAAGATACCTGCCATGGCAATCATGAGCCCGTGCTGACTGGAGAAAGTGACTGTAATGCTGACAAGGAAATCGAAGAGGAGAGTGCGCCGAGAGATTCATGTTCGTCAGACTCTGTTGAGCCAGCGTCCCCAGCTCAGCCAGAGCTCACTGAAGCCAGCAGCCATGTCGACAATAGTGCTGAACAAGAAAATGACGATCTAGCCTTGCTTCAGGCGAGAGTGGCACAGCTGGAAGAGGACAAATGCCAGCTGAATGGTCAGTTGCAGGAACAGAAATCTGCTATTTCTGCTCTCACCGTCAAAGTACAGCACCTGGAAGCCACTGTGAAACATCAAAAATCAGAGGCGGCAATGTCTTCCATCATATCAGGATTCAAGTCCAATGATGACATGGTGAGATATGAAACTGGCCTCCCATCTTTTGCTGTGCTGGAGAAAGTGTTCGCATTTGCTGGCAAGGACATCCCCGACCACCACCGAGCGGCACTTCCGTCCTTTGCGCAGTTTATTATTGTCCTGATGAAGCTGCGCCTCAACTTGCACGATCAAGATCTAGCACATCGCTTCGGCATCAGCCAGTCTACCGTCTCAAAGTACTTCCACAAATGGATCCACGTCCTTTATGGCAGGCTGCAGCCGTTGATCATCTGGCCAGAGCGCTCCGAACTGTACCGCACGATGCCATTGGAGTTTCGCGGACATTTTGGGAAGTGCATTTGCATTATTGATTGTTTTGAAGTGTTTTGCGAAAGGCCACATGATCTGATGGCCAGGGCTCAAACCTTCTCTAATTACAAACACCACAACACGGTTAAATTTCTTATTGGTATCACCCCGCAAGGCACTATTTCCTTCATCTCCAAAGGATGGGGTGGCCGGACATCGGATAAGTACATCACGGAGCATTGCGGGCTGTTGGACAAGCTATTGCCGGGTGATCAGCTAATGGCAGACCGGGGATTCACGGTCAGTGATGCCGTTGGCCTGCACTGCGCTGAGCTGGTCATACCTCCGTTCACAAGAGGCAAGAAGCAACTGTCGAGAATCAGCATTGAGAAGGCCAGGAAGCTGTCTCGGCTACGAATCCATGTGGAACGTGTTATCGGCAACTTGCGGCAGAAGTACACTATTCTGCAGTCAACCCTGCCAGTGAACATGCTGATGAGTGATGCCTCAACAGGAGTGTGCACCATCGACAAGATTGTCCTGGTGTGCTCTGCGCTGTGCAACTGCTGCGACTCAGTGGTGCCTTTCCAGTAGAAGTACTGAAGTATTGACTTGTTTTTTACTTTTTTTGTCCCGTATTGTGGAACGTGTGGCATGTTGTTGCTGCATAGATTACCTGGACAGGAGTGCAATGCAAATTATGTTACTTGTATTTTACCACTCCCTCGAAGAACGGCTTTTGTCCCTGTGTCTAGTTAGCACCAATGTGTAAATCTCAATCAATCACACTCCATTACACACACACACACACACACACACACACACACACACACACACACACACACACACAGACACATACACACACACACGTCATGTTTCAAAAAGCACAACTTGAAATCATCATATGATTTCATCTTTTTCGCTTGCCTGCACATAATAATAACAAGCCCCAGTGGTCATATTGACTCAAGTTCAAATTTCTGACATGGTGGAATGTATGATCCTGCAGCCATGCATGAGCATGGCTGTTGATTTCTATGTACATGTATGGTGCAATCATTTGTGTGAGAAGTGAGAGTTTTGGTGGGTTGGGCATAGCTCCTAGTTACATAATTGCATCAGGATACATGCATGTATGCACACACACACACACACACACACACACACACACACACACATACACTACTACTACTGCTATGTACAGCTGCCCTATCGGGCCATGCCGCTATCATAAGCGGGAGACAACAACTAAAAGAGAGAAGAGAGGAAAGAAAGAGCGAGAGTCAACAGAATCTAGCATGGCGTTGCACACACACACACACACACACACACACACACACACACACACACACACACACACACACACCCGTACACACAGTTATTCCTTCTTCTTGCATGCTGCACATATCCACTTGCGTTTTGGTTTCTGCTTCATGCGAAGACATACCAAGTGAAACGTCTTAACTCTGCAGTCTGGATGTGAGCATTCCACCACGTCGCCGTCCTTATCCTCGTTGCAAGTGCATACAGCTCCATCAGAATTGGCGGCAGTAGATTTGAAGGATTTTGTAAAATACTTGCCGACAATCTCTGGCAGCACGCCAGCCTTGTAGAAAGACGTGATGGCTTGGACTGTCTTGTGGAAATCTGGATCTGGATGAACGCGGATGACTACACATTCCCGCACGCTCCACACCACAAAATCCGAATATGCTGCCTTGCATACAAACATCTGTGCTTGCACTTGGTATGCATACTTGTGACCAAGGCGCAAATGGAATTTTCCATCGACCTCCTTCAAACAGAAGTTGGTGTCCTTTGCCAGATCATGGAAGGACTTGTTCACGGCTTTGAAAGGGCATTTCACCTCAAGGACGCCATATCCGCAGCAAGTACAATTGATGTTTCCATCAGGACTGGCACCGAGATACGGATGAGTGGTGGAGATGACGAATCCTGAATCAGTAACTTTGAAGTCGCAGTGGTTAGGCTCAAACAGTTTGACGTAGCAGTCTCGGGCAGTCTGCTAATGCTCCAAACCCCAAGTGGTCGCTGCAGAGGAAAACTGATATGCATCGGGGTAGCAAATTGCACGAATTAGAGATGATGATGGGTTCGCAGGGGGTGTGTGAGCAGCATCACGGAACTTTGAAGCTGTCACACGCCCTGCGCGGAACCTGAACCACAGCTTGCTCTTGCTCTGATCGCGGGTTGCCTTTTCAACAGCAGCCGATTCTGCTGCTGTCACTCCCATGCCCTTCAAAACATCATCACACCGGTTCAGCAACACATCGAGTGATGCGTCTAGCATTGCCTCATCATAGAGGTCGGTGATATAAGCTGGGAACCCAGCTGGGCGGGTTGGGACATACCTCTCGCAGAAACCAGGAACAATTGATAGTATCCCTGGCTTGCTCTGCGTGGAGGCAAGACCAGAAAAGAACTCGTTGACTTCACTGGTGGTTGGCACAGTGTATGTCGGCAGTTGTGTGGTGACCTCCACACTGGCTGCTGCTGGCTTAGTGCGCTTGCTGCTCGGCGCGGCGAAATCCATCTCGCATATCCTGGCATACTGCACAGGCTGCAGGGATGGGGCAATCCACTGACATTGCGTGGAGGTGCAGGCGGAATTTTCTTTCACGAAATCCGTCCTGGCCACCAGAGTAAATAGCAAGGCGGCAATGTGGGAGCATGCCTCACCCAGGCCAGCCATACACGTACAGTGGGCACAAAGCACACTCCCATCCATGTCAGCTGCCACCCAAGGCTGCAGCTCAGCAGAGGACACGGACTGGGAGTGACGGACCTTCGCCATCACAAATGCTCTCTTGCCATCCGCAGTTGCAGGAAAGGTGACGACATTGCCAACCCAACCAGCAACGAAAAACTGGTACCCCTCCAAGCTTTTGTACGCCTTCATCTCCTCTTTCGTGCAGGGACTCGGCGCGTTCACGAGATAGTGGTACAAATCAGGATACTCCACGCTGGGGAAATCAGGTGTGGCACCAGGCGTGAGAGATCTGCTCGTCACGTAGGGGTCCTGGTCCGAGCCGATGAACGCCAGCTTCTCGGCATACCGCGTCTTGCCCGCTCTATCCAAATCGCGATAGATTTCGGACAACTCTTGAACCGCCATCACTGCTAGAACACTCAAAACTACAAGAAGACTGCTTACTGCTCCTAACACCTGACAAACGCCAGCTTCTCGGCATACCGCGTCTTGCCCGCTTTATCCAAATCGCGATAGATTTCGGACAAGTCTTGAACCGCCATCACTGCTAGAACACTCAAAACTACAAGAAGACTGCTTACTGCTCCTAACACCTGACAAACCTGCATGAAAGTACTTCGAGAAAAGGAAGGAGACGAACTCCGATATTGAAAATACATTCAAAACAAATTTCCGTGATGCTCAGCTGAGGCCTTTTTGCCACTCGTCCGGATCACGCGTCCGAGTGCCGCGTGCGCATCCTCGAAGGCGCCCCGAAAAATCACGTGATCGAATAAGGTCTATACGTTTTACCAGAAAAAAAAACAGTTTCTTCATTTCAGATTCACTTGGGGAAAACACATTGAGGCCCGACCTGGGTTGATTCGCAGCACGTTAGTGGCTTGACTCGTGCTCGCACGCTACAAACTTGAGCGCCAAGCAGCAGCGACTTCTGACCGACCCTAGCCAGACTACCACTGCTCATGAACAATGAATAATATTATATTTATTGTACTCTTCATGCACAGCGGGTCAGTTCAGAATGCCAAAAAAATATTTTACCTCGAGGTTGTTCAAGGACCAGTCTCACCACCAACTAACAGGCGATTGTGTGGCGAATATCAGCCCCAGATTGTCCACCATGACAGCATGATCTCTACCAACTACAGTCGGAAAGTGATTCGCAACGGGAGTCGCCTGCAAGCTTGCATTGCTGAGTGTGGAGTGGTAACCAGGCGGACTAGCGACTACGAGTGCAAGTGGGGATCGGGACGATATCGATAGCGGATCAGAAAGAACATTTTTGAAATGATTTTCTTTCGCTCCACGACACTATCAATCAGCGACGCTGCATGCATATCATCCCGGGATCCCGTGGAACTCGAACTACTGAGTACTAATTTTTGACATTGTACTGTAGGAGAGGATCAACGTACATGATTGTAAAGCAAAGGAAGACATACAAATCGAAGACCGAGCGCGAGAGGGCGGATCATGAGCCAGTCATGGGGCCATGTTTCACAGCACATGCTATGCATGGTGACACCAGTCACCAGACCCAGTCGAGCTAGTCCATCCATGCGCATGCGATCCAGGGCGATAGCCTAGCGCTACCGAGTACCGAGTCCGACCCTCGTCCGTAGATCTACGTAGTACTAAACGTGAGCTTTGTTGCTGACACTCAGTAACTGGTTGCATTTGTTCGGTCATTCCCGAATGGCGGAATGCCGAATGGGCATGGAATGATGAGAGAGATGACAGATGTCAGATGAGTATCAGAGCGCAGTTTGTAGTTACGTCACGCAAGACGAGACTCGAGAGTAAACAATCATGTAAAATCATTGTAGTAATGGCTCCATTGTATGGACCATGGATTGGTATTTTTGCTTTGGCAGTTTGCATGGTTTGGATCTTGGCTGGTCTTTCCTAGCGCGTTCGGTGTCTCGTCGGGTTACGAAGGCAAGGGTAGTTCAGACAGCATTCCGGAAGGCGTTGGAAAGTTACCCGTAATGCGCGAAATGTAAGCAGATTATGACTTTTAAAAAGTAATTAAAATCGGCAGAACCATAAATTGCATAATACAATCACTTCAACTTCAACCATTAAAGCATACGGCGGAGCTTCATTTTCACTGAGCCCGAGAGAGCATTATGCTGCATAAGCAGGCTGTGGGTGCTTCTGGGGTCTGCAACACCTAGGGCGCTATTGTAGGCTTTGGCAGACTCAGAAAGCAACTACAAAGCAGGGTATTTTGTTTGATACATGCGTTCAGTTGCGAAAGACAGACCAGTAGGCATTGGTGGATAATGCTCGAAAAGGTGGCAGATTCTGCTCGAAAAGCAGTGAAATTGGCAGAACCATACAAACCTTATGGCGGGCAATTCCTCGAATTCTGCTCCATTTCTTTATCCACATACCAAACATGCATGACACTTACCCGAAAAAGTACGGAATTCTGCCAATTTTTCTGCCGGCATTATCCGCAAAGGCCTACAGAGCAGCGAATGATTGTGTTGAAGGTGAGATGGAGGATCATCCGATGATGAGATGGAGTAGAGGAGACTCAGGAGAGCTGTGGTCATGTGGACTCTGGAGGACAGTGACGAAGCGGAAGGAGGTGAGAGGAAGATCTCCGCCGTGACGAAGCACAATGCTGAAGTTGTCACTTGACAGTTCAGTACTGTATCAGGATTCGTGCTCTAGACATTATAGTGTTATTTTCCTATCTCATAATCTACATGTACATGTACATAATAAAATTATGTATCAGTGTTTTAAACAGATTACAGTACAATCATGCTCTAGAAGCAGTGAATGCATTCGTTCGCGACCAACAACCAAACATCGTGCATTCAGCAATAACCTTTAACCACAATCATGCACTCCCACTCTCCCCCCCCCCCCATTCTCACCCTTCTCACCCTCCCCAAGTAGATCTACATTGTATGTGGTCAGTTAGCTCTCAGCTGAACTTACATGTACATGTTATACAATAACGTACATTGTATATGAAACTATAATGATTATGTGGTTTCCCCTGTATATTTCTTTATCTGCCTTTTTCTACTTTGGATACAGTGAATTGTACATGTACATGTACTTGAAGTTCCAGGAACCTGCATACATTTAGTGCAAATTCTCAAACTTAAATTTGGAATGGCAATAAATAAGATAAATTGTGCACTCATAACAACAGCAAAAAATGAAGAAAGTTAAGTTCCATAACGTTATTTTGTGACTTTCATCAGTGGAACGGCGTCACATAAAAATGTAATAACTAAAACACACACTTATATACATGTACATGTAGCTAATATGGTTTCAGGTAGAAATACAGCAGCCAGCAAGTACAAAAAGCGAAGTTTGCACCTTTGCAATGTGTGAATATGGTGTATGTGAGAAAGGTAGTGGCAGGTAGATGAATGTGATACTGTGTGAATGAATGTAATGGTGCGTGTGTATTACTCGAAGAGTGTGAGTGATACAACGTTTTCTTTCTGTTTACATAGTGGATAGATATGCATACATGTACATTACTATGACATGCACATGTACTTGACTTGTTACAACAGCCACATCTCTACCAGTAGTTAGCTCACAGGCACATTCTATCTAACGCCATTCCGCATCCCCCGGCCCTCTTAATTTAAGCTTCTCGTCTCTGAATAGCGGTGTTTCCCGGCATACTTCCCGCTCCAATAACTAGCCCTACAAGTATAAGATACCTTGCGCTACACAGTTTTAGAGGTCATTCCTGTTGCCCCACCAGTTGCTCGGCGATGCTCGCCACTTAGGTCCACTCTTCCTCCTACGCGGTTTCTTGTCCTGCTTTCTAATTGCCCTCTCTGTAGGCCTTGACAGATTATGCTAATATTTTCGTGAAATTATGCTTTTCGCATTGCTGAATAAATTGCAGAATTATGCTATTTTTATGCTAAAAGTTATCATGCCACATTATGCTCACATACATGTATGCTGCTAATGTATATGATGGTTCTGTGCAAAATAACAGGGGAATGTTCTTGTAGAGGGCGTCTAACGGGGTCAACGCACCGTCCGACCTAGCTACGACCGTCACTGATTGTAGTGGACTGGACATGTTGTCAAGGGAGTCGTAAATCTATGACTTCCTGGTGCATCTACTTGTACTTGTAGAACATGATTGTACAACTGTATGGAATTTGATGCGAACAGGCGGATTATTCCAATTCATGTGATTCGTATGCAATTTGCCTCGAAATATGCGATTATTCGATTTTGGTAGGAATTACGCGAAAAATTATGCTAGCATAATCCGTCAAGGCCTACCTCTCTTCATACTTCTCTCTGCTCTACGCTCTCACCCTATAAAAGCTGCTGCATTCTTAGTTTCAGACAGATTAGTTTCCTACGGATAAGTTTCAGATAAGTTTCGGATAAGTTTCCTGCCGATAAGTTTCCTGCATCTTAGTTTCATGCCAGATTCTACTTACTACCTAAAAAGTTAAATCCTCTTGCTCTATCGACCGAGTAAAACCAGCAGTTAATTAACAATACGGAGGATTAGCAAGACGAAATTCGCGTTCGCGTTCGCTCTCCAAGGAAAGTCGAACTCAGTGACGGAATTCGCGTTATGATAAGGATTAGCAAACAGAATTCGCACATGCATGACGTTGACACGACGTACATTGTGCACAGACAGCACAGCGTGGCCCAGTAAATTAGGAATCCGCGATTCGTGTTCCGACTACTTTTCGGAACGAAGAATGCGAAAGTTCGCAATCCAGTTCGCGAACTGAAAAATGTTTGCAAACGCGAACGCGAATTCCCGTCTTGCTAATCCTCTGTAGTAGCACAGGCCTCCTCGTCGATTGTTTAAATTTGGAAATTGATATTATTGTGCACTTCGGTGTAGGCATCGTATTTGCATGTACACTGTACATGTCCACAACAATGGTAACATGTGTGTCGCCCTCGTGCTCTCAACCATCCGGTGCTGAGATTTGGAAAACGAAATGCACCAGGCGTATAGGCTATGGCATCTCAAGGTCATAATCCATAACTGCATTGTAAAAGACAAAGGAAAAGAAAAGACGAGAACGAACAGGAGGGTGAGGACGGAAGGAAGGAAAGGACCCAAAACAGAACAACAGCACTGCTATTAAGTAGGGCTGCACAAAGCAGCGGTGACCATGCACGGGATGATACAGGCTCCGCTGACCTACTTGTACATGTACATGTACTAGTATGTTCTCATGGTGAGTTAGTGGCGGCCGCAGTGTCTCGGCCACGTTGGCACGAATGGATACTGTAGTAAGCATCATTTGGCGAAACGTGATCTCTTTCCTGAACCTCTTGCCTCTCGCGGAACGCATGACCTGCACAAGCAGTGGAGTATGGACCATTGCCACTGGACTCGGATGGAAGAGTCAGAATAGTCTGATGAGCAACCCACGCCAGCGAACGTCTGAATGCCGTGCGGGGTGGGAACAGATACTGGGTGGCGTACCACTACCCACTGCCTGCCCATGGTGCCTTCTGCTGCCAACTAACTTCAGTTACTCCTGCGGCGACATGTTCTATTGAAATGGTAACCTGACTCGTCACTAGTCCTCCTGTCCTGTACCGGAGGAATAACAATTCGCTATAATTATAAATTCGCAAAGGGGTGAAATCGATGTGTGTAGTGTACATGTATGTGTATTAAAAGAGTAGAGAATAACCAGAATAGATGAGATAGAAACAGAAGAAAGGAGAGGGTAGGAAAAGGAGATGCGAGGACAGCTGGAATCAAATGTGAAGAAGAGAATCAAAGAGGAAATAATAAACATGAAACTTGATGGCAACAACAGACAGTTCTAACCAGGGAGTACTATATGTTACTACTCCCTGGTTATAACTGTGCTTGTCAGGCAAGTACATGTACTGGCACTCCCCGCCTTTCTCAATGATCACCATGCTCAGTATGTCGCCAGTATCGCCATGCTAGTGCGTGTGCGTATGTGTGTGTGTGTATGTGTGTGTGTGTGTGTGTGTGAGTGTGTATGTGTGTGTGAGAGTGTGTGTGTGTATGTGTGTGAGTGTGTATGTGGATGTGTGTGTGGATGTGTGTGTGTGCGCGCGCGCGCGTGTGTGTGTGTGTGTGTGTGAGTGGAAGCATTTTCCATCTACTGCATCCGCCATTTCACCTTCAACTCAATAATTGTCTTGTTTGCCTCTCGCATCTGAACGCACGTACATGTATCAAACAATATGATCCTCTGACGCTCTGTGATTGTCTTTGAGTCTGCCGAATCCCATGCAACGTCCTAGGCGATGCAGCCGCCATGCTAAGCCTTCCTTGCAAACATCAGTCATTTTGTGCTGATAAGAGAACAGTGCCCTCTGGTTTAATACCAATACATAATAATAATAATAAATGACACGTACATGTACATGTATAGGTCATATGGAAAAATCAAATGAGGGTAATGCAATAATGTATTCGCCGCGAAGTTGAACATTTGCATTTGCTGATCCAGAACAGCATCTGGACTGTGTCTACAAGTACAAACTCATATCCTACAGTCATTAGTGAGACAGAGAATACAGAGAACATGGGTACACTAGGCACATACAGCATAGTGTACACGTACACGTACATGTACATGTACATTGTGCACTCTCTCTCTCTCTCTCTCTCTCTCTCTCTCTCTCTCTCTCTCTCTCTCTCTCTCTCTCTCTCTCTCTCTCTCTCTCTCTCTCTCTCTCTCTCTCTCTCTCTCTCTCTCTCTCTCTCTCTCTCTCTCTCTCTCTCTCTCTCTCTCTCTCTCTCTCTCTCTCTCTCTCTCTCTCTCTCTCTCTCTCTCTCTCTCTCTCTCTCTCTCTCTCTCTCTCTCTCTCTCTCTCTCTCTCTCTCTCTCTCTCTGTCTCTCTCTCTCTCTCTCTCTCTCTCTCTCTCTCTCTCTCTCTCTCTCTCTCTCTCTCTCTCTCTTTTACAGGTACTACTATTTCCACAACCCAACAAATCATAGGGAAGGCGATACAGAGGACATTGAAGGGCTTTTAAGTATAGGAATGGTGACGGGGTAAGGAGTGCTCAGGCGACAGGTGTCTTGGTATCACAGCCCACCATACGCATTGATATAAAGAACAAAAAAAGACAGATATCCGACTGGATGATGAAACGTACTGAAACACATTTTTTAAATCGATTTGTCATCGCTTTCTCTATTCTAGACTACAGAAGATGGGGGACCGCACACTAGTACAGTACTAGTACATGTAGTCCCGACCTGTGAGTCTGGGATGTGGACTTGGACTTGGACTTTTAAAGTCTTTGGAGGATGTGCAGCCTGCAGGGCACCGTGTCACTGTCACTGTGTCAGCAGATGGCTACTTATACTGCCATTTTGCAAGGCATGCGTGCGGTTGAGTGTGTCAGTTTCGGGCTGGGATACATGTACATTACAAACTTGAAGAGCCACTTCAACGGGAGAATGAGGGACTTGTCCGAACGCTCGCCCAACTATGAACTAATGCTAATAGTAGTACTTTAAATACTTTTACTTTTAGAAGTGTTTCATTGAGTCGGATTCATTGACGACGCACGCACGGCAGCTTCGAAGCGTGCTCGAGCGCTCTGCATGCAGTGTGCCGAATCCGTGTTTGCACGCCACCTTGCGCGGCCTTCGAAGTCTACCCCTGCTCCTAGCGACCTGAATCATGTACAATGTCATGTAGATCTACCACCACAATCATTGAAATGAAAACACTCTATTGTCCTATTTATACCGTGTGGTGAAACAACCGGTCCGGACACGAGGCTAGCCTATAGCGCTAGCTAGCTAGCTGACAGCGCACTCATCCGTTTTCAAACGTCGCGTCCCTCGTGGGGAACGCGCAGCGCATCACATGCACAGCGTACATTGTACTACTATGTGTGTCGAACAGACTGATAATGCCGGAAAGAGTGCACACAGTGGGAGCAGGTGCGGCGGCGCACCCGCATCACGAGAAACATTGAATAGCAGATCTCCGGCGGCAACCACCCGACTTTCAGTAAAAAGAAGGAACGGACAAAGAAGGAGCATAAGGAAGAAAAATGGCCAAACTGATCTCCTTCTCGAATCGGTCAAAACAAGTTCGCGTAGCAGTTTGTGGCTTATCCGGCAACATCGACCGCTCTGTAGTGGGCGGCGTGGGGAAATCGTGGCTGTGCTCGCGTCTCGTGCACACTGCGCAGGATGTATTTGTCGAAGCCGTGCTGGGCGACTCTGGTGAAGATCTTCACTCGTCCACACTGAGCCACGAGGACTTTTTCACACGTGAGGTCGCCAACGATCACTTCTTGTACTACGGTCGACGGACGGTGGCAGTGCCGACAGATGGCGTGAAGGATGTGGAGGTCGAAGTTCACGTTGTCGAGCAAACGGAGCTACTGGACGGGGATCACGGTCAAGTTCCCTTCCAACCAAGCGGACCTCTGGCCAAGCCGTACAACCAGCGGGCAGTCAAGCGAAATCTGATACCTTGTTGTGCTCCGAAACATGTCTACATCAACCGGCAGCAGGTTTACCGCTGTGCCAGGAATATGAAGTTCGACTTCGCCGGCCGACCGCACCTGGAGAGAATTTTCCCCCAACCCTTCAAGGTTGACGTGTATTTGCTCGTGTACGACGGCTCGCTCAGCCAGCGCGCTGCGATCGGTACTGCCCAGAAGGCGCGGCTGGCCGAGCTGCTGCTGGAGGTGGAGAACAAGGGACGCACAGATCGCTGCATCGCCGTCATCACCAAGTGCGACGAACTCCCGCTCAGCGTCATCCAGTCAGCAACTCAGGACATACAGAGCACATGCGAGCGAGTGCGACTGAGCAAGCCCATACCAGCCATACCGGTTAGCGCCAGGGAAAACGTCAACATGGACTTTCTACAGCAAACGATCGTGCTTCGCGCCTGGGGCAAAATCGAAATGACCAGGATTCGGCCATATGATGAGGCAGTGCGCGTTCAGGAAGGCAGTTTGGGAAGCGACCTGAAAAAGCTGGAAGCAGCGCTCTTGGAGGATTACGACGGGGACCAGCTGCCAAGCTGGGCGAGCTTTCATCACAAGTATTGCAAAACGCCATGGCTGAAACACCTTGTGTCTTACCGTGGCGTAGAAGGCGTTCGGGCATCATTTGAGGAGAAGATTCGGCCATGGCGCAGTAATGCAGCAGGGTACGTCCAGACGTTATCTACCCCATGTTGAATATAGTGTTACTGTATCGGCCAGTGAATCACAGAGTTGTGGTCGGGTATAGTGCCATGATGTCGTGTGTATCAATTGTGTCGTGTGTATCAAATGTACCCACATGAGCATGCACATATGTACACAGCGGCATGGATGCGCACGCACACTCACTCGCATGCACACTCTCACGAACGCCCGCACGCATGCATGAACCCCCCCCCCCCGCACACACACACACGCACACATAACCACACACACACAAGCACACGCAACCACATGCAAGGGCACAGGCATGTGTGCAGACACACACACATACCCCCCCCCCCTCCCACACACACATAAACATTATCACACACAGAAACATGCACCGGCACGCGCGGACACATGCAAGCCTCCACGTCCACTCACACGCGCGTCGCGCACACACACACACACACACACAAACACACACACACACACACACACACGCGTACACACAGACGTGCCTCCCCCACCGCACGCACGTTAGATTAAAGTTTGCCGGCGGTGATACCGCATCATTTTGGCCGCTACTGTAAGTTATGTATACTGGGCTATATGTAGAAAGTGCGTGTAACAGGTTTAATCAAACTTGAAAAGTAAGAGGCCTGGTTGAGCGTGCCTCGACCAGTTATATGCAAAATGTGATAGTATACATGTGGCAATGGCGCCAATGAAGGTGCTAATAGACAGGCGTAAGACGCATGAGGTGCGAGGGAGTGTAAAGTTATAGAGAACAGGGGAAAACTGTTACATCATCCCCCTCCTATGGAGAGGAAGGAGCTTATAACCCAAATGCTCAAGTGGAATAGAGTACAATAAGCGCAAACACGTGCGAGACGAAAAAAGGCTTCGCACTGAAGTAACACAATAAGACGACTGAAACTCCATGCAAATAAAGTGTAATAAGCTCAACAAATGTGTAAGGTGAAACTAGAAGTTCAACTGCAAAACTCAGCGGGCAGAAGCCAAGGTTTTGTACTTCTGAAGTGGAACAATGTCATTACCAGATTCATCCAACAAATAATGTTCAGGCTCCCAAGTGGCATCAGAGTAGCCTTGCCACTTGACTAGGTACTGAAGCTGATTCTGCCGGCGGCGGTGACTGAGAATGTTCTCCACCACATAGCGGGCATGACCATCAAGGTCCGTGATAGGCGGAGGCGTAGGCTGTCTCCTATTAGGAATAGCGTTCTTCTCGTAGGCACGGAGTGCCGACACATTAAATACCGGGTGACAGCGGCTGGTATGAGGCAACTTGAGCTTGTAGGCATTCGGGCCGACCACATGGGTTATAGGAAAGGGGCCAAACCACTTGGGGCGTAATTTATGGGATGGTCGGTCCCGAGCTTCAGGAGTCAGGAGGAAATCCCGGTAGACCATTACCAAATCTCCCACCTTCAGCTTTCCCTCGACCCTTGTCCGATCTGCATAGAAGGCCTGACGAGCTTGAGCTGCCACTAGCGCATCTTGTGAGATCTTGACCGCGTCTTGTCTTGCTTGCAACCAATCAGCTGAATCTCTGCCTCCCTGAATAGGGTTGAGGAAGTCGGGTGGCGCTCTGGGATTTAGACCGTAATTTAAGAAGAACGGTGTGTTTCCTGTAGATGATTGAGTAGCGCTGTTGATAGAAAACTCACAGAGAGGTAGGAGCATATCCCAGTTATCTTGTTTATGATTTACAAAAGCCCTCAGCACATCCTCTACTATTCTGTTTACTCGTTCAGTTAGGCCATCTGTCTGAGGGTGATTGGCAGTACTAAATGCTAGTTTCGTTCCTAAGCGATCAAACAATTCCTGAAAAAATGCTGCCGTAAATCTTGGATCACGATCACATACAATACTAGAACTCAAACCATGAAGTCGAAATACATGTTGAATATACAGATCAGCACTTCCTTTAGCGTCAATAGTAGAGGAAGTAGGTGCTAAATGTACACACTTTGTCAAGCGGTCTACAAATACATATATAGCATCATGACCTGTATCGGTCCTAGGCAAACCCATGATAAAATCCATCGAGATATCCGCCCACGGCTGACGGGGCACTGGTAAATTCTGCAAGAGACCAGTTTTTAGCTGGCCGCCTTTAACTCGTTGGCAGACGTCACATGACTTGACAAACGCCTTCACATCCAGTCCCATTCTGGGCCAATAGAAATATCTAGAGAGTCTGAAATAGGTGCGATCTCGACCGGGATGCCCCGCAGTCACACAGTCATGGTATTCTTGAAGCAGGGCGAGTCGGAGTTTGCTACTCTTTGGAATGCATAACCTGTTCTGTGGTGAAGATCTGAGATAAAGATAACCGGGTGTTTCATTTAGAAGGTAACGGTCGTGCAGATTGTCATGGCTTGAATTTTTCAGTCTCCTGATAATGGGAGCAAGATCCTTGTCGCACTTGTAACCGCTGACAATTAACTGCGCTAAGTCTGGATTAATCTCTAGGGTATGCTCTATGGCATTCAACTGAATGTTAGGAGGATAGGATGACCCGCCTATTTCAGAATCACTGAACAGATCTGGACGGCGTGAAAGCGGGTCGGCAATGTTTTTCTTTCCTGGTTTGTGAAAGACCGTAAAGTCATAGTCAGCTAAAAACTCTACCCATCTTGCCTCACGCTTGGTGAGAGTCGGTTTGGTTCGTAAATAGACAACACCCATATTATCAGTCATCAGGTCAAAGTGGCGGAATAGATAGATTCTCCAGCACTTTAATGCAAATACCACAGCCAACGTTTCCCTCTCGGCCGCAGTATAGTTGCGTTCTGCAGCTGACAGTTTCCGACTACAATAGGCTACGGGATGCAAATCCATATCTTCTCCCTGCTGCAGGAGCACACCCGCCACGGCAAAGTCACTTGCGTCAGTTTCTACCATGAAGCTTTTTTCAACATCGGCCAGTTGCAACACTGGCGCCTCGAGTAATGCTGATTTTAGAGACTCGAATGCCTTCTGTCTAGCAGCGCTCCATTCAAAGCGTGAATTTTTTCCGGTGATTTCTTCTAATGGACGAGAGATGGTCGAGTGTCGATCTATGAACCTTCGGAAATAGTTTGCAAAGCCAAGAAACTTCCTCACATCAGTTACTGACGACGGAGTTGGCCATGTTTCCACAGCACTTATCTTCTTGGGATCAGGGGAAATTGATGTGCCGTTGATTTTATGCCCCAAGAAGAGAACTTCTCTCACGCCGAATTCGCATTTAGACTGTTTGCAATACAGCTCACTATTTCTAAGTGTTTCTAGAACTGTTTGAAGATGATGCTGATGATCTTCCCAGGTCTTGCTGAAAACTAGAATGTCATCCAAGAATACTACAACGAATTTTCGGAGATGCGGTTGCAGAATAGAGTTCATGAGTGACTGAAAGGTGGCCGGGGCATTAGTCAGCCCGAATCCCATGACTCTAAATTGGAAGTGGCCGAACGGCGTATTAATGGCCGTCTTAGAAACATCCGAGTCTTGAATTCTGATTTGATTGTAGCCTGACCGCAAGTCCAACTTGGAGAAATATGCACTGCCCTGGATCGTGTCGAATAAGTCATCAATATTAGGAAGACAAGCTTTGTTTTTGATCGTAATTCTATTCAATTCTCGCCAATCGCACACCATTCTCAGAGTACCATCCGACTTTTTCACAAAAAACACAGGTGCACCGTATGGCGACTTACTTGGCTCAATGAATCCCTTCTCAAGTAATTCTGATAGCTGTGACTGGAGCTCGTCCATCTCTGGTTTCGGCAGGCGGTAGGCGGGTCGAGACGGTGGTCTGGCTCCATCTTCTATCTGGATTTCATGGTCGACTGGTCTCTTCGGTGGAAGCTCATTCGGCAGCTCGTCTGGAAATAAATCCTGGTACCTCTTGAGCAGGTTCTGGATGTCTTGTTGCTCTGATTCCTGGAGTTGTGGCCCGGAACGATTCTCCTCGTTTGCAGCAGTGACCCATGCAAGAAACCCCTCGGCTCCACTCCTCAGGGCATGACGAGCTTGTCGGCCACTGATAAACATGCTTTCCACAGATGGCCGGTCGGCTGTCGGCGGGTTAGCTGAAGGCAATTTGGCAACAAAGGGCTCACCGTCCAACTGAACTTCGTTCGTACGGAAGTTGATGCTGGGGTTGTTCCTTGTAAGCCACGGCTTGCCAAGAATAGCGTCGTAGCGAGTCAGGGGATACACAGTAAAGTGCTGTTCCTCACTGAAGCCCCCGACTGTCACCCTTAGCGTGCGTGTGGAAATCTGCGGGACCTCGCTGGTCGAGCCGTCCGCCAATGTTACGCTCAGCACTGCTGAGCTTGCATCCGTGTCAAGATGATGCTTTCGAACAAAACTGTCTGCAATGAAGTCATGCGTCGAACCGGAATCTATCAGCATCACTGCACGGCGACCGCCGATCTTTCCCTGTATGCGCAGTAGGTCGTGTTCAGGTTCATTGCCGACGCTGACGTTGCTGACATGACACCTTTCTGCAACGGGACAATTTCCTACAGCTATGGGTGTCTCCGGCTCCGTAGGTTCCTGGAGAGCAACGTCTTCAACCTCCAGAGCTCCGAACCGGTTAGCGACTGGTACCGGCGTGGGCGCTTGGGTCGTCGCCAGTAAGCGCACCCCCTTTCTTACTGGCGACCAGCGTTTGGGTAGCGCTGTCCACCCTCAGTACAGTCTTTAGCGAGGTGGCCTGGCTTCCTGCAAGCAAAGCAGTGTCCCATTGCTCGCAGTTGGACACGCTCTTGGTCCGTCAGCTTGCGGAGGCCCTGACCACGGAAGCTGGGCACGGAACGCGACTCTCTACTGGCTGGTGGCCCCGACGCCGGTGGCCCTGACGACTGCTCCACGGTGTTTGCTGCCATGACAGCTTGCTCCAGGGTACGTGGATGCTCACGCATGACCTGTCGCTGGATGTGCGGCACTAGACCCCTGACGAACAGCAGCGCTCTGGTGTGGTGGTCGATTTCCGGCACTTGCAGGCTGAGGCGAGTGAAAGCAGCAATGTATGCGTCCAGCGACCCGCGCTGCGCTGCGGAAATTAGTCCCATACGCGATGTTTCCTCGTTGTGCCGTGGTCCGTACACATCGCCAAGTGCCGCTTTCAGAGCAGGCCAGTCGGAAAACACTTGGTTAGCTTCCAATGCCGCTATCAACCAAAGACGAGCGTTTCCAGTCAAAAATCCTGCCGCGTAGTCGACCCTCTGTGCCGCATTTGGGAGTGCCAACGACCGTAGGGCCATGTCCATTGCAAACGTCCATTCTTTGAATGTAGCGGAATCTCCTCCAAACACAGGCGGCTCTTTCGTAAGGCGGGGTATTGGCTCCCACGGTTCCGAGTTCGGATGTATCGTTCGGTTTCCTTGGCTAACGCGCTGAGCGGTCTTGATATCGTTTATCAGCCGAACGACGAGTACGAGGAGCGTAAGCAGAGCGACCAGAACACCTGCCAAAAGCAGAGTAGTAACCATCCTCTGCTACCAGTGTAACAGGTTTAATCAAACTTGAAAAGTAAGAGGCCTGGTTGAGCGTGCCTCGACCAGTTATATGCAAAATGTGATAGTATACATGTGGCAATGGCGCCAATGAAGGTGCTAATAGACAGGCGTAAGACGCATGAGGTGCGAGGGAGTGTAAAGTTATAGAGAACAGGGGAAAACTGTTACAGCGACTCACTCAAAACCCCACATGAGTGTGATCAGACATTTTTGTGGCTGGAAGAAGTCTCTCTCCTCCCCTCCCCGCCCTTTCCGGTCTGAGCAGCTGGTAGGTCTTTGGATGTGGTGTGCCGGGATCCCACATGTATGGGCTAGCTCTGTTTCTACCTTACAGACATCTTGAGAACAGTGTCTTCTGCAGTAGCATTAACCCTTTATGGACAATTGCATGACTTTCGATCATATAATCATGATCGAAACTTCAAGCGGGGATCTCAGAGGGCGATCTTCATTGTTTTTCGATTTTTTCCGATAGATCCACAGCTATTAGATGCATGTGGATCGAATGAGCATAATTAAAACCACTGTGTCGCAATTGAGTTGGACCGTCGCAAGAAGAAGTTCTTACTCTGAGTTTGAATGCGACTAGGTATGTCTAAAGTGTACTAGCCATAAGTGGCCCAGGAGCATCGGAAGATATATCAGGGTGGTACAGCCAGCCACCTGAAGCACAGTTTACTCGTGGAGTTGGGCTGGCTCCTCGGAAATTTTCGAAATTTAGAGCCCGGATCAGTGGTGTTAATTGATTCACCGGGTACCCGGCACTAAGAGTGGTACGGTCAATAGCGTAGTGACCGTAGCGTGTCCGACGCCCCTGATAACACCCTTGTGCATTCAATGTCAGTTTTGTGATAGGCTGGATAATTCTGCACAGGATATAGATATGGCACATTGACATTTTTAAAGATCATTCTCGACAATAACAGTCTAGATTTCAATGCTGTTCGGAGCGGCTTCAATCTAGATGGAGTTTATCATAGCTGACTCTTACCTTGCTGTCTGAAATCTAGCACAAAATCTTATTTGCGGCAGAGTAGGCATTACCAAATTGAGCAGCCTGCAGGATTTACAATGGCTCTATTACTGCGCTCTCTCTCTTTCTCTCTCTCTCTCTCTCTCTCTCTCTCTCTCTCTCTCTCTCTCTTCTCTCTTTCTCTTTCTCTCTCTCTATTTCTCTATTTCTCTCTCTCTCTCTCTCTCTCTCTCTCTCTCTCTCTCTCTCTCTCTCTCTCTATTTCTCTCTTTCTCTTTCTCTCTCTCTATTTCTCTATTTCTCTCTCTCTCTCTCTCCTCTCTCTCTCTCTATCTCTCTCTCTCTCTCTCTCTCTCTCTCTCTCTCTCTCTCTCTCTCTCTCTCTCTCTCTCTCTCTCTCTCTCTCTCTCTCTCTCTCTCTCTCTCTCTCTCTCTCTCTCTCTCTCTGTCTCTCTGTCTCTCTGCCTCTCTCTCTCTCTCTCTCTCTCTCTCTCTCTCTCTCTCTCTCTCTCTCTCTCTCTCTCTCCCTCTCTCTCTCTCTCTCCGTGTTCCCTTTACAGGTCGGTGCAGACCATTCCTGCAATCACCATGGCTAATGACAAGGATTGGACACTGGTGCCACAGAACTGTTTCCCGTTCTCGTGCACCGAAGCCCGCGAAGCTGCTGACAGCGCTTCCGAGCCACTGGCCCAGCGCCGATTTCATCGCAGTCCCAATCGCAGACCACCCCGTTCACGCTTGAACAGCGCAGATGGGCCGAAAACCAAGCCCAACAATCAGTTGGCGATGACACCTGGGTCTCCACCACAAATCAGCAGCCCAGAGGCCGACGGAGAGACCTGTCTAACGACTGCATCTGCTCCCATCCTACCAGTTACACGCTCAACACAGAAGCCGTCTCCTGTTCCGATTCCTGCGCAGCGCGGTCGTCCAATCAAGGCCAAGCCTCGGTTGTCAGTGACCAACCCGCCTTCAAACCCACAAGCAACTCTCAAGGACACAGCCGGCATTCCAGAGGCAGATGTTGCCGGAACAGATGTATTCTATGAAGATATCGAGCCTACAAGCCCGCCACACGCGGTTCTACGTGCACCTGAAATACCCAAGCGAACATCATCCGCAGATGCCACACAGTCAGACCAACTACCACAGGAAAGCGCAAGGAAAGCTCCGCCGCCAAAACCGCCAAGACGAAATCGCCAGGCGGCTGCCAGCGAGTCTGCCACGAGAAGCCTGCCAAATGACGGCGTATCGAACGTGGTTACAGTGCAGGAGCACTCACGTCACTCCTCCTTGCCGCTGTCAAATCGCACCGACGGTCGGCTTTACTCCCGTCCCGGTCTGTCTCAGTCGCAGAACAATGGCTGGTTCAGGATGGCTGTGGACGAGACGGATCATCCCAACCGAGCACCTATTGCCGTGCAGAATGGCCCTAATGAAACGTCGGCGGATAAAAATTTGTCGAACCCGATCTACATGGAAGGCGCAGGCGGAGGAGCAAGAGAGATCAGCCGGAATACGAGAACACGGGAATACTTTGCACGGATGAAGATCGCCGGGGTGACGGAGAGCTACGACGCCGTGGCCACCGTCGACCTGCCCGACATCCCCACCGTTCAGTCGGACGGCACACCGCTGCTCCTGCCTCGCCCTGCCGTTGCCAACGAAATGCCGTACTCGTGCACGCTAGTGAGGTCAGCGGCGGCAGCAGCAACCGAGACTGCGACAGCGCCCATCAAGCCGGGCAACAGCCGCACGTTGACTTCAGCACAGCAGAACCCGGTGATGCCATCCGTGCTAGAAGACCCGCAGTACTGTGATTCCGGGGGCAATGCACGCGATAAGAATGCAAGAACACAGCCTCGTGCACAGACGAAACTGCTCGCTCCTCACCACCACGACCCGCAGTTTCTGCTCTCGGACATACAGCTCAACAAGCTGCACGTCATGCGCGGGCTTTCCTCGCAGATCTCGCACAAAAGCTACCTCTCGGAGATGTCGACGTTGTCCATCGACGTCCAAACGAAGGCCAACCGCTCCTTGTCGGACCTTCTCTGTGAGATGAACACGTCAACGGACACCGCTGGATATGTCAAAACGGCGGGTTTTGTAGCCGCAGCTCCGGACAGTGGCTCTGCATCCGATTCAGACACCGATTCTCTTGACTATATTTCCCCGTGATTTCATGCTTCTAGAAGTGTGCTTGTTATTTGTCCTCACCAGAATAACAGGCAGTGGAATGCCTTCGCACTAGACTACGCGCAGTCCTCACAAGTGATGATTAATATTCCTGCATCAGTTCGACATAATGATGCTGGTTTGTACTTCGAAGGAATGCGACTCGGATTTCTTGACTTCTCAACTTTGATGCTGTAAGCTGAACTTGCCTATAGACTAGAAAGCGGTTGAGAGCCAATTTTCAGTGACTTCAAACAGTTGTTTTCAAACTCTTGAGATGCCAAGAGAACTGCCAAAGTATACATTACCCTAGTTGAAAATATGCAATTCATCTTTGCCTTTTGACATGCTCGCCACTGCCTTGAGAGGTTTCTGCCAGTATATTTTACAAGCCCAGATCCTAACTTTCTATGATACATTGAAGTGCAACTTTCGGAACAGACTTATCGCTTATGCTTGTGTTTCAATAATGTTATGTGTGCGTGTGTGTGTGTGTGTGCGCGCGCGCGTGTACGTGTGTATATGTGCGTGTGTGTTCATGTGTTCATGTGTGTTTGTGTGCGAAGGTTTTTTTGTGTGCGAAGGTGTTCAATATATGTGTGTGTGTGTGTGTGTGTGTGTGTGTGTGTGTGTGTGTGTGTGTGTGTGTGTGTGTGTGTGTGTGTGTGTGTGTGTGTGTGCACTAGCGCGCGTGTGCCAGATAGTTCGGTTGGTGGATACATTTATGCCGTGTCGGGTCTGTTGCCAACGGGCTCGCCTGCTTGAAGGTGTATTGTTGTCCTTGCCGCCTTTGTTGGTTTCAGGGTTCATAATTATACTTTCTCTTTGAAGAATGCAAGCCTGTTTATCATGTACTACTTCTAGCAAGATTCTGCAACAGTGCTGTCCGGCCATGGGCACCAACTGCATTCATGGACGGTACAGTGCCGACTGCTCTTCTCTTTATTTTAATTTTTTTCCAGATTTAACCGAGCACTTTATTATTATTAGTTACAAGGAAACAAATCACAGCAAGGAAACCCGGCCCTATTGATTGATTTTTATTTCACGGATCCTCCAGAGGCAAATAGATGCCTATCGAAGGGAGTCTCCTAAGTAAGTATGGAAAATGAGAAAGTATGTTCGTAAGGGAGAAGAGGTAGAAGATACATTAGTACAAAAGAAGTAAATTCAGTACTTCGGGTAGTACATTGCATGCTAATCATAGTGAGAATTAGAAAAGCAGCATTGTGGACTACTATAACTGACATATACACAAACTATTGAAACTATCATAGATGTGGTTAGCCTAGACACAAAAGTCAGGAATACCTTTCAAAGAAAACATAGATTGCGAATGATACCGACGAACAGCAATACTAAATTTCGCTGTTGTAGAGAGTGAACGAATATCTTCAAGAAGTTTATTCCAGGCAACACTCAAATCTATGAGGGCTTGAATGTGCAACGTCACAGCATAGCATCAAAATAAAACTGGATCCACTTACTTAAATGTACTTGGATCCAGTTTTTGTATGGATTCAAGCGCATGATCATGGATGCGGCTAACCGTTAGGCGCTGCATCTGCCGCTACAGTCTAACGGGTGTTAGCGGCCGTCGTGAGTTCCCTTCGCGGCTTCGTGAACGGACACGATAATTATTTACTCTTTTTTTTTTAAACACAATTATTTCAAGCGGTACGGTCTTACTTACTAGGAGTAGGACGTGATATGAAACTGACTGACTTGGCTACTGGGGGCGGGGTGACAACTGGTGGTGAAGTAAAAGTCACACCTGCATACGACATGAGTGGGTTGCTATGCACCCACATACTAAGGCAATAGCAAAGTCACACCTAAGTCCTTAGTGGATCCAAAATAGAAATCTGATGTCAACTTACTACTCCCTGGCCGTTTTTGACGTCATCACTTTCAAGCCCTACATCGCCAAGACGCCAACTCAGTGTTGAACTAATGATTATATTATGTTGCTTGAACTCACGCAGCATGACTGTGTAGATCTACTGGACGATGACGGCATCGCGGCTCGCGCTCGGCGGCAAACCCCTTTTTCATTTCAAGGCGTTTGTCATTATTTTGCCGCCACAGTTGTAATATCTTCGATCGTATTTGCGTCCGGACGTCCAGCGATCGGTGAAGAGTTCCGCAGTGGTTACAACGAGTTACGTACATGCAGGGAGTAGTACTACTCCCTGCCAGTGGTTACATAGGTCTCTTTGCCGCCGAACATGGGCAGCATGGAGCAGTGTTTCAGACTACGAGACATGTAGTGTAGAACTACGAAGCGCCAGGATTGGTTTGCCGCCGGTAGCCGTCGTCAATGTCGCAAATAGTTCGGCGCGGAGAGCGTCGCCTCCGAAATGAGGCGGATCAATTGCGGAAGGACCCACCGCTGGGATGCACTGCAGGGCCAATCGCTCGGGACTTGTATTGCTGGAATGCCAGGATAATGGGACCTGATGGTAGCCCGTATGAAGGTGGAATGTTCCTTCTCAGGCTCACATTTCCAGACGAATACCCATTCAAACCACCCACGGGCAGGTTCATAACTAGAATCTTCCTTCCGATTCTCACTGAAGGAGGGACGATATGCGATTACTGTCCGAACACCCAGCTTTCTACTGAAAGGTGGCGACCAGCGTGCAAGATCAAAGAAATTCTAGAATCAATTCGATCTGTCATGAGTAATCCATATGATTGCGATTCGCACCCACTTGTATCTAGCCTGCACCAGACTGACCGCCCTCTGTTCGTGAAGACAGCCCAGGAATGGACGCGTATGTACGCCATGGGTAAGGATGCTTACCTTTACGAGCACGATACAACTGACACTGAACTTACTTCTGAAACCAGTACATGTAATGATGTTCTGTCGTGGCAGGGGCGTAGGAAGCTGTTTAAAGGGGAAGTTAAGGCAAAAATTAAAATTTCACCAGCTGTAGTCTTCGGGGTGCTGAGTCGAATGGTCTTGGTCCGAGAAAGCTGAGACGCTCCCTTCCTACTTGAATCCCAATCGAACTCGCGCACTTCCACCGAAACTGGGTGACTGCGCCCTACTAGATGGGGATTTGTATGCAAAATGTCACTAAAAGCGCCATTTCGCTCTTATAAAAGCACGGATGACCGCGATTGGCCCATATGTTGTAGTCTTTTGGACGCTGAGTCGACTGGCTTTGGTCCGAAAAGGCTGCGATGCAGCGTTCCTCCTTTATTCCCAATCGAACATGGTTGAACAAGCGGTCACGTGCTCCTGGGTGCCCAAATCACCTGGTCACCATGCCAGCAGGCGACAACTTTCACACCAAGGTTCAACTCGAGTGACAGGACTGCACCCAAAAAAGGTCAAACAGGCTAGTAAGTTGTACCCTGCAGGCACGGTGACCAGGTGACTGGCGTACGCAGGAGCACGTGACCGCTTGTTCAACCATGTTCGATTGGGAATAAAGGAGGAACGCTGCATCGCAGCCTTTTCGGACCAAAACCAGTCGACTCAGCGTCCAAAAGACTACAACATATGGTCCAATCGCGGTCATCCGTGCTTTTATAAGAACGAAATGGCGCTTTTAGTGACATTTTGCATACAAATCCCCATCTCGTAGGGCGCAGTCACCCAGTTTCGGTGGAAGTGCGCGAGTTCGATTGGGATTCAAGTAGGAAGGGAGCGTCTCAGCTTCCTCGGACCACGACCATTCGACTCAGCACCCCGAAACCTACAACTGGTGAAATTTTAATTTTTGCCTTAACTTCCCCTTTAATATTGGTGCAGCGAAGTTGTGAGGGGGGGGGGGGTCCGGGGGTCCTCCCTGGGGATTTTTTTTGAAAATTGGGCCTAAAAGGCCATATTTTAATGCTACAGAATAATATGAGAAATAAGAATATGCATGCTGATGATACACCGCATTGTCGATGTAAAACATGGTACCTGTACAAGAGTCGACAAGCCATCAACAAGTTTGAAATGTATAAAAAATAAATAAATAAAATAAATTCGAAAATTATTGGTCCGGCGACCGCCGGGCATGCCGGACCGGTTCCTACGCCCATGCATGGACATGGACCTCTGCTGGGATGACCAGGGCTGGCGGCCTTACAGCTTTTAGCGCGTGCATGCACTGTACACACTGAACAGTCGTGGACATGGAAATGCAGTCGAATGACCTTGGTCGGCGCCCTCAGTACGTGCAGAACGCTGCATGCAGTGCTTGACTTCCGACCAGATTCCCATGTCCACGAGAGTAGTTCACGTACACACTGTAAACAACTGACCAGCAGTGCTTGCGGTTGCAAGGCCAGCGCCACCATGACTGCTTGACTTCCGGGTGGTTTTCAATGGGCGCGTTCGATTACACACATTTCGGTCAATTCTAGAATTAGATATGGGTGATGCACAGTTCGATTACACAGATTCCGTCGTTAGAATTGATCTTATCCAATTCCGTCAATTCTGAAGAGAGGGCGGAATTTCTTCGATTCTGGCGCCAGAATTGCACACTCGGTGTGTTTCCGGTCTGGTCATGCAGGACTCAAGTCAAGGAAGAGCCTCCCTGGCCGACGAGGCGCGAAAGCACGGCTACAACTACGCGTAGTTGTTACTTTTGTCTTCCCGAAAAAGTTATTTAGTTTCCGCTGGGAGCTGATTATTACAAGTAATATTACTAGATCATTTTGGGTGGTCCTTTCCCACACTTGTTCAGCTTTATCGAAGCCCGACATTGTTGCCGACGTGGAGCCTTCATCGGGACGGACCGGTTCGCGAAGCTGGGTAGACGGGCGCACGAGGGTGTACGTGATCTCTTTTTACGAACAATTTTGTTCGTGACATGACATGAATAAAATGGGTTGTGAATTCCAGTCGTTCGTTTACATGGCCGCAATCTGTGCATGCTGGTCAATCGAGAATTACATAACCCAGATCCAGAATTGTGTAGACGTGTAATAGAAAACGCCCAATGTCCCCTTCAATAGGAACCAGTTGCTCAGCTGGTCCACAAGCTGGGGGGGATTGCTCAAATTCCCCCCTTGTGGAAATAGGGACAAGAAAATGTCTTCTTCCTATATAAGCAGGGGAATTCATCAGAAATTGGATTTCATTGACTTCGTTCGAAGAGTTTTCAGACTAATGGGTATGCAAGACTAAAAAGGACTTCCCTAGCCTTTCAGTACGTTTCAACCAGAAACACGGCACTGCTTGGAATCAGGACTAAGAGATTCTCCGAACGTCTGTGTATTCTTTCATGTAGATTCTTGGTTGGAGGAAAGCGAATCTGCACACGAAGCACAGAAGCTAGAACTTTTTCGACTAGGCCTTTCGTACTATTAAGTTTCAGGTCGAGTACAATGGTGATTAACATGGCTAATTATGGCTTATGTGCTTGGTGTGCTGATTCTTTCATATCCATGATAGATGGGTGAGTGAAATGTTCCTTCGGTGGGATATGTGTGCTCTGTTTCACTGTGCAGGCGCGGACATTGACCCAGCTCATAAGCTCGGTGTTCCCATTATACGTGTCCTGCTGCTTGGAGAAGCGGACGTTGGAAAGACGTCGCTGGCGTGCTCGCTGGCCCAGAAACGGATGCCGCAACGCCAGACGAGCACCAGTACTCTGGGAGTAGATATGAGCACGATCGTGATTCACGGAGATGACGGCGATGCCAGACAAGTCACCTCCGCTGATGCTGAGAGCGAGCAAGCTCTCATGCGTCAACTAGCTTCCTTGATCGAACAGGGCAGCGTACATGATGAGCGTTCCACATTCTCGAATAGCGAGTCCACGTCTTCAGAGACTCCATCTGCCAGGCATTCGCGAGCACTAGCAAGCCGAGGGCCTAAACGGACCTTCATGGACAAGGTCATGCAAAGATTGAGCCTATCTGCATCGAAGAACTCTCCATCAGCAAAAAGTCCCAGTGAGCCAAGTACGCTCCCACCGGACGTACTGAAGAGCATCACGGAGAAAGTCACATCAACGAAATACGTGACCGAAATGAGCGAACTCATCGCCAGGGAGCAGTTGACAGTGATGCGGGTTTGGGATAACGCGGGCCAAGATTGCTATCGTGTTCTGCATCACATCACGTTCGGCGCTTATCGTACCTCATACGTCATCGTCTACAATGCCCAGTGCCCAGTGACAGAAGTGGCTGAGCCGAGCAATGTGAGTGTTTTGTTGGCTCTTAACGAGACAATGGAATCTCTGTTGCAAATCAGACAGCCCACAAATGTCGTCTCAAGCACTCGAGGATTGTAATCGTCCCTGTTATGCCCAAGAAAGAAAGATAGAGGGAGAGAGAGAGAGAGAGAGAGAGAGAGAGAGGGGGGGGGGGAGAGAGAGAGAGAGAGAGAGAGAGAGAGAGAGAGAGAGAAAAGGAGAGACGGGCGAAGAGGGATGGGGGAAGAGGGAGGAAGGTTGCACTTGCCTCCTGACCGTGATGATCGATGATCTATTCCATAGACTTGTGAAAGATACTGTCTTGCTTCAGGAGTTACTTGGTGTGCTGGGAATCGCACAGCTGTAGCACGAGTGACTCTGGGCTTCACAACGCGCCTAGGAGCTGAAATACTCGCTCGTTTGACCTTCAGTGAGTGCGCCGTTGGTTTTTGTTTTTAATCATTGTGGTGATACTGTACGCTTCCTGTCGTGTGCAGGTTCGTATGCAGGGCGAATGTCGTCCCTGTAGTTCAGCACTGCCCGGCCAGCCGGGGTTGACGTACATCCATGATGCGTTGGAGACGATCCACCAGAATGTGCCGGACGACTCTGATGTCCGTGTATTCATCGCTGGCTGTCACATCGACGAGCGACAGCGATCCGATGTAGATCTGTTGCTTGCGGAGCTGGATTCGGAGCGCGACGAGATAATTCGAAGTGTCGCGTGCGAGCCCTTCAGTTATCTGCTCAGGAAAGAAGATATCTTCTTTATTGACAACACCAGATCCGGTCTTGGTGGTGCCGAAGACGAGCAGCTGGTTGCGTTGCGGCGACAACTTTGCATGGAGAGTGAGCAAAACCAAGCAATACCAACTGCTCGTCTCCTGGAAACACTGTCCTTCATGGAAGTGTCGAGTCACCCAGAGCTGCGTACACCGTGGATTACGCGTGACGAGGCAGAAGAGCTGGTGCGCCGTATCAACTCAGCACACGCGCATCAAGTGGACACGTCCGCGGCACTGTCCTTCCAGCACTCCATCGGAACGGCTCTGCACTACCCTGAGTCTAGCGCGCTGCGCGACAAACTCATTGTCAACGTGCCAAACGTCATGAAGCTAGCGGCTGCACTCATTCAACCTTGCTTGACCAGAGCAGATCTGGTAGGCGCCATGTCTTTGGCCGACATCCATCAACTCAAGCAGGGCTTCGTTTCCGATCATGTGGCCACGTGTTTGTGGAAGAAGTTTTGCCCACACCTCTACCCAGCAATGGCGGAGCGCGAGAATCGTGTGTTCTTCTACGACCTGATGAACAGCTTCCACATACTGTGCCATGTAGGCGAAATGCGCACAGAAAACAACGACGATAGTGTTGTCGGGGATGCCGTCGTCAAGGAGATGTTCTGGATGCCGGCAGCGGCAGAGCGCGCCGAGTTACCCATCACCCACGGCGCAGTCTCCCCGGAGATCATCCTGTCGTCCGATAACGGCGCCCATCTGCCGCACTCCACCTTCCTGAGGATCGGCAACGAGTGCCTGTCCCGCTACAACGCTCGGCACCGCCGCGACGACGGCAAGACAGACGACACGCTGTGGATGAATACATCGCTCGCCAAGTGCAGCATGCGCCTGCCGGTCAACGGGCACGAGTGGCTGATCCTGCGCTACATGAAGTGCGGCATCAGCATTCGCGTCGAGGCCAACAGCAACCGCTACAAGTTCCGTGACGGTGATGGCGTGCCTATCCTCTCCCAGATCCACGGCTGGGTGAAAGACGTCCTCGCATTGGCTCACAAGAAGATAAGATTGAAGGTAAGGATTTGTAATCAACTCATATTGTGGCAACCATGGCCAACACTCAGATGCACATCTACCTAACAAAGTACCTCCGAGTGTTGGCGAGTGCTGCCACAGTACAAGTTGATTATACTGAAACAGTGTGATGCGTCATTCCGAACTTGTAATTATTTGTAATCAACTGAAAGAAGAGTTTACCGTTTTCTCCATGTTGTTGGACCATGCCTGGGCATTTTGTTTACACATTTAGTGACGTACGCAGCGAAGAGACAGTCTTGAATTCAGGGCCCCTGGTGTGTAAATGGCTGCAATGCAGTCTGCGGGTATCTAGAAAGAAGAGTTGGTTGAATAGGCGCCCGTTACTGTTCATGCTCTCTTTCTCATTGCATCTCTGGGATTATTTTTGTCTCTCCTTGCTCTTTTTCACCTTGCGCGTCATTTATTCTCTCTCTCTCTCTCTCTCTCTCTCTCTCTCTCTCTCTCTCTCTCTCTCTCTCTCTCTCTCTCTCTCTCTCTCTCTCTCTCTCTCTCTCTCTCTCTCTCTCTCTCTCTCTCTCTCTCTTCATTCCCTATCCTCTTTACAGTTGACATATCCTTTGCCCTTTCATAATCGCCGATTTTCTCTCTCCTGTTGTAGTCCGATATCTGTTGAGTTCAAGCAACACATGTAGCTGTGTTTCTCATTTGACTTTGATTCGTCTTTAAAACGGATGCACAGTAAAATCTGTATCTGGTGCGCCCTATACCAAGCGGAATCCTGTATAGTATTGACCGGATTAATTTTCATACGCCAAAGTGCTCTGGATTGAATGAGCAGATCAGGACAATTTCCGCTGCACCAAATGCGTCCCGTTAGGGCAGGTTTACTGTATATAAAATGTGTGTGTGTTTGTGTGCTCGTGTGTGTGTGTGTGTGCATGCGTGCGTGTGTGTGTGCTCGTGTGTGTGTGTGTGTGTATGTGTGTGTGTGTGTGTTCATGTGTGTGTGTGTGTGTGTGTGTGTGTGTGTGTGTGTGTGTGTGTGTGTGTGTGTGTGTGTGTGTGTGCGTGCACGTATGTGTTCACCCTTTAGGAATATATCAGATGTGAGTGTGGCGTCATGAACGCACACGCGCTATGTACACTTCACGGCCGCGAAGCTTGCACTTCATCTTCAGTAGCACCGGCTATTGCAACATCTGCTGCCACTAGTGGTACGCGTGGAGGATGTTTTCACACCGTCAGTTTGCTGCACCTTGGCGACGTTCCGATGTGTCCAATAGCGTTCAGCGAGCATCGAACAGCGCCTCAACGCGTGTCACAAGAAGCTCTTCGCTACTGGAAATCATGGGTGCAGGTAGGATGTGCTTTTGATGATGTGATTTTATAATATTTTTAGTTTTCATAAAATGTGTGTACATGTGCCTACTGTATGAAAGTCAGCATGTACATGTACATGTAGTGTATATGCTTTCTGGAGACATTTTGAGTTGTGTGTGCACTTGAAGAAAGGATCATCTCTGATGATAGCTAACCCTTGAAACTCACAGTTACAGTAAAAATGTATTGTTGTCTTCTTTTCATGTGTTTAAGGCTCTGCTCCCTCGAGCTGCGGCGACTCTCAATGATTGCGCTTTGTGTCTGTATGTGTGTGTATGTATGTGTTCACTCGCACGCGCGCACACGCGTGTGTGTGTGTGTGTGTTTGTGTGTGTGTGTGTGTGGTGTATGCATGTGTTGAGGTGTGTGCTTGTGTTCTTTTGTGTGTGTGTGTGTGTGTGTGTGTGTGTGTGTGTGTTTGTGTGAATTTGTGACCGGTGTGCTTGTGTTTTCATGGGCTGCATTGTGCGAATGTGTATGTTCGCCAGTGCATAGAGTCGAATTGCTTGCGTCCAACCGTTTTATCAAAAAGTATTCTTTCTAGACCAAAGAGTGGTATATTTGATAACATTTAATAACGATAGAAATTTTTACGATACTTCTCCAGACGTTTCGTTGTTCTGAACAACATCGTCAGTGGATAAAGACTTTATCCACTGACGATGTTGTTCAGAACAACGAAACGTCTGGAGAAGTATCGTAAAAATTTCTATCGTTATTAAATGTTATCAAATATACCACTCTTTGGTCTAGAAAGAATACTTTTTGATATTACAATGAGAGTGAATAATCAACGGCTTGTCCACCAACTCTTCAACCGTTTTACATAGGCTGAGGCCGTGAAGGCACTTATAAGAAAGGGTTTGAGCCTGCGGTCACTCCTTTCAAGTCTTTGGATAACACATTCCCACCCAGTATGTGGTTGTGTGTGTATGTAGTCGTGAGTAAAGGTTTACCTTTGTGCCTGTTTTCTCTCGTTGCACATAAACACACCCGTGTATACGTACGTCTGTGTGCACTCTCGTCTGCAGGACCCTGACACTTACGTCATCATGGACTTGGGCAGCGTCGCAGCAGCGCCATCAGCAGCCGCCAGGGGACCTCCTGCTGCCGCTGATCCATATGCCTCTGCTCGAGCTGGATTGCCAGCGCCCGCAGCATCTGCTGCTGCTGCATTCCCGGAACTTGCAGAATGTGCCGCACCAGTGGAAGCACCTGATGATCTGCTCGATTGGAAATACAGGTGCGTGAGTTGGGGTTGACCAGCACTTGAAATGCTTGTTCTCAACAAGATCTAATGTTTTTTTTAAACCAAAATGAAGAGATGGATCTTGATCAACACGAGCGTCCACTGAATCACTGCAGTTCGCAAATTCCTTTCAGGAAAATACGACACTGTTAAACGGCTAATTTTAGTGCCGGTGATCTTTTAGCGGTTTTAGCAAAAGGAGTGTTTTCGCGAATTTTTTTGTCTCGCAAATTGAAATTTTGCATGTACAGTACTAGTCATCTTTTTTTTTGAAACTCGGATCGCTAAAATATTTCATAGCAAATTGGTCCTGATTCTGAAAACTCTATATTTTACCCAATAAAATTAGCCGTTCTATAGTCAAACGTTTCGGTTATTATGATGGTTATTTCTTGACCGCAAAGTTGAAATAACATACTCGCGCGATAAGAGCGCTCTCTTGAATAGTGCCCTATCTCGAACAGTACCCCAGTCTCTAAGAGCCAATGAAAAGATAAAGCCCTCTCTTGAATAGTGCCCCCCCCCCTCCCTGCTTGTAACCAAGCACATGTGCAACTCAGTTTGGTGTTCTTTTGCTAATATTCTTGTCCATGTCATTGCACTGGTGGTTCGAGAATGAAAATCGCAGTTCTTGCTGCCGTTTCTGTCGAGTCGTGATAGTTTACAGCAAACTTTAGGCTCTGTTTTGCCCTGTTTTATGCTGGATGACGCAAATGTAACAGCATTGAAAAATAGTGCCCCAGTGCCACGAATCGCCCGAGCACGGTAATAATTATTTCCTGAAATGAATAACGTGAACTGCATTGATTGGGTGTTGGCCACTTCCACTTTATATTGCATCTATATCAATTTTGTCTTTCTCGCTTGTATGATACAGAGATAAAACCATGCGGCAAGTTGATCGCTTCGACTTGGCCCAAGGTCTCAAGAAAGAGCTGGATGACGACCAGCGCGGTAGGTTGCATGACTTGCGCCACTGTTGCCCAAAGGAAAGCGGAGAAAACCGAGGGTTCTTTGATGAGAGTTTGGTAACTTTTTGGTGGCAGTGTTTCTGAGGGCTCTACGGCACTTAAAATGTACACAGTGCTACTGTGAAAACACAACACAGGCATGATTGTTTTATAGTTGCCACAGACCGCTTTGTGAGCCCGGCATCTTACTGTGAGTGAGTGGCAAGTTTCCAACATGAGTGATTTACCCCCAGCATTAGTAATATAGTGAAAACTGTCTAAGGTGACCGCTGAAGGGACCTTCAAAACGTGGTCTCTGTTACCAGGTGGTCTCCTTATCCAGGGTCATTTGACTGGAAATAGCACAGCCGTGGTCCTGGTTCCTGTGGTCTTCTAGGACAGGTGGTCGCCTTGTCCGAGTGGTCACCTTGTCAGGTTTTACTGTACATGTAAGCCTCCTCCGAACCCCCCCCCCCCCCCCGAACCCCCCCCCCCCCAAGTGCATTATTACGGGCACAACATGTTGTTCCATGTTTTCATGCGTGTCTGTGCAATCCGACTACTGCAATCCCAATCCCGACTGACACAAGTGGAACGACCCCCCACCCCACCCCGAAGCTGGTCGAGGGATTTCCGGTATAGCGTCACAAAAAGTGTGTCATACGCCCCGGAAACATTTGTTACCAGTATGTAAATAAATATAAAGACTTTATATTTATTTAGTGTCTGCTAGTGTTTGAATTGAGTTTGTGCACTTACTGGTGCAGTTTCTGATATGCTGTTTCTGGCTTTGTTTTCTGGAATGTCATTTCACAGTGTTATTCGCTCATCGGGCGGTCAAGCTCAATGACATCGAGTACGTTGGCCAGTTTGAAGTCATCCTCGTCAACCTCATCAGGGAGCATGACTTCGGAGAGCCGTCACTCACCAATGTGCGTGGCGTACTCGAGTACCTGGCGCGAGCTGATCGTGAATGGACCTGCGGTGAGCTACTGGACATGCTGTGGGACGTCGGGCACAGGCAGCGAAACCGACTCAAGAAGATCTTCAGGTAACACCTGTCGAAAGCACCTGTTTGCGATATCATGATAACGCGGCTCTGGTTACGTAGAGTATGCAAGTCCATTCTACGGCAGTATGGGGCCTGCAACAGCTGTTCTTCACATCAAATCACACACTATATCCAACGCCTGTGTAGGAAATACACAAATTTGTACACAAGCCTGCTTTGGCTACAAGCTTCGGGTGGCCTTTGCACAAGAGAGTAGTAAAATACCTATCATTTTTCTACAGTCAGACCTCACTTAACCGCACACGTGCGTTTTCCACAAATATATCCGGATAGGCTAGGGAACTCGATAATTGAACGCACATACTGTATGTATGCATGACACAATGCTGTAAGTCGATAGTCAACGGTTTTCTTCCGGATGTCGAAGAATCCGGATAAAAGACAACCGGATAAGCGAGGTTTGACTATACAGTAAAACCTGTGTTTGCCGGACCCTGTTAGGCTGTTAGGGACTGGCGGATTCTGCTCGAAAAGGTGACGGATTCTGCTCGAAAAGGTGGCGGATTCTGCTCGAAAAGGTGGCGGATTCTGCTCGAAAAGGTGGCGGATTCTGCTCGAAAAGGTGGCAGATTCTGCTCGAAAAGGTGGCGGATTCTGCTCGAAAAGGTGGCGGATTCTGCTCGAAAAGGTGGCGGATTCTGCTCGAAAAGGTGGCGGATTCTGCTCGAAAAGGTGGCAGATTCTGCTCGAAAAGGTGGCGGATTCTGCTCGAAAAGGTGGCGGATTCTGCTCGAAAAGGTGGCGGATTCTGCTCGAAAAGGTGGCAGATTCTGCTCGAAAAGGTGGCGGATTCTGCTCGAAAAGGTGGCGGATTCTGCTTGAAAAGGTGGCGGATTCTGCTCGAAAAGGTGGCGGATTCTGCTCGAAAAGGTGGCGGATTCTGCTCGAAAAGGTGGCGGATTCTGCTCGAAAAGGTGGCAGATTCTGCTCGAAAAGGTGGCGGATTCTGCTCGAAAAGGTGGCGGATTCTGCTCGAAAAGGTGGCAGATTCTGCTCGAAAAGGTGGCGGATTCTGCTCGAAAAGGTGGCGGATTCTGCTCGAAAAGGTGGCAGGTTCTGCTCGAAAAGGTGGCAGATTCTGCTCGAAAAGGTGGCAGATTCTGCTCGAAAAGCAGTAAAATTGGCAGAACCATACAAACCTTATGGCGGGCAATTCCTCGAATTCTGCTCCATTTCTTTATCCACAAACCAAACATGCATGAAACTTACAAGAAAAAGTACCGAATTCTGCGAATTTTTCTGTCGGCAGAATCCGCTTGACCCTAGACCCCGTACCAAGCGCAATCCTGTATTGACCTGACAAATTGTCGCGCACCAAAGTGCTGTGGATCGAACATGCGTCCCTGGATCCAGCGGAATCCTGTCATCGCAGGCCTGTTTCCGCTGCACCAGCCGCGCGTCCGGTCAGGACAGGGTTTACACCACCTATTTGTACTACTCCTCCTCACTTTGCATTGTTCACCAGCATAACCTTTGGTAGCATGTGTCACATGATGTGATGGTGGTGGTTGGGTGTGGGTGTGTGTGTGTGGGGGGGGGGGGTATATATTATGTAATTATCTTTTTCGTAACTGGTGATACTGATAGCCAGGTGCTAAAACAATAATTTAAAAAATAGCCGTGGTTGGCTATAAAAACCCTGCAATCGCCACGCAAAGTGGTCATTGGCTACCCCAGCCATGTATTGCTTGGAATAATAATAAAAAAATATAAAAAAAATAAAATAAAAAACGACGCTTGTTTGGATTTGTAGTGTGTTCACTTTACTCGTCATCTTCTTCGCTGAACCCACAAGCAAACGCCAATATTCTGGTGGAGAGCCTGTGTTCCATGCTTGTCTCACTCAATACCTACCGCTTGTGTGTATGTATGTGTGTGTGTGTGTGTGTGTGTGTGTGTTTGTGTGTGTGTGTATGTGTGTGTTTGTGTGTGTTGTTGTTGCTATTTGCAGCCGAGTCCACTTCCTCTCTGATTAGAGCTTGGTGAAGTGGCTTGTTGCGCACTTGTTGCGTGGGGGATCCCCATCTTCAGCGCTGGTCATGACCTTGTCTACACTGTATAAATGTAGCATACTGTTATATCACATACCCTCTTCTGTCCCTCCCCTGTTCCGTCTTGTTCCACGTTTTCAACTTGTCGCCCAATGTAGAGAATCTCCATTTATCGGTGTATCTTTGAACCGCCATTTGTCTTGAATATGTATGTGTTCATGCGTACATGTCTACAACACACAGAGTTTTGACATACATGTACTGTATTACATAACCCATTGAGCCGCCAACTTGACCCTATACTGGCGAAGACTTCTTTTCATATACTGAGTTGCAATAGATTTTCATAGATCTTTTTGCAAGATTTGCAATTTTTTTCATTTTTCATAGACAGAGTTTCGGTCGTGTTTGGACGGATCTTTGCAGAAACTTTCGTTACTCGAACCAGGATGGTCAAAATCTTACAAATTCCCGTTGTGCGCAACCTCTCTACTATACTACTAAACTAAAACAAACTGTTTATGGACTCTTGGGAACAGGGATTAGATCAGCCATGACATCACAATTTCAGTCACGGCATGCTCGCGCATGCCATTCCAGATGCTTATTGTATCCAGCAAGCCTTTGGCGTATAATGCTGGCAAAAAAATGGGAGAATATCGTACTTTTTCTGGTATTATAATGTCGATACAGAAGATTATCACTCCCTTAGTATTGACTCACATAGATTTTTGCCATACCTAAGCAGTCAAATATTCCTGCATATTTCACTCCTTAGGGCTGTATTGACTGCTTATATTTGACTGCTTAGGGGTCGCGCAGTTGAACGGACCGGTACGCGGTGCCTAGTGCAGCATTGTCACTGCATGAGTAGGTGGTGGTGCAACGGTTGTGCAATCATAAAACCGGGATTCACGAGGTTATCGTTTTGGAATTTGAAATACGGACTGTTTGTCGTGATAAATCTAATATTGACTTCGTACTTGGTCAGTATAGGAAATAAAAACCTCGTAAAAGACCTCGGCTTCGCCTCGGTCTTTTACTCGGCTTTTATTTCCTATATTGACCTCGTACTCAGTCAATATTAGATACATACCGTAAAGTCGCGGATAAAAGCCAGGCTTATAAGCACATAAGCCGCTTTCTGCATTAGGCTTTAACTGCAAACCAGGCTTGTATGCAAACCATGCTTACAAACCATGCTCATATGCACCACTGATATTTTTGCCAGGTTTGTATGCACATCTGCCGATCTGGGCTGGCATAGAAGCCAGGCTTTTACGCGGGACACGCATAGATCTACCACTGACTACCCGTATGGCGGCAGTTTTACGATGCACTGTACATAGCGCATGCACTCTTGACCTACCCGATACGCGCTTGCATAGAAGCCAGGCTTCTACGCGCGACAAGCTATGCATTTGACCCGTTTGATTTTCAGGCTTCTATCCGCGATGTGCTTGTATGCAAACCCGGCTTTTATCCGCGACTTTACGGTAGTAGAATTCGAGGAATAGCTAGCAATAAAGTTGTTATGGTTCTGCTGATTTCAATACTTTTCGTGCAGAATCTGCCAAATTTACGAGCATTATCCGCTAGAGGTGAAACGGTTCGGGTAAGGAACCGCTTTTGGAACCGCCAGCTGAAAAGAATCGGGTACCCGCTCCGTCAAATTTCGAATCGAAACTCGAAAGATCATCCGTCAAGCGCTATGGTGAGTATGGTCACTGCCACACGCTGAGAGAATACTGTAATCTCACAAATTTTCGGTGTACTTTTATTTTCGGTACTTTCGGTGCGTCTGTTTGACACCTAAAATTTCAATACAACGAACAAACACTAACACACATAATCCAATAGGGAACTGCTTCTCTGTACCGAAAATTTCTGTTCACCTAACCTAGCCTGTTGCCCTCATACCGAAAATATTGAGCACCGAAAATTTCTGAAATTAGAGTAGTCTGTATATTGAAGTACAAATTTTCGTTCACGAAATCTTTCGTTAGGTCACTCCACCAGCATGGCAGGTTCGTTACAATACTAAATTTCGTTTTTGGTCGAGGTCTGTGTAAAGATGCGCATACAGATGGGTGGCCAGGTAGCCATCGTTAAACTTTCTGCACGTAATCATGCCAAAATTACAAAAAACGTTAAACTTTTTGGTCGTTTTAAAAACGTTCCGGTTTTACAGTACATGTACCATAATTATTCAATGCCACAGTAGAGCTGCCCAGCTTTCTGACAGTAAAACCTGTGTTGCTCAGGTCACTATCATCATCATCATCATCATGAGAAAAGCCTCTTTTACGGGCAAAGCAAATGTATATCATTACAATATGTAAAGTGAACAGGGGAAATCAACACAAAACCAACCGGAAAATGATGAAACACAAAAGCAGTCAAGGAAGTAAATCAATACAAAAACAAGCAATGAACACAGAGTAATAAAAGGGGAAAAACCAAATAGCATTATATTAAGTTGAGGCCAAAGGCAGCACCCTACTCCGCCTGGCGGCACTGGGCCAGAAATGAGTTCGGCTGTCGCCTCTTGCCGTACGAACCGCGGCAACCGCGGAAGCAGGTGACTGCCCATCGCAGCAAGCAGAAAGACAAACGGGTGCGTAGTATGCCCATTACTAGTGGGTACTTCAGTTCAGTATGGCGCTCAACAAACAGGGAGGCCAATGATTTTCATCATGAGAAAAGCCTCTTTTACGGGCAAAGCAAATGTATATCATTACAATATGTAAAGTGAACAGGGGAAATCAACACAAAACCAACCGGAAAATGATGAAACACAAAAGCAGTCAAGGAAGTAAATCAATACAAAAACAAGCAATGAACACAGAGTAATAAAAGGGGAAAAACCAAATAGCATTATATTAAGTTGAGGCCAAAGGCAGCACCCTACTCCGCCTGGCGGCACTGGGCCAGAAATGAGTTCGGCTGTCGCCTCTTGCCGTACGAACCGCGGCAACCGCGGAAGCAGGTGACTGCCCATCGCAGCAAGCAGAAAGACAAACGGGTGCGTAGTATGCCCATTACTAGTGGGTACTTCAGTTCAGTATGGCGCTCAACAAACAGGGAGGCCAATGATTTCAGGAATTGAGTAGTTTCTGGGCCACTAAAGCCGTACGTCGAGAACACAAGTGGCGTGAAGGAGCCGCGCTCCACGTTAACCACACGGCTGGCGTATTGATTTTTCTTGTTTCGCTCGTGAGACTTCAGCTGACTCAGGGCTTGTGATCGAGACAACACAGACGCTGCGGGATGAGTGATCCGCACATCAAAGTAAGCGTCCTGTTGCCACGACCAAAAGCCGCGAGCCCGCACATCCAGACGAGCTTCTGCGCATCGGTTGAGGGAACGACCACCAGGCAAATGCTCACTGCTGCAGGGCAATAGCCGGGGCTCCGTCTCTACGTCCACCACTCCAGCCTCCCTCAGTAGTCCAGCAACCAAGTCCCGCACCTCATTGTGACGGGCAATGGTATAGCCGCCAGTGGCACAGGTAAGTGCATGAGCGGGGCTGAGAGGCACACCACAAACACATGAATCGGGATTTTCATCATCATCATCATCATCATCATCATCATCATGAGAAAAGCCTCTTTTACGGGCAAAGCAAATGTATATCATTACAATATGTAAAGTGAACAGGGGAAATCAACACAAAACCAACCGGAAAATGATGAAACACAAAAGCAGTCAAGGAAGTAAATCAATACAAAAACAAGCAATGAACACAGAGTAATAAAAGGGGAAAAAACCAAAATAGCATTATATTAAGTTGAGGCCAAAGGCAGCACCCTACTCCGCCTGGCGGCACTGGGCCAGAAATGAGTTCGGCTGTCGCCTCTTGCCGTACGAACCGCGGCAACCGCGGAAGCAGGTGACTGCCCATCGCAGCAAGCAGAAAGACAAACGGGTGCGTAGTATGCCCATTACTAGTGGGTACTTCAGTTCAGTATGGCGCTCAACAAACAGGGAGGCCAATGATTTCAGGAATTGAGTAGTTTCTATCATCATCATCATCATCATCATCATCATCATCATTTGCCCAGATGCTCCTTCCTACGGGTCCAGAACCCTTCCTGCATTGTACCAGCAGCACGAGCGGCGTAAGTGGAACGAATATGGGCCAAGAGTCACAAATGTAGAAAGAGCCGCTTTCACACCTCTCGTGTTCTCTGTGCATGGTGGTTGTGGGAGGCTGTGCAATGTGTTCCTCAAGAGACTGTGCCAGATGCAGGCCGAGTCATCGGGATCTCACTATTCCCAGGTCATTGGTTTACTCCGCTGTCGGCTGTCTTTTGCTTTGCTGCGTGCTGCTGTGTTGTGCATACGTGGGGCTCGGTCACGGTACCACCATCCGGCGAGATGTTTTCATGATGTCTCGATTGCCGTGGCCGAGTCAGGTCTAGTTTGTTAAGTATCGTGCTGTGTCCTGACTGTGCATGCGGGATTGGTATGGCGCTTACCCTTTTGTTGCTGTTTTGTTGCTTTCATGCCTTTAAGCATGTAATTGTGTTCAATTGTTGTAGTTCATGGAAAAACGATCTTTGCGTTGGATTCATTTAAACTATTATTTGTGTAGGGTTCCACTCCTTCATCTTGGGAAATTGTGTTTTGTTTGCCCAAGGAAGTGGCTTCAATCATCAAAAAAAAAAAAATCATCATCATCATCATCATCATCATCATCATGCCGTGGCCGAGTCAGGTCTAGTTTGTTAAGTATCGTGCTGTGTCCTGACTGTGCATGCGGGATTGGTATGGCGCTTACCCTTTTGTTGCTGTTTTGTTGCTTTCATGCCTTTAAGCATGTAATTGTGTTCAATTGTTGTATTTCATGGAAAAACGATCTTTGCGTTGGATTCATTTAAACTATTATTTGTGTAGGGTTCCACTCCTTCATCTTGGGAAATTGTGTTTTGTTTGCCCAAAGAAGTGGCTTCATCATGAGAAAAAAAAAAAAAAATCATCATCATCATCATCATCATCGGATGTAAGGGTATTTTGCCCAGATGCTCCTTCCTACGGGTCCAGAACCCTTCCTGCATTGTACCAGCAGCACGAGCGGCGTAAGTGGAACGAATATGGGCCAAGAGTCACAAATGTAGAAAGAGCCGCTTTCACACCTCTCGTGTTCTCTGTGCATGGTGGTTGTGGGAGGCTGTGCAATGTGTTCCTCAAGAGACTGTGCCAGATGCAGGCCGAGTCATCGGGATCTCACTATTCCCAGGTCATTGGTTTACTCCGCTGTCGGCTGTCTTTTGCTTTGCTGCGTGCTGCTGTGTTGTGCATACGTGGGGCTCGGTCACGGTACCACCATCCGGCGAGATGTTTTCATGATGTCTCGATTGCCGTGGCCGAGTCAGGTCTAGTTTGTTAAGTATCGTGCTGTGTCCTGACTGTGCATGCGGGATTGGTATGGCGCTTACCCTTTTGTTGCTGTTTTGTTGCTTTCATGCCTTTAAGCATGTAATTGTGTTCAATTGTTGTATTTCATGGAAAAACGATCTTTGCGTTGGATTCATTTAAACTATTATTTGTGTAGGGTTCCACTCCTTCATCTTGGGAAATTGTGTTTTGTTTGCCCAAAGAAGTGGCTTCATATCATCAAAAAAAAAAATCATCATCATCATCATCATCATCATGTGACCAAGCCGCTTTTACGGGCAACAATATTATGAATATAAAACGCAAGGTATTGTAAGAGCAATTTTCTGAAAATAATGTTAAAACACGAAATATAAAAATGCATTATCACACCGTAGCCACTTTTATGGGCAAATTCCAATACAAGGCAATAAGAAAACGAGGATGAAGTTAACCTTTTAACCCAAAATCATCATCATCATCATCATCATCATCATCATCTGCGTTGCCGAAACAATAATAAAAGTAAAATTTAAAAAATAATAATAAACGGCATTATGCAGCTGTGTAACCAGTAGATGCACAGTGCGACTGCCAGGCATTCAGGTCACTATGCCAGAGCCAAATAAGAGATGCGCCAAAATGCTGCGGATCCCTGGATCAAGCGGAATCCTGTCATATCAGGTCAGCTTCCGCTGCACCAAGGGTGTCCGGTTAAGACAGGTTTTACTGTGCTCTACTATTAAAACAGATCTACTTTAATTAATAGTTCTCTGGCAAATGGAACAATTGTCGTTAATCACATAATGGAGAGATGTTGGAACTGACTCCAATTCGTCACTGGAGTTCTTGAGCCTTGCGTTGCTCAGGACATCCTAGCTTGATCTGTCTGTATCGTTGGACTATTTTTGAAACGGTTTCGATCTGTCGCTTTATCGTCCTACGCAAAGTAACAATGTACAGTCTTGGCCAAATAAATCTGATCCACCTGCCGAGACGTGTTCCGAAAGTGCAGGATGCCATTGAAAAATGGAAACGCGGCGCTACTTTTGACTCGTTGGCCACAACTGCACATGTATCCCAGAGTCAGCACTCGTATTATCTTTACATCAGACCGGACCTTGCTGTCATTCCACAGGCTGGCTGGGCTGGCAGGATGTGTTGTAAACACTCAATTACTTTCTCGGTTTTGTCGCACAGGCGAATTATTTGTCCAGCTTGCCAATATGTGGAGGTTGAAGGGCATGCGATAATCCTTATCATCACGTGATGTGATTTCACATACCGGTATTTGTCGTGTTCTTGCTCTCTACATGTACATGAATTCAAGTATTTGCACTAGAGAACACAAGTAGTGCATTGTTGAACCACTGTACGTCTGCCCGGGCTACATCTCCTGAACGAAGTTAGTGTAGTTTTCTGAATCTCAATCCACTCAGTGTCGCATTCGTGCCGCTGTGTCACTGTGTGCCCACGGCCACAACACTACAGGTCAGTAGTCTGCACTGCAGTGGTACTGATACTCTCCAGTGACTTGCCGTCTGACTCAGAGTAGGACTGTTTCCTGCACAGTTCATCACGTGATAGTGTCGTGTGGCAAGTCATAATTATGCCGAACCAATACAGTAAAATCCTGTTGTTTATTAGTTGAAATAGTTCTGACTGGTGTCTGCTATTAAACTCGGAACCAAGCTTCATGCCGGTACAGTAGATCTAAAGTAACACTGGGCAGCACTCCGCGACTCTGCCATTTCACGCGCAAACTGTGAACTGCACGCAAAATTTCCCACAAAACTGCTGGTTAAATTCACAGATATAAACTGTGGACATGCAGTGTGACTGAGTTGTTGTTGCCTAATAACAATGGTCCCACTGGTGAAGGGAGTAAAGAAGAACAGTCCCGGTAGGCTCCGGTGGATAATGCCGGCAGAAAAATTGGCAGAATTCGGTACTTTTTCTGGTACGTTTCATGCATGTTTGGTATGTGGATAAAAAAATGGAGCAGAATTCGAGGAATTGCCCGCCATAAGGTTTGTATGATTCTGCCGATTTCACTGCTTTTCGAGAAGAATCTGCCACCTTTTCGGGCATAATCCGCCGGTGCCTAAGAACAGGGAAGGACATAGTGTTGGCCAGTGTTTCCATCCAGAATGTAAACAATTTTGTTCCAGTCTGAGAGCCACATGAAATCATTGACAATCATGTTGGGCAGGAGACTGGACCACGGAACTCCTTTTTCGGAAAGTTGGCAAGTACGTGGACAAGCTTCCGCGAAGTCCGCGCACCGGGGTGCATTGATCTAATGCTTGATACCTGTCTATCTCCTGTCGCACTGGCTGGATTGAGTGCTTGGAACTGTGCAGCTGTGCTGCATTGGCGGATTATGTGATAGCCGAGCATACCGGCCGCCGCACTCTCTTTCTCTTTACTCAAGTGGTCTACAATGACAGCAAGAATGATCCAGGCACCTCGCACAGCCGTGCCAGTGCAGGTTGAAGGTTAGGAAGATGAGAGTCGAACTGCAGTTGTCATTTTTGTTTGGCTGCGCCGACCACTGAGCGAGCCTTGGAATCTTCTTCTTTGTGCCAACCTGCATGATGAGTGCATCCTACGATGTGTCGACTGCCATAGGCTACGGACTGGGCATATTCACCGATTCATGTCATGCTCAAAAAATCCGCCTGCATACTCGTTAGCCAGTCAGTAGGTACATGTCCGGCATACAGGTACAGCAACGTGAGAGATGCAGCGACAAAATTAACAGTCCAAGTCACAACTGGACGGGCTGTTGAGCATCGGTGCTAGGAAGAGATCCCCTGCCGCGACCACTTCTGGTACAATAGCACAACTGTCAAATGGACAACGATATTTGACCCGTCTTCCTAGAGGCGGCGTGCCAGTGCGAGGTGGCTTGTTCTGGATCGTCCGAGCCGCTCTGGGTGAGCGCTCAAACACATTACGCCACAGTACATTTTAGCGAACGGTATGATCTGATCATTGCATCATTCTCACTCGGAGCACCGTGTTTGCTTTGGGGAATAGCCAGAGCCAGAACATAAAATCTAACATAGATGAGAGCAGGACCTGTGGAAGCCAGTTTACTTCACAATACGACTTTGCGGCTGAGTTTCTAGCCTTCAGTCACACAGGCTGTGTAAGAATCTGGAAATCTCCTCCTTGGCTGCGATTCTCTGCTCATACATTCACTATGAGGCAGAACAGGAGTATAACCCAGATATGGTCGAGGCAAGCGCAGGTCCTATGCCATGTTGTGTCCTGGTTTGCGTGCGTTCGCTATGCAGCAGGAGCAAGGTGAGGAACAGTAAGGTGTCTGAAGGAAACAATGGTGACGTGTGGGTGAGGCTTTGGGCGCTGGGTGTAGCAGGACATTGCAATTGCGGAAATGAGTTGACATCTGGAACACCGTATTTTTGGCGGTGTTATGGGCGTTACGATTCCAGTGGGCTCGGCAAAACTAAGGAAAGTGGGGTCGAGTTCGAAATGGTGTCGAGTTGAAGTGCGATGGCCTTTCATTGGGCATAATTATAACTGGATGGTGTGAAACTCGGTTTGTCATAAAAAATTGCATAGGAGTGTACTTATGCTAGTCCTTAGGGGTGATCTACTTGCGATGATGTACAGTAGATCGTGGAAATTGACACTCACTTGCAAACCCTGCCAACACTATCCACGGTGGCAGGGAGGTCTATCTGAAATGTTCAATCTGCGTACAGTCAGTGCTGTGTGGCTCATGGTGCGCTCATACTTAGCGTGAATGTCACTGGTGCTTGAAACTTTCCTGTTCATAAAGTTGTTGTTTGTTGCACTTAAAATTGACTTTGAGTAAAGTCGCGTCATACACGGATGGGTCGGGCCACACGCTTGTAACCATTTGAAACAAAGTGGAATTCGTGAATCCGACAGCATCCGAAATACTACTGCACGTACAGATGGGTGGGACAAAACGTTTACGAACAAGGAATCAATCAAATTATATGGAGGCTGGTCGTTATTCGCTCTAGTATGGCTGCTATTACAGTGTATCTAACCCACATAACCATGAGAAAGAGAGAGAGAGAGAGAGAGAGAGAGAGAGACAAAGAGACAAAGAGAGAGAGAGAGAGAGAGAGAGAGAGAGAGAGAGAGAGAGAGAGAAAGAGAGAGAGAGAGAGAGAGAGAGAGAGAGAGAGAGAGAGAGAGAGAGAGAGAGAGAGAGACAGAGACAGAGGGGGAGAGAGAGGGGGGGAGTTAGAGGGAGAGAGAGAGAGAGAGAGAGAGAGAGAGAGAGAGAGGGGAGTTAGAGGGGGGGGGGGGGAGATAGGCTGAGAGAGGTAGAGAGAAAGAAAGAGAGAGAGAGAGAGGAATCCGATTGGATAATGTCACAGAGTTTCACCCCGAGACCCCTTTCTCTCTTTCGTACACGTATATGAAAAAGCTCTGCGCTCTGAGTATTGAGCAGTTGTCCGGCTGTTTGCCAAACCTGTTTTACAGTCGAAATGCATGTACATGTATACGATGCCATGGATCCTGCAAGGGCAAGCTGGGAGCCAGGGGGTCTCGACAGTGGACCTCGCGGACATCATTGAGGAGCGAGTTCCAAACACATGTAGTGATGTACCGTAAAAACGATAGTACAAATACGTCATGTACGTGTGCTTGTGCAAAGTCTTGTAATGAGAGCATCGAACTTCGGAAGCGTTCCTACATCGCAGTAGTGTATTATCACATCGCGAGAAGAGTACTCCGTGTGATGCCGAGATTGACTCACTCAGTGCTTCTCGACATAGATGAGAAGCTACGCTGCGCGAGGTTTTCATGCAAGTATCTACAGTGCGCTTTGCAGGAGTACACGTACTTCAATAATGTAGGTTAAAAAATAAAAGTGGAGAAATGATGGTGAACACATTCGCGACCGTTTCTAGAGTACTGTCTTTACATTGTAATTCATATTCAACAACCAGCAGCAATGCCTTTTTTTGGGCATGCTGTACTATACATGCATATACGTGGATGAAAAAAACTTTATAATTATGCCTTTGATTACTGCAGTTATGGCGGTTGGGTCTGCACCAACACGATTCTGAATGTGATCGTAAGCCAGGGATCGTTCACGACTCAGCAATACGCTCCATTCGTATCACCGGCCGACAGCGTCACTGAATGCTCGCAGCACATCGAATCCTACGAACACAGTATCCAGTGCACGTACGAGTTTCACGCACCAGCCGGCCACCACATCTACGTGGAGTTTCCCACCTTAGCACTGGATAGCAATTGTGCGTCGGACTACGTGGAGCTGCATCTGCACGGGAATGATGTACGACGGATATGCGGTACTGGATCGGCCAGGCAGAGCGCATTCACCTACATTGCCGACATCTTTCAAACCAACTACGCTAAAGTCACCTTCACGACGAATTCGGAGTTCCGTTGTGAAGGCTTCAAGGCGTACTTCTTCCCCTATGTGCCTTGGTTCGGACGTGAGTTTTCTTTTCAGTATTGTGTTACGAACTTAGGCTTACAGTGCACAGAAATAGCCCCCTAAGCCCTACACATGTTCATTACACTGACGGTATCCCAACTCCTAAATTACCAGATTTTGTATGCCTCGATCTATTTCCTTAGCCTATCCTCGATTAACTGCTCCCTCTACATAAAGTTGTCATTTCAGTTTTCTTGCAGGAGATCCCTCGACAGGCCCAAAGCCTTTAGGAAATACTTTTAAATTATAATAAAATACAAAAATGCATACATACCCATACATTGCCAATCATGCACGTACTTTAACCCTCCACCCTCCTCCTCGTTCACCATGAACGCGCCCACAAGTCCCCTTTATTCGAGTTCCGAGGTGGTGGGCAGTGCTTTGAGCTATGGGCATGGACAATGCGTTTTACGCGAGCAGCGAGCACGCAACAACACCAATAATCAGGTTGTCATACCTTGTCCCTACGTCAGTATAGTCTATTCGTCATGCTAGGAGAGCATTTCTATACAGTGTGTTGTGGGCTTCTAAAATTCACTAAAATGAGCCCTCTGGGTCATCTCACTTACACTAGCAACTCGAATGGAAGTTGGTGTAGATAACTATAATGTAGTATAGTATTGTTCTCTCCCTCGTACAGCTTTTCTGAATCTTCCGATCATAAAGATCTCATAAGTGAAAGAAGGAGATCGGCCAGGGCGCGAGATGCATTGGAATTTGGAGGTTCAGCTACATGTTAATCAATGATCAGCCCAGACCGAAACCCTCTGCCTACCCTGCTATCTGCCCACATTGCTTGTAGGAATATTGTGGACATAGACTCCCCCATTACATTGGGAGGTGATTGATTTCTCACGGAACATACTTGTACATGTACACCTCCTCACACGCCTATCCATTTACCCTACACGTCATGTTATGCTGTCAAACTAAAAACGTTGCGTTTATGTATACGTATACCACTTACTTGTGCAGTGTTATGATAATATGCTCTTCTATTTCTTTGTTCAGGCCGGCGAAGGCGACAAGTGCGAGGACGTGGAATTTCACGGCATCGTAGGTCCATCGAGGTAAGACTTTTGATTCCATTGGGAGTAGGGATTTACTTTGCTATTCAGACGGACCCTACCAGGAGTGGTGCTGTCCAATACCGTGTGCGTATGTACATGTACTGTCTTTCATGTCAACCAGAATCAAGGCAAATAGTTTGGTATTTTCAACTCAGCAAACTGTTACAAAGTGGGAATCACCTATATTGTACAAGTTAAAATTTAAAAAATCACGTTCATGTAAGTGCTTGGCGCCTCGAATGCCCATCGATGCATCATGTTGCGTTACACGGTAGAAAAATGTAGACTTAGTACATGTGCAAAGCAGTATCATTTTCAGTGCCCTTTGAATCTGTTCGGAGCAAAGTCTATAATGATTGGAGCTAGAGAATATTATCGGAACTGAGGGTAATGTATAGAAAAAAGAACATTAAAAAACTGCATTATTAAAAGTGTGAAGAAAAAGGAAGTGCTACAGCATTAGGTGTTAAACATACATGTAGTGCTAAAATATACAAAAAATACTAACTGAGTGCAAACACAAAGCATGAGGTAATACAGTGCAACATAACACGAAGTTTACATCTGGTAACCAGCTACGAGAACAACTTTAACGCGACTAAATGCTTCTTTTGTTTACAAAGAACAGGATTATGCACACGAATACATACATGTACAGCTTCCAGAACCTTCTACTGATTTTAAGCAGTAGAAGGTGCAAGTTATGCTAAAACATAACTTGCACGGCAGAAAACAGAAAAGTGAGAATTATCTTTCTCCACGCCGACTCTTTAGATTGGAGTTACATGTACATAATTCTAACTCTCCGCTAATAACTGCTGTTGTTTCGTTCGATCACGTCTTGATTGCTTTGTGTTGCACGTACAGACGGACATTACAGCAGTGCGAGATGCTCTTGACTCAAAAATTGCACCAATCCGAACACTGGCCCAGACGCTTATCAACTCGAAGAGTCACTGCAGCATATGCAACACCGATGGTGTGGCGGCCTGCTCTTGCTCGCCGACTGGGCTCCTGAGCAGCATACGCTTCACCACCTACAAGTACTTCCGTAGCGGATATAACAGCCTGGGACTCACATCGTTCGGCATTTATGCTGGTGGCTATGGTGGCGGGAGCGACGATGGAGACGGTAACGGCGGAGGCGGCGGCGAATCGAACAACTTTTGCATTTGCAGGTCCTGATACGAACAGCGGCCGCGCAGCCGAAATGCCAGTTGAAACCTAACAATTACTTTGTGATTAACAAATACAGTGAGCAATGTACATTTCTTCAGCTCACCTGCTACCTTCGACACCAATTGTAAACATTGAGGAATCGAAACTATTTTGTCAGTAAGGACAGATTAGAAGAGATTCTTGTCTTTCCAACTCCTTTTATCTTATTTTACCCTCCATCATAAACCTGACGACGGGTTATGAAGAGCAGAGATGACGAATGGTAGACGCAGCACAAGGTGGCTCTGTCCGTGGCGCAGATCCAACTCTTGCTCCGGTATTCCATCCAGAGTGAGCCACCAATTTGAATGTACACAATCCTTGAACAATATCCATGGACGTGTTTGATCTAGTCCTGTCTTTCACATCTCATTTAAAAATTATTTTCCTTTTGTCTCATTTTCACTACAGGGAGGCTGAAGTGTCCTAACCTGTCAATATAAACTACACAATAGCGGGAATTCAGAAATTGTGAATCCTTCATGCACACTTTACATCTTTCAAAGCATTCGTCTAGGGATTGAGTTGAATCTTATACACAAGCTAGTTACATCTGCCTTGAGTTTCTTTGCTTTTGGACTTTTTCAAATTTTAATTTTGATTTCATCGTCGAGTTTCATCCCTTGTATCTTTGGTGTTCGTCCTTCTTTCCATGTCGTGTTGTTTGAATACACCCGTTTTGACACATATTGCCTAGACTAGAGTGCTCAACACCGCAAGGATGGAGGAATGCCACTAATGTACAAGTACATGTACATGTACATTTGCTTTGTAAGTTGCTAATCCCTTCCCACTTTGAGTACGTGCTCTTCATTTTCTTTTTCTCTTCTTCCGTGGTTGGTCTCACCCTCACCTCAATTCAATTGGCTGTCTTGACTTGCCACGAGGTGCAGAAATAAATAAATAAATAAATAAATTCACATGTAACTACATGGCATTGTACACACAATCTCCAGACAGATAAGTTCGGTTGCCAGTTATGGACGCTGTGTAGGCATGGGCGGGTAATGCTAGCACTATGGCTGGCATTATAGTCCCTTTTTTCCAGGTGGCATAATGCTGGCATTATAACACCATTTCGCATGCAAAATTGGCATTACAAGCATAATTGCCGGTCGACAACGGTGTCATGCATGAAGCTGGCTAGGTCCAGTTCCGAAAATTGTGCATCTGAACCCGTCCGGCTTCGTCCGAGGATTTGACGTTGCAAATCAACCTTCTCAGTGGATTGTTTCAGACAACATGCTCACTGCTGTTTAAGTTTTTTCTTCTACGCTTTGGCCTTGATCCAAGACGGCCTTCTTAAATCGACTTTTCTAACTTTCAAATTGGCATTGTGGAGTAGTGTGAGCATTATATTATTATTATTATTATACGCATTCCCGCGGCAGCGTCAACCAAGCAGTTATGCTTGATCCACACGTTCGCTTATGCTGGACATTGAAACAAAGCAGATGTAGACAGCTCCTAGAGAATGGGGCTCTACAAAACCAATGATCGAAGTTAGTCCTTCAGTAACATGGAGCGTCATAAAATTGGTCTCATTGGAAAAATGTCATCACTATTGTCTCCTCATGTAGCATCATGGTCAATGGGTGGCCAGATATAAGTGGCCTTATACCCTCATACTATGAGCATAGCCTTTAGCATTATCGCAGCAAACAACTAGCATTAACCGCCCATGCCTAACGCTGTGCGATATCATCTCAAAGCATGGACACTTTGTTGTCGTCTCAAACTCTTCAATTGACATTCCACGGAGTGATTGTAGATGGTGATTGCATTGACACCAGTAAGGTTCATTTAGAATTAAATTAAAGAGTACTGCACTTGCAAAACGTAAACGTACGCATGGATACGAGTTGTTGTTGTTTATTTTACTTCGCAGATTCTAACGGGCAAGTTGCCCAATAACAAGAAGGCGAAGGCCAAGAAAATAATAATAAAAGAAATAACCGGTTCTGAGTAATAGTAATAGTTACTGTTCATGAGCTGAATGGCAACATCCTGTGTACAGTGCACAGTAAAACCTTTAATTAATTATTTTAAGCAACCGCCCCACTGTTCAAGGAAAAGCGGTCGTTAAAGCCAAGTGGCCTTTAGAACCAGGTCCCACAGTGTCTGTATAGAACAGTCGGTGCATGGAAAAACGGTCGTTAAGATCAGGCGGTCGCTAAAACGAGGGGTTGCTCACACCAGGTTTTTACTGTACTACTTCGACGCGTGAAGAATGTATAAAGTCACACCAAGGATTGATGACTCGCGCCTCGACTTGCCGGACATCACAGTTACAAGGAAGTAGTAACTGTTGCTCAATGACTGCGGGTCACGTGGCAGTACTATAGCGTGTACTACAGGTATGTTTATTTTATGTGCAATGTATTTTGTGCTTGAATTCACAAGTACACACGGGGGGGGGGGGCTACAAGCCCAAATTGAATTAATGGAAGCGAATGTGAGAATGGAGTTAAATTAGGGTTTTTTGGAAGGAGTAGGAAGATCCATGCTGTAGGCTTTATGCCAAAGTCCAATAATTAAATATTGACTGGTTTGAGGGAAAGAGACAAACGGGAAAAGTCTGAAGAAAAAATTGACTGTCACCACCAGGACTCGAACCAGGGACCCTCGCTTGTAGCCAGCGATGCTCTAACCACTGAGCTATGGTGTAGTCGTCATCCCAGCAGAGGCCGTTCAACATTTTCTTCAGACTTCGTACCAATAATTAAGCTATTACATTTTTTTATAAAAACGCTGAACACCAGGTGGTGCTGCGTCACAAGTCGAGACATCTACCAACCTGTTTAGACTAATGCGCTTGATGTTCTTGTCTAGCTCTGGTTGGTAGCCACACACTTTGATGGAGGCATCTTTCTCGGTCGATATACCTGTACATAGGGAGAATTTGCTCTGATGACAAAACAAAACGTACTTTTTGGTGAATTACTGATAAAAATTACGTTTTTACATAATCATAACCTCAGACCTCAACCCATTTCATGCGCTCGACCATTATTGATATCTACAATCATGTACGTGTGCATGTATGTCTTGGATCGTGGCTGAAACGTTTTCAAGTAGCAATGGACGGGGAAAGTACTGGTTTAAGGGGGTGGGGTGGGGGGGGGTCGTTTGGCCGCTTCATGACACATGGTTGTTTTCCATGGTAACAATCTGGGTACCCAGCCACTGCATCATAATACTGGCGGCTTCTTTGGCGCATCCATAGTGCACAGTGATGCCGCAGCCAGCATGTCCGTAATTATGCACAACGAAAAGATCTCGTCCACTGGTGGGCTGAAAAAGTCGTTGAGATTCCAGGCGAATACCAGAGCTGCGTGCCGGACGCAGACCAACGTCCACTCGAAGTATGACTGCGTCCCGCAGACTTGGTATGACTTTGGAGCAGCGCTGCAGAATGCCAGCTGTCTCACCTTTGTCCTCTTCCAGATTCCAGTCGTGTCGCTTGTAAGTTCCTCCCAGGACGACGCAGTCTACTTGTGGTATTACATAGGTCAGTTTGCCATCACTGTTGATCATGAGCGTGGCTTCTGTGACCCAAGGTGCATGTACACGCACCACCTGTCCTCCAATAGGATACGCGTCCTGATCGTCAGTCAACAAAGAGCGAGGCAGCCCGCAGCAGTTGATCACTGCGTCGAATTCCCCGCTCAAGTCTGTCAGTCGCTGTACACTGCGCTTTTCAAAAGCAACGCCGAGCTGTTTGCATCTTCTCATCATCCATGGCAGGAGATAACTAGTGTCTGCGATGGTTGTCTGCAGGTGAAAGCCGGACTGCAGATCTTCCATTCCGTATGACGCAACCTGATTGTCGCTCAATCTCCTCACGTCACAGCCAAATTTCTCCAGAGCATCCACAGGCTGCACGAGTCCTTTCACACTGTCTGCGGAGCACTGCACACTGGTGAGAGGGCATGAGAGGATGCCAATCTTCTCCGCCTCGTTCATGTCCGAGTGATAGACTCGCTGCATCCAGTGTAGAGTTTCCCTGCACCATCGCTCACCACGCTCGGCTGGCGTCGTCTTGATGTCGTAAGGCTCCCAGATGCCGGCTGCCACATTGCTAGTCGTGTGCGGGTGAAAGTTCTCAGCCAGGACGGTGATGGTCACGCGGCTGCTCGCGTTCCTACAGGATCCGACACTCTCCGCCAGCGCTATAGCCGATGATAAGCCGATACATCCGGCACCGAGAACACAGATATTGCACGTTTTTCTCGTATTCAACCCGGTGGATATGCCTTGGGACATCTTGTCCGGCGAATCCAATGCGCCAGCCATTTTCCAACAGTTCTATCAGGGCACAAAACTGAAACCAATAGACTATGCTTCAAACCAGAGAGATGGGAAACGAAAACGCAGGAGCGCCTCTACGCAACAGTGCTAGTGAGATCATCCAGTGTTTTACGTCGCTTATAATCTATCTGACCGAGGCCGGGCTGTTTCAATGCTAAAGCCTGGTTCACACTAGGCCGATTTTCCGGCCGATACTCCGACACCGACTCCTACACGGAGTCTGCCGACTGTGTCGGATGAGTCGGACTAGCTGTTCACACACACAGGTGGGCAATTTCGTTTGTACTTTAGTTGTACATGTAGGCTTGTCTGTTACACACGGACACGCGGTACACAGCCGCACTGCCACTAGACCGTAGTACTAGTAGACGCTAGCTAGCTAGCTAGACAGCGGAAATGAGATAGTTTTTACACGAGCCACAAAGCCAAAGCGGCAAAGGTGTGAAAGGGCTAGCGTCTAGTACAGTGCTACTACTACTAGTACTGTAGTAGCGATCCAGTGCAGCCAGTTCACATGGTTCACGGTCTGCACCAACGCTCTCCGCTGTCATGGTGAAAAGCCTACAGTGATTGGTCCGGTGCATGCTCCATCACGCGCAAGCGCTAAAATTCGGCCGGCTTTTCGGCTAAATATCGACCAGTCGATACTTGGCCGAAAACTAGTGCGACAAGAAAATCGTCGCAGATTTGTCGGAACCCTGTACGACAACACCGTTCACACTACGCAATTTTCGCCCCGATCTTGAGGATTTTTCGTACGAGTCCATGTCGGCCGGAAAATCGGCCTAGTGTGAACCAGGCTTAAGTACAAGTAGAAACTGACCACGTGATCAAGATCCAAGCCAAGGCAGGCCGAGCTGTTGTCAGAACACCATTTGTCGTGACTGCATACAGTGCCGTGAAGTGTTGTACCACTCCTCGTGATGCAGCCAGCGCGAGGCCATTGTCAGCACCCGCTTCAAATGCTGGATCAAGTGCCCCGTGTGGAGATGCCTGCGGCCTGTGGACGTTGCAGTGCAGAAGCTAGAGGTCCCAAAACAGATGTGTACATACATGTACAGTGGTCCCTCTATAATCCGGCACCATTTGTGCCACGAAAATCTGCTGGATTAGGGAGGGTGCTGGATTAACAAATCTGATTTACTGCTGCAATGTACATGAAGAGGACATTTTGGCTACTGAAAATTGTGCTGGTTTATCGAGGGTGCTGGATTATAAAGTGCCGGATTAGAGAGGGACGACTGTACATGTACATGATTGTACAAGTCACACAGGTTGACGTTCAGAGGCAAGACTGCATAGCTCCCGGAGACTTTATTTTCAGTCATGCGAAGTTATAAGGCAATTGAGGGTCCAGTTTGCACGCATCGTGCAAGTGGATCCTGCCAGGTCTTCTGTTGCCGAGTTGAGCTTTAGCGAGTCCTCGACCCTCTGTCAGACCACTAAACGTGTCACCAGGAATCACCGGTATGGTGCTCGAAAAGGCTGTGGACGAAATATAAAATAATTCTGAACACAGGTTTGCAAATTCTCGAATGACCAGAACGGGTGGATTACGGACAAAACTAGTAATAGTAGTATCATTTTCTCACCATCCACTCCATAAATATTTGACAAGATATCACGTCTCTTTGTGCAAATGTAAAATGTAATGTGTATGATCCACCTCGCTCATATGACCAATAGCACCAGGTACATGTCATGTACATTCATGCTGTTGTATGATGATCAGTTGAACTGTTAAACTCAGAGTGACATCAGAAACGCTTTGTTTCCTTCCAATTTGCGTATAATCAAATGTTATGAGATGTGTTTTACTACCCGAGACTTTTACTTGTGCACACACAAATACATGTACATGTAGTAGTCAGCTGGGATACATGTAGCTGGTCGCATTGAAAGGTTCCACTGTCAGTATAGTAATGTTGTTTGCTGAGTACGTCAACTAGCAGTATCACACACAGATTCCTGTCAAAAATGAAAACACAGGTGGTGACTTACAATTTTGCCGCAGACTCAATACTATTTACCCACCAGCCTGACCAGGGTAAGTAATTAGTTGCCAAAAAACAAACATGAGGTTTCCCAAGTGTTGTAAAAGCGCTACAACTAAACAGGCCAGCATCGCCAGAATCCTCTCGGGAGACGATTGAGTGCATGCGCTGTCCTTTGTCCGTGCCTGTTGTCTGTGTGTACTTGAGTAGGTCAAGAGAGGAATTATTTATTTTACTGCTTCAAAGAATGGTTACATAAATCACGCACTTCACATTTGTCCACCGGGTGGCACTGCGCTGGTCAGTAGCATTGGAGGTCCTATGTACAAGTGGACATCAACTATTTTGGTTCAAGGCGAAGGGGTTGGCAAAACAATCACTGTATCTTTTACACTTGAATGCGTGCCTTGCGGCCGACATTGTGTTCAGGTGCCATCTTTGCCTCTCCTAAACTAATTGCAGCACTTGCAAGCACTCCAGTTTGTGCTGCTGTGCAGCGTGACTTCTAAAGTTTTGAAAATCAACCATAGGTCTGCCGTGTGGCAGGTGTGGATTGACACTGTCACTTGTAGTCATTAGCCAGGTTTGAAGATCATGCCAAAATACATGTAGTTGGAGGTTTCGGAGAAGGGGTGGCACCTGCAGCCAATTCAATGTTGGCCAGAAAACATACTAGCCAAGTGTTACAATTGTAGTGATGCTTCAAACCCCTTGAACCGACACACATGTTCATGTCATAGATAATAATTATTATTATACATGTTCTATGTACTACGCTGTTGTGAATTCCAGCAGAAATCCAAGAGAGCTCGATACCGGGAAGGTAGAGCCGTGACACACTAGGCAGAACAACAGATGGCTTGATCAGTCACAACTTAAAGTTTCATGCCATCTCAGGCACTCATCAGGTATCTCTGACTAGTGTGTTCTATGTACTATGTACATGTACACCATGTACGTAATACCTGATTCCACTCGATCAGTGCCACCTAGGCATGGGCGGGTAATGCTAGTTATTTGCTGCGATAATGCTAAAGACAATGCTCATAATAATTTTGAGGATATAATGCCACTTATAATGCTCACACTACTTGATAATGCCAGTTTGAAAGTTGGAAAAGTCGATTTAAGAAGGCCGTCTTGGATCAAGGCCAAAGCGTAGAAGAAAAAAACTTAAACAGCAGTGAGCATGTTGTCCGAAACAATCCACTGAGAAAGTTGATTTGCAACGTCAAGTCTCCGGACGAAGCCGGACGGGTTCAGATGAACGATTTTCGGAACTGGACCTAGCCAGCTTCATGCATGACACCGTTGTCGACCGGCAATTACATGCATGCTTGTAATGCCAATTGTGCATGCGAAATGGTGTTATAATGCCAGCATTATGCCACCTGGAAAAAGGGACTATAATGCCAGCCATAATGCTAGCATTACCCGCCCATACCTAGTGCCACCCACTGGACAAGCACATTAAAAAAAGTAAATTATCGCTTCCGTTCCCGAAGGGAACTCACGACGGCCGCTAACACCCGGTAAACCCTAGCGGCAGATGCAGCGCCTAACGGTGGGGGTGAGTGGATAAGTCTCATAACCACGCGCCCAAGTGCCGAGAAACCCCATTAGTTGCATCCATGTACCCCTTGTGCCTGGCCACAAGTTCCCAGTTGACTGTGGGTTGCAGCGCGGATGGAAAAACCGCTCCCAGGCAGGACTTGAAACAGGTACCTCTTGTATCTCAATCATGGTCTTTGACCAACCCACTGTGCCTGCCTGGTACTTCAGAAGCATTATGTAGTACTGATGTAGTGCATGTGTGTAGTGTTTTAAGTACACAGGATTTGCACAAAGGAAAGTAATGTCTTATTTTGTTGTACCTCAGAGTGTCAATTTAAAGTCTTGCAGGACGCATCACGCAGCTTCATAAGTTTCATAAGTTTTTTCCCGGAATGAATTTGTGAAAAGCTGTGATTTGGTGTGAGCCAGTTTGCTCACAAGCCAATTTTCCAGACTTTCAAAGTGCAACACCACCAATCATCCGACGACAGTGAAGGAGATAGGAAGCAGTGCGAGTATGGCTGAGAAGAGGGGAGTAAAGGAAACTATTACTTGAATTTATGAAGAGAGGAGAATAGAGAACAAGGAGCAGAAGCTGGGTAAGAGATAAGCAGCTGGGGGTACAGTGAGTGGTTTTATACAGGAGAGAGTCAAGGAGGGATCAGAGACCAGAAATATATACATATACATGTATCGAGAGAGAGAGAGAGAAAGAGAGAGAGAGAGAAGAGAGAGATAGAGAGAGAGAAAGAGAGAGAAAGAAAGAGAGAGAGAGAAAGAGAGAGAGAGAGAGAGAGAGAGAGAGAGGGCGGGAAATTCAAGACACATGTTGGCTGGCTTACGGAAGGCAGGGTTATGGTGGTGCGCGCTCCGGAAGGAGTGTAGTGGTCGAGATTAGGGTTTCACCCAATCGGCCCGTTTTTTCGCCTATTCGGCTTTTCGCCCGGCTCAAAAATATATCAGATTCGGCTGAAAAATCAGCTGATTGTTCGAGAATCGGCTGCAAAATTGGAATAATATTGAAAAATCGGCTGAGAGAATTGTTGGCATATTGGCTTCAAAATTGGGGAGATATTGGAAGATTTGGTAGATTCTCGGAGATTCTCAAAGGAACCCTCCATAATCGGCGAAAAACAAAGCGTTTTTAGATACAATGTAAGTCTCGTTTTCGGCGAATTTTCGGCCGGCCGATTTGGGGATTTTACTAGTAACAATCTTCAAACAATAGGAGGACCGAGAAAGCGTTTTTACTCCGAGTTTCACGCACTAAGCGATCATCAGAAAACAGTAACCATCTTTTATTTTAGTAACTTGTAATGGATATTGTTTGTTTGAGAGGAGGTCAAAGGATACGAGTCACACGACCTAAACGCGCTAGTACTAGTACTACTAGTACTGAAGAAGAGAGCTCGAGTGGTCATGCAGCTCATGCTTGCAACAACACCATTCGTTCGTAAACGCATTTTTGGTAGATTCTCGCCGATTCTCAAAGGAACGCTCCAAAATCGGCGCAAAGCTTAGCGCAAGCGGTCACGTGCTCCTGCGTACACCAGTCAGCTAGTCACCGTGCCTGCAGGGTACAACTTACTAGCCTCTTTGACCTT